TTGTAAAGCAGTTGTGTTTTTAAAATACTTGCTGGTAAACTCACTCTCTGATAGTTGGCCATGCACAACTAAAGAGACAGCTGGTGAAAAAACTGCCCAAATTCTTATTAGTACGAGGGATCACTACTTGTCAGCCTAGAGTTAAAAATGTCTCAAAAGAAACAGATTAAGTAATAAGTTAAAATAAGTTGACAGCCCCGTAAATAAACATTTCCATTGAATCTCATGCCTGGTTGAACTGAAGCATGTTTTCTAGCTTGTTGGGGTGATTATAGGAAGAGACTAGACTGATCTGATAACAGGACCAGCCCACTCCTTCGGCCGATCACACAAAGAGCTAGCCTCGTTTATCTCCTCAATTAATGTCAAGATAATCCATTTTGAGTAAACTCTGCACTCCAGAATGACTCTCTGCCTTGTCTTCTTCTGATCTGGCTGCAGGCGACCATCTGCATGCTTACATAAACCAGACACAGGAAGGAAATTGTGGGTTAAACATCATATGGTTTTTCTGTTGTTTGATTTGAAGCAGTCAGAGAGGCCCTACACAAACCTGTAAGTAGGCCTTTGGTAACGTAATCTCATATGGATTCACAGTGACAGACTCAAAGCTGTGACAAAGGAACAGGATATCACCTCACATCCTGCAGGGTGTGCTTTTTTTAAATAGCCTCTGATAAGACTATGCACTATTTACACTAGATTTTTGCTGTAAAATCAAACAGTTTTTCAAGTGTAGTGATATCAGAGGAAGTGTTCGGTACACAACCAGACTGCATTTCAAACATCATGTGTGCCCACTAACTGTTTTTATCATAAAAACTGTTTTTATCATAAAAACCTATACTGTAGTATATTTTTTATACATTTTTTATACATTTGTATGATAAATTGTGAAATACCACTGTGGGAATCAGAGATAATACAGGAAAGTTAAAGCAATAGTCCAGTACTTTGCAATATTTTTGTTTTACTATGTGTAAAACTATTCTTTCAAAAAGTTTCTAAAGTAAGAAACACTGCAAAATTATTTCCCAAACGTTTCCACTGGACAGAAAACCATGGGCAGCCTTTGCACTAGACAAAAGTAGGTTCGCCATGAGTCAACAGCCCGAAGAAAATTAGATATACTTTGCGTGTTTATGTTCTACAGTCTATTCTGACTCTTGCAAAAAAAGTATACTAACACAGTGCTAACAAAGTTATATACTTAAGCTATTTTGGAACTACTCATTTGTACTAAAACACTTCTAACGTGTATTTGATATAAACTTAAGTCATGCTTTATGTGTACTAGGTTTATCAGTCATGTTATTGTCTCCAGTCTTAAAGTATAATTTAAGTATACTGGTCTGAGCCCCAATAATAATGGACTATTCAATCTTGTAATGTGATGACACAATTGCATAAAGATAGACTGGTATGAAAATTTTACTAATCTTTATTGTGGAGAGGAGGTTCTTTGGTGGCTCTGGGTGCTGAGGGGGAAATTAAAAAAAAAGTTATCCAAGCACAGCAGGGAAAGGTAAGAACAACAGCAAGCAAGTGTTCAATTGTAGTATCCCAAAGCTTTCAGGATGTCTATGTAGGAAACTATGAAGAAGAATTTGGGCCAAACTGAAAATGCAATCACTACAGTGAAAAAACGTGAGGTGCACTGCTTACATGACCTTATCTTTCCATAGTGACATGCAGAGTACATGCTAAAATGAAAGGAAAAACCTCTCTTAAATTGTTTTCATGTCGCTTGACCTCTTCACTCATAAACAATGCATGAGGATTTGCATTTTAAAAAGAAAATTCTGAATTCATGTCAGAATTGAAAATGTAGTAAAGGTATGACCACTGTGCAGTCCTTTAAACTGAATTTCCTTACTGAACAATGAAAAAGCGTTCTTCTATACTCTTAAAGCAAGATCTTCAAGGGTTCTTGAAACAATAGAAGAACACTTTGTACGGGGAAGGGCTGAGAGACAGGATGCATGTGCTGCGTCTTGTTTATTGAGCATTTCTGCACATGGATCCGGTCACAGTTCAAAACAGGAGCCATGAAAGAGGCACTTGGGTTAAACACAGGCATATGGAGTGGGCTGATCTTAGATGGGAGAGTCCATGTGTTGTCTGTCCAGAGGGGAGACCCCACGACACCCTTTTTGGTGCTATATAGAACCATTTTATTAAAGTTTTTATTTAAGACCATGCACAACACATTCACCATCAATCTGAAGAACAATTACACCATTTAATTTTTTTATTGCTGAATTGTCTGAACTTCTCGCTTTGCTCTATCCCTTTGTACCCTTGAGCGTTGATGTTAGATGATTTTAACATTCATGCTTACTCATATAATTGAGCTGATTTTCTTAATCTGATCATTGTTTTGACTTCATTCAACATGTAAACTTACCTACACACACCAAAGGACGTTGGATTTTGTGTGCACTTCATAAGGTACTTGTTTGTCTAACTTGCGTGGTACTGATCTTTACTTCTCTGATCATAAGGCTGTTCTGTTTGATCTGTTGTGGGCGGATTATGATTGGATAGCTCAAACCACCTTCAGAGGTGGTTAGAATTGCACCTCCACCTTATTTAACATGAGTAAAAAACAGAATGTGTTTCCTTTATCTACAATTATATGAGTGGAAATGCGTTTACTGAGTGCTGACTAGCAGGTGAAAAAATTAACAACAGAAGGAAGGATGGAGCGTATGTGAAGCTGGAGTAATCCCCAAACCAAAAGCCTCCATGCACTCCAGGCTGATTACAGCATCGACCCCTGCACTGAGGCGTATGAAAGCTGTGGCGCGTCAACTAGAACACATCAGTATGAAAACTAGTCTGATGGTACATGCACTTACTTAGAAACATTATGTCCTTTGCTATAAAGAGGCCCTAAAGACCTCAGCTAACTAGTAATTGCCAGGGAAATGCTAGAGCTCTTTTCTCCACTGGCGACAAGTTGTTGCGGCCTAAAAGCTTCCCCTTAGCTCTGTCATCAGAATTCTGCTGTAATTTTTGAAGTTTGTTAATGAAAAGATTGACAAAATTTATTTAAAACTTCAGCTGTCTTCTAGCTCTGTAGATACCCTAGTCGTATCCTCTTCTGTCGACTAATCCTATTTATACCCCTCTGGTTAAAGCGCGTCTTCCCTCTTTTTGCCCTCTTGTAACTAAAGTCGTCAATGCCTCTCTTACATCTGGCTAGGATCCCACTTAAAATTGGCCATTCTTCTTCTTAAGAAGCCTGGACTTGACCCTGAAGATTTGGGAACTATCGATCAATTTTAAACCTTCCTTTTCTTAGCATGTTGCTTGAGCGTGCGGTAGCCACCCAGCTGAAAAATCATCTAACTTTCAACAACCTATTTGGGCAGTTTTACTCAGCTTCTTCAGAGCTAACTACAACACTAAAACTGCACTGGTTATGGTTCCAAATGATTTATTGATAGTAGCTGACTCTGGGTTGTTAAACATACTTGTTCTTTTGGACCTTACTGTTGCATTTGACATAGTGTGTCACAATATTCTGCTGTGCAGACTTAAGAACTGGACTGGCATGACTGACACTGTACTTGCATAGTTTAGATCATATTTTATTGACAAGCATGAATTTGTCTCTATTGGCAAGTTTAGGTCTGACCCATCCCATCTCTCCTATGGTGTTCCCCAGGGCTCAGTTCTCAGCCCTTTACTTTTTTCATTACATATATATGCTACCACTGGGCAATAATACTATACAGAGTCTCCAGGTCCATTGTTATCCAGATAATATGCAAATCTTTACACTAAACCCTCAGACAACCACTTGTTGCTTTGATCACCTGTTTGGCTGTTTAAAGACTTGGATGGCTAAGAATTTTTGTAGAATAAAATAATGATATAACTGAGGCGCTTCTAATTCCATCTTGAAGAAAATCAGACAGTTCACCCTTGCTATCCCAAATGTTATTATGTCCTCTGTTGTCAAGGTTAGGAATCTTTGCATCATTCTTGACTCCACATTGTCAATCGATGGCCACATTAAAAACATCACTAAAATGGTATTGTCGTCTTAAGAACATTGCCCAGTTACGTTCTTCCATTTTATTATTCATTCTTTTATCACATTAGGTTTGAATACTGCAATGCTGTTTTTTATGGCCTTCCTGTGTGTGGGCTTAAGAAGTTGCAACATGTCCAGAACTCAGCTGCTAAGGTTCTTATACATACCAGACCATGGGAACATATAACGTCTACTCTCAAATGCTTACACAGGCTCGCTGTCCATTTCACAATACAGTATAAAATACTTCTTTTGGTTTTTAGGTCCCTGTATGGTCTAGCACCTCTTCGCCTTTCAGCTTTTCTTCAGAGTATTCACCTTCATGCTCTTTACAGCCCTCCAAAACCCACCTGCTTTCTGACCCACCCTCCAGTGACTCTGATAGGAATCTGGGGTAATGATGTCTACAACACATATATAGCCCTTGAGATGTGGAAGTCTGGTTCCTATCACCACAACTGTGAACCAATCATACTTGGCAAGTTTCTCTAGTACAGAGCATTTCTCACCAAACCGCTCTGAATGACTTTGTTTACATCTTACCATTTAATTATGTAGAATTTTTTAAAAAACTGTGGAACTCCCCTTTAAGCAGCTGTTAACCAGCATACACACCTTAATCCTTCTTCTTTTTCCTTTTTTTCTCAGAAACAAATTAGGATACAATTATTTGAAAACATGTTTTTTATAGTCCATAATCCAGAAATAGAGTCAGAACTGAATTAAAAAAAAGGAAATGTCAGGATCAGAAGTGTTGATACCTCAGTATTGATCCACCTATCCTTACCCTCCCCGCCCCTCCAACACACACACACACACACACACACACACACACACACACACACACACACACACACACACACACACACACACACACACACACAGGCACGGTTTGCATTAAGTTCGTAAGTCAGCCGGTGTGACTCCTAAGATTGGCCTCACACTCTCATATGCACGCGCACGCACGCACACAAGCACGCACGCGAGAACACGCACGCGCAGGCGGCATATAAGTCTCCACATCGTTTCTTTAGTCTGCAGTCAGAGAGCAGCAGCAGCACAGCGGAGAGCCAAAGCGGTGAGTAACTAAACTTAGACTAAATTAAACTAACCCCAAAACTACCATTAACCTCTTTTCTTGAACTTAAACTAGCAACACATCACTCAAAATGGCCAGAAACGTTGGACAAAACGGGTTTTGGTCGACGATGCTACAGAAACAAGCACAGTGAGCATGAGCTAGAGCCTTGTTGAATATCTCTCTTTGCTAAACTTTTTGTCTTCATAGCCTTCAGGCTGTAACAAAACATGTTCGTGCCCATTCTGAGACATAAGCGAAACGCTACTAATCAGTAAATTATACCCGCGAGATGGAAATTAGATCGAATTTCTGCCTGAAAAGTCCATTATATTATTCAGCACACGGTTCTGAGTAAAGTTAACGGACATTTGCTTATTCACGCCGAACAGCATTAACAGTGTGCTGGATTAAAGCACAGAGCAGGCTAGAGAGGCGCATGTGGGTGTAGATTGGTCGAGTAAAAACCTTAAAGAAAGTCCGAATAACGTTATGAAGTAACTTTTCTGTGTGCTGATAAAGTCGTGTATCGATGTAACGTTGGTTGGACAGTGTTGAGTGTAATGTTAGCCTGAATGTTGGTGATTCGTGTGAAACTGTACAGCTGGACTGTGTGTGTTCTGGCTTTGCTCTTTGCTTTTAGTGTAGTTTGGAGGGTGAAAAGCTATATTAAATGCGTGACATTACAGCCCCCACCCCTCTAAACATGGTTTGCCTGGGGGTGGGGTCGAAGCGGAACATCCTGTAATAAGAAACATACTATATGCATCTTCATTTCCACTGTTGTCAGTGCCTAGCTGGAGCAACAAAGCAGGCAAGAAAACAAGGTAGAGGGGAAAAAAGTGTACAGTACTTTGGAAAATGGGCAAATTAGGAGATGTGGGATTAGAGCATGAACTAATTTCCTGACAGGACATTTCGCAACCCTGGCACCAGGTATTAGTCTTTGAGAGTCCTTTCCCAAGCCCTGCTTTAAAGGAGTAGTTTGGTGAAAAATCATATTTATTTCAGTATATCTTATATGTAGTTAGTTAGCCAAGACAAGTTTGGTCTCTGAAGTTAAGAGCTTTTAAAACATCTCAAACAGACTTGCTTATGTGGTTTGTGACGTTGTATAAACTATTATGTATCAAATACCATTATAAATCCAGGCATCAAGATGGATGCTACTGTTTTAAGCTATCTGAGTATATGCTGTACTTTTGTCCACTTAGAATTAAGGGTGAAATTGTGTACATCTAGTTATTTTTGGCTGAACTTTCACTTGAAATGCTTTAGTTCTGGGAGATTCCCATGCATGTCCAGTGAACTTGTGTGGGAGACATTGTTATGAGGATAGAAGAGCACAGAGGGCCAGCTGTTTTAAATTCCCCAAGATGTCTAAGCTCAGGGTAGGGAGGTGTTGGGCATACTGTGGGCTCATGTTCGGTCAGATATAGTGAGAGGGGGTTTGGTGAGGGGGCACAGCATGACGTGCTTTCTTGCTTTTATTGAGGTTTGTGCTGCGACTGAGTTTGAGCCAGGAAACATGAGCCATCACACAGCCCGCTACTCCCCCCTCTGCCCCCCAGAGCCGCCCGCCAGATAACAGTCTTCTCCACTTTAAATTCGTACTTTACTTTAGTGCTGACATGGTGATACTGTTTAACACACCCCAAGACAAACCTTTAACCTTTCCAAAAGTATTTGACTGGCTGTAATCCAAAGCAAATCTTTAAAAGGAGGTTTTAGGTGGCTGTTTTGTTTGTCAGGAGAGTTGTATAGTGTAGATTAATTATGTGTAAAGTGTGTTTACACTTCAACAAAACTAAAATGAGTGTGTGACTGGGCATATTGGTTTTGTTCTGTGGGACAGAACTTTACAGACTTTTTTTTAAAAAGATTAGCCACTAGGAAAAACAGCACTTGAGGTTAGTCCCACTGATTTATAAAATGTGCTTACTCTTTGCTATTTGGTTTACTAATGTGATATTTTTTTACTTAGTGCCCAAATACACTTATTGAGGTTATTGTTTTACAGGTGTTTTGATTTGAGTCAGCTTTATCAAGTAAGTGAATGGACACTTTTTTCAGCTTTTTAAAAGTTCTTGATTGAATCTTGGTGCATAAATGCGCCTGTTTCTAATGACAAAAACAGTTTACAGTCTGAGAAAGCATGATAATGTGAAAAGAAAAGTCAATAATCTTTAAAGAATTCTGGACGCTGTGGCATCATTGCAGTGCTTCGCCTCCATAAGCACTAAATCATAGGTTAAAATCCCAGAGTGTAGTTTTATTATTCTGCTGTGATGCGTGATGACAAGACAGCATTGCAGTGGTTCCTAGAAGGAGACCTGAGCACATTGTGTTTGTGCTTTCCATCTAACTGACCTGATCCACATTTTGCCTAGAGCTTTAATCTATCTATCTATCTATCTATCTATCCATCTATCCATCCATCCATCCATCCATCCACTTACTTGCTTACTTATTTGATTAGGCACTGTGCATATTAATCAACCCAAGGATTACGGAGGTTAGCAGCTTTCTCTATTAATCCAGGTTTAGATACTCAAGCTATGACCAGTCCTCCCCCACATGCACATGGAAGCGTGATGCATATGAGGAACAGCCAATTGTGTGAAATGCGAAGAGGAATCAAACAGAACAATTTGGTTCTTATTGGGCTGGCCTAGAAAAGGCAGTTTTACTCACTGACTGACTGACAACTTTGTTGAAACGGTACTGCACCCTAAGTTAGCCAGCCAAATGCCATTCATTCAGGAGAAGAAGAAGACTTGGGCACCGGTGTGAAGCCTAATCTCACAACCCTGTCCTGATTTCACCTCCGAAGGAGGCCAATGTTAGCAAGTTATTATGTTTTTATTACCATGCCAGCCAGTACGGTAAACTGTAAAACGTGTTACTGTTTTAATTCAGTTGTGTGCTAGCTTTGTTACATTTGTTTATGAATAAATTCAAGTTTGCAAAAAGGCATGTACATACACATCTACCTATGCCTTTTGAGGTTCCTCCCAGCATTGTTGTTTGACAGCTGTGAAATGTATGATTCATCCAATAACACTGCGCATACCGCGACTGGACATCAGGGAAAGTAAGATCAGGACAGGGATGTGAAATTAGGCACCACACCAGCTCCTCATGCTATATACTGTTAGGTAAGCTAAGGTTGTTTCATTTCATGTGGGTGTGTGTCCTTGCTTGAAATATGCTGTGGGTTGCCATTGCTTCAAGCTGACAAAGTTAATTGCGAGCTGAGAGATCTTTAGTGGCTCCTTGTCGGCTCTTTTTTTGGTCAATTGAGCATATTAATTGGCATTAGCCGAGAGAGCGAGCTGCGAGAAATGTAAGAAAAAACAAACGCATAGCGTAACCAACTGTAAGTGCAGAGTAACAGTTTTATCACTAGGGATGGACATTTGTTGTTCTAATGTTGAAATTTGTAAACATAGAATATTTGAATATCATTTTTTTTTTTTACTTTTTATCTAAAATGGCACAGGAAGAGTTAATTAAACTAAGCGATGCAGAAGTAAATGGGCAGAGTTGCCCCATTATTTGCTATTTAAGTGAACTTTTAACAAATGATAGGTGACTGTTTAAATGCAGTATTAACTAAGTAGCTCTTTTTCCCACCTGGCGACCAGCTAACATTGTTTGTTTTTCGCTTTCTTGCACTGGATTAAGCTTATGTGAATAGTGAGATGCCTTTTAAATGATGTGATTTTGGCTGTTTAATTGTTAGATTACTTTTCCCTGGAACTAATAAGTAAAGTGATCCTATCACAGTTTAGGAGAAGTAGCAATTTGCAATGGAATATTTTGAGTACCCCACCACTGGTCAGTGATGTGTCAGCTTCTTATTTTGGAGCATAAACACAGTTTCATGGACTGATCGTATGTCTAGCTAAACTTTGAAAGGCTAATTTTAGACCATGGTTAACTTCCGTGTGAGGTTTGTTTGTGTATGTAAAAATGCACATACTGTTATAGGCTTTATATTAGTAATATTAAACCTAAAAGTGTGGGGATTTAGGGGGCTCATGCACTGACAACTGTGTATCCCTCACGTTTAAAATGGCTGCTTCACCCCTGGCATTATTGACCAAAAGTTGCAGAGGAGAAAGAGTGTGGCCTGGCAGTCTGGCAAAACCAGGCTTGTTGGAGCAGTAAGTGCTTTATATTCTTGATATGATTTATTACTACTGCTAAAAAGTGATATTTTTACATGATTAACAAAAAAAAATCCAAAATTGGTCCAAAAGCTGTTCATGATCTGAAATCTCAGGTTAGGTGAGCAGCATAATTTGACATGGTGATGTAACCCAGGTCAAACTAAACTCTAAGTTAGCTGGTTGCTTCATGAGACAGGCCTATGATAAGCCTGAAACAAATTCAAATAAAAAAAGGCTATTTACATAGAGATAAACTAAGAAAATAATCAGCTGATGTGTTGAGCAAGTTGCATCACAGACAACACCAAAATGAACCTACTATAGTGTTACTTGACAAATGATTTAGAGAAGGCAGAACTATTTATTACTTATTGTTTAGAGGTAAAGCGCAAACTCCCAAATCCAAAAACAAATCCAAAATGTTTATACCTGGGGTTTCTTTCAGGTTTGTGTTGAGTTTTGTAACCTGGGTGAAGGAATCAGCATTTTTCCAACTGTTTGATGAGAAAGTGCTGTGAAAAGATTGCTGTTGCTGAGTAAAGGGCATGCCTCAATGTGCAATCAAATCTGAATAGTTTGCCTAGTGCTGGAGAGCCTGTGGTTTTAGCAATAGGAAAGTTAAAGGCTCCCCTTTTCACTGGCTTTTGTCATATTGGTATGCTAATGAAGCTGCTCAGATGCGGGTGTCCTGGATGACGCCTAAAAGCTAAAGAATGGCTGTGCTAACTACTTTAGAACTTGATCAAGCATACTCTTAGAGGTTTTGATGGGTTTGGGGAACCACAGGCTTGTTCTGTTATTGGAAAAGGCTAAAATGGCCTCGTTTTCATTTCTTGTAAAGTTAAGCAAATGTGGGCTAACACTAAAGCAGGTAACAGTATTGTTCAGATCACATTAGAATCACTTTATTGGCCAAGTACAATTGTTTGCACAAGGTATATGACTTAAAATCGGTGCATACATTACTGGACAATGCAAAATACAGATATTAAACAGATGATACAAGTAAATACAAAGAGTAAATGCCACAGGGGGTATTTATGTATTGTATACAGAATGTAAGCTAAATGTGCAGATACACAGTATGGATGCAGTTCCTCCACTTTTGCACAAGACCACCTTTTTTACTGTTGACCTGAAAGCTTTTTTCAGTTTTTAGTCCTTGTTTGTGAGCAGAGTTTCCCAGTGGAGCAAAGGGGGTGGATCCTTGGTGTGGTGAGTGTTCAGTAAATTAAGTGCTATTATTTAAAGTGGTACTTTGTCAAAAAACAAATATACACAGTACAAGCATTTAGCTGTTAAGACTGCATGTCTTTTTGAGCCTGCTTAGTTAGAAGTGGCAATACTGCAATAATTTATTGCTATTGTGATAACTTTTGTTATCATGATAGACAGAACATATCTCTGAGAACTTCAAGAAGTATGACCAGTGTGCGTATCTTCAAAAAGAGAACATAATGAGTTTTGTTTAAGTGCCTTTAGTTCAGCACAATATGTGAAATGTTGAGTAAAAGGCATTGCACTCAGTTTTTGATGGCGGTTTTTAATTGTGACTAGGGATGTCACAATAAAAAAAATAATTACATTCTACCCACCCAGAGAAAGCGAGACAAATTATGCTCTCTTGAACTCCCGGCCACGGATAGCTGTAGCACCACCAGGGATCAACTCGCAATCTGCTAATGAAAGGACCAACGCTTAGACGGTTCCACTACTCGGGAGCCCCAAAAATATGATTTTGAAATCTAAAGACTGCAGTCAGTTTAACTAAATGTGATCATCTCAAACTAGAGTGACTATGCAATTATGTGAGAATTGTGACAGGCTTTATTGTGGCACTAATGTCGCCTTTTGTCTGCGGCAAAATGTTGTAATACGTATTGTGTATTGTGAAAATATCTTTAAATATTGTCGTGATATTTTAGTTTGAGCACCGGTGCTAAACTAAAGAAGCAAACTTCAGACACCAGACATGTCTTGGTGGATAGACTTCATTTTAAGTGAAGACTAAACTGTGTTAAGATTTTTTTTTGTGCACAACTATTACTTCAACGTAGTGAAATGAAATCTGGAACCATTTTGTAATTTAATTGTGCATCTCGGTCAAATACATGCGAGTGGCAAGTTTTTAGTTTATGCAAAGATTATTCAACATAAGTACAACCTTCAAACTGTCATCAGTTTCATAAACATTTTCACTTTAAATTCTGAGTCACTTGACATAACTTTGAGTTACTTTGATTCATATTTAAACCTTAAACCACTGATGCAAATCCTTCTCTCCATCTTAGTCATCTGGAACCTCCAGCTTTTAGTTAGAGACATGAACATATTATTTGTTTTGTTTTTTGTTTTTTTTTAAATAAACATTTTGTGTTAGTCTGCCCAGGGCTAAGATCCCAGCCTAAGCTATATGAAGTGTTTGGCTTTGTAGCTTGTCTCCCTCCATATACTTCAGCCCTGTTATTTAAGGTTCTTGCTTTTTTCTGAATAGTGATGGGAAATGCCAGACTGCCGCTTTGCTGACTGGGTGTGTTTTGCCGTTGCTGGCCAGAGACGCAGTGTGTTTGGTCTGTAGGCAGAGAGCCGTCTGGCAGCCAGCGTTTCTCCCCACCAATCAGCTGAACATCAGCTGATCCCACAAAAATCCCTCTTCCCCCACTCCCTGCTAAAAGGAAAAAGCAGATCAATACAGAAGTATCAATACATCTGATCTTGACTTTTTTTAGAAGCAATCTTCATGTAAAAATATCAGGATCAGGTATTTTTCTTTTAAGCATTAATTACAGTAATTATTTGCTACAAAATGGAATGGTTTTTGGTGGTGGAAAAGTGGGGATTTTTTTATTTTTTTATTTATTATTTTTCCACTGTCTGCTTCTCCCTCTGCTTTTCAGACACATGCAGTGCTGCACTGTGCTAACATTTACACTGGTTTCATTGTAGAAATAACAGATTTTCCCTTCTTAAGTGCACTACAAAGTTCTATTAAAGTATCTGTATTTTTGAGTATAAGTATCTTTACTGGTCATGCTTGGGTGCTTGTTTCCACACACTGAAGCTGGCACATCCGCCACTTGTTTTGTTGTTGTATGAAAGTTCCCTGAATTGGACACAAAGTAATTTGTACATCATTCAGAGTGGTCACATGTGCAGCTTTGAATAAGGGCCAGTGTCTTCACCAAAACGGAGACCCTTTCCTGTTATTCTTACATCATCTGCTGCCCTCACTCCAGTTGTAAGTTTGAATAAATATACATAACAGTAAACAAAGGAGGTTCATTGTAGAAATTTGCTTTGATTTTTTGTTGCACTGAAATTCATCATTTTGATATGTAAAGTACATAGAACTGCAGAACTTTGTGAATAGCAAAATCATTAGAGCATGAGCCTACATTAGTTCCGTATGGCTAGTCAGCACAGGGCTCGATGGTATATTGTTTGTTAATTGTTGGTTTGATATTAGTCACAGTGCTTGCATCTTAACCAGTCTCAGTTTCTGATGAATGAAAGTATTCATGTAATCCATTAAAAATATATATTTTTCCGAAATACTGCTGGCCAATATGTAACGTCACATTATTGATCCACTGATTTACCAATGCATCTTTAATACACATTTTATATATATTGGAATTATGTACTCTAATACAGCGATTGTGTTGTGGCATTATCATCCAGCTCTAGTCAGCACTGCTGCTCCCTAAACTGAAGTGACTTGTCCCGGGATGCCTGCTAAGGAGGGCAGGGCAGTGCTATTGCAAGTAAGCCAGAGTGTAGCCCTGAGGGACTGCTTATTGATTCAAGCTCAGCTTGGGCACTCTGGAAGTAGCTGTATTTGACACGCATCAATTCAGGGCAGCGTTTGCCTCATGCTTCCTGCAGGTCAGAACGAAAGCAGCCCAGGCATTTTATTTATTCAAGTTGTTTGATGCAGCCGGGGCAGGGGGAGGCTAGGCTAGATTCCTGCAACCTCAGCAAGCGGCAACAGTTGTGTCCGTCTTTCTCTGCCTGCCTTGTACACCATCGCGCTACTATGAGAACAGATTTGAGACTGAGTAGCTGCACTATGACTTGCAGGAATAGCCTTTTAAGCAGCTGTTAAAGTCAGCGTTTTTTATTTTACCCCTAAACGAAAGACTTTTACTGCAAGATTTGTGGGTCGCTGCTTTTTGTGTTGACAAACGTCAGGTGGAGCTGAGGTTTCGAACTGAAACCTTTCACTGCAGAAGGGCTGGTGGGTGAGCTTCTTGCCAAAGGTTTGTTTTTCCCCTCTGTCTTCTGTGCTTCGTCATTCAAATTTGCAGCTACCTAGATGTGGCAACACTGATAAAGATGGATCAAGGTTCATCCACTGTAACTGTGTTCTGTGTGTTTTAGGAACGAGGAGGCTGTGAAGCAAAGGGGGAAACGGTTATGCTGATGAGAGATGGAGCTCGATAATAGAAGCCTCCAACTGGCAAAATAAGAAGTGAAACTATATGTTTTTCCCCACCCTGCACTCATTTCCTTGACGGCATACCAGAAGTCTGCCTGCTGCTGGACCAACGGAGAGCCCTCGTCGCAGATTTGTTCTACTGTGGCCCCAAAAAGGAGCCGGAGACAGTCAAGACGTAAAAAGACTATTTTATAGGAGTATTCCTTTTATTTTATGCCTCAAAAAACACTTTGTTTTTAGATTTTAAAGAAAGTTGTCAGCTTATTTTCTACCCGTCTGGCTGGCACAGAAGGGACCTAAATGATTCAAACCAGCTACTGGATCCATCATGTCATAAAGCCACATGTGGTCTCCTAGCACTGAGGAATATAACTTTTTTGCCGAGTGAGCATTGCAAAAAGAAAAAGGATACCAGAAACCTGCCTTAGTCATGCTGCTGAAGAAGAAACTGTGCATTGGTGCCTTGTTTTGTGGCATCCTGTTTTTTATGTTGGCCACACACACTATACAGAAAAACAGTCTCTTGTCCGTGACGGAGGAGGTTACACACACTGCGGCACAGTTCGTACTAAAGAACCACACACACACCCAGTCTGTCACCCAGTCCATCCAGCGGCGCTCCTGCAGCTGCCCTACATGTGTTGCAGATCTGGGCATCTCTGAGTGGTTTGACCAACGCTATGACCACAAGCAGCATCCCTACCTCACTACCGAGGGAAATGAAATAGATCCGCTTGCATTGAAGTGGTGGCTGGTAAGTGATGTAGAGGCGAATTCTGTATGCAGATTTTAGGTCTCTAGGCCTAATCATTTCCAGGAAAAAAAAAAGTCTTATATAAAGTCTTAATAAATATCTGAAATGTTCAGTTCATTTTTATTTAATAGTACAATGCTTGTTGTATCTAAACTCTGAAAGTTATGCAGTAATACTCTTATTTCGCTGTTAACTTTTGGTTGTAAACAAAAGGGTTAACAACTTAGTTTTTCCCCCATGTTATCTGGAAACAGCCAAGTGAGCTCTTTCTCATTGAGTGGCCTTAAAGAGATTGACAGAAAGCTTTGCAGGTTAGATTAACTGCCAACATAATTAGGAAGTGACAGAGAAATCAACCAGTCATGTTTTGGATTGCAGTATGTAGGAGTGATTTGGTGAGGGGGGGGGGTGTCTTGGATATGTCACTGACTGCAAATATGAGTTGTAGCCCTGCCTGTGAATATGGCCCTAACTGAAGGCCTAGCTCTAATACTTCTGGTTTGCTGCTGGATTTACCTATTTGTCATTTATTTTATGTAGAATTTTAACACACAAGAAAAGTAATGAAGAAAAAGAAAAGTAAAAATTAAACACTGGAACCTAATTCTGAACAGCCATGGAAATAAGGTGTTAAGTCACTGGCAGTACAACAGATTGCTTTTAGGAGCACTTGCGTGTTTTGTCATTGCTTCTTTTGCATTGGCTTAGTTCAGAAAAAGGTTAGTGCCCCATTTGGAACTTGAAGTCTTCTATCAAGTGAAAAATGCTCTTGTCCCATATATTGCAGCAATGTTAAAATCTCTAACTCTGTAACTGGTGTTAACTCACCAATTTTAACTGCAAGCACATATTCTAACTAGCCCTGTAGGTCATAACAAAATGTACTCCTTAATGAATATTAATAAAATATTAAAGAAACATACTTTATATTAGGGTCATATTAAAACAAATGAAGTTACATCGTGAATATTGATAGCTTAGGTTTTGTTGTGTTTTGTTATGCTCTGCTAGTCTTGCTAATTGGGTTATTCAAATTATGAATTAGTGTTATTGTAAAGTAGATGTAAAGTGCGTCCTTGCTTAAGATATTAATACACAGTTTGAGACTTACAGCATCGTTCATCATTCAGCATCGTGGTGTACCCAGGTTTCGGGACTATTTTATCTTGACTATTTTTCTAACTGACATTAAATGATTCGATTAGATTCTGTTAGTCAACTAATTACATTTAGTCATTTCTTTATTTATGTACAGTATTGTGCAATACAGAGACCAGAGACGAGACTTCTTTTATTTAATTTCCAGTCAAAATGACTGTTAAGTACAAGTTATTCTTTTTCAGCATCAGGAAAAAATAGGACATGTATTTAGCAAAAAATAACACAGAGGCCTGAACAAATAAGCATAATTTTTTCTGTATTTAGTAATTCCACCCTTTGCAATTATTACAGTTTTTCATCCTTTCATGAGACTTACTTTTAGTGGAAGAATGGATGGAAAATGTGGATGTTTCAGATCTAAAATGAGTGGAGCTTATTTTCTTCTGTCTCTCAAAGAGGAAAGCTTTAAGAGTACTGTTTATTTGATGGGGACAGTTTTAGTGGTGTAGCAGGTCTTGTACGATTGTTAGGAGTTTCATTCTGTGCATCTTTTAATCATTTTTTTTGAAATCCAGTTTTGGAAACTCCAGTTTTTTCACTTATTTTCCTTTGACTTTCCCTTTCTTTATGCAAGTTGATTCAGTCACCTGAAAAATGATTAACTTGTACCTAATGGCCAATTTGACTGGAAATTAAATAAAGTGTGGTCTCTCACAAAAAGTAGTTTGTTAGTTTTACAAATGAAGTGTAGTTAAAACTACAGATATTTCTGCAAGTGGAAATTTGCATATAGCAATTGAGTTGCACTATAAATTTAAGGACCATTGTATTTTATTGAACGTACTTGCATCAGTCATGCACAGGATACAGAAGAGCAAAGCAGATGCAGCATGGAAAAAAAAAAAAAGCTTTGATTGAGCACAGTCCCAACACTGCGTCTCTCTGGGTTTCTAATGCATCCTGCAAGCATCATTTGAAAGCTGCAGATATCATTAACCACACTGGCCCAGAGACATATCTGGAAAAGAGTGCGGAATCGTCCAAATCTCTGTTATTACCATCACTTGTTTAACAAATATCATTACAATCCACTGAGATGAACCCTCAAGCTACCATCTTTTATTGTGATTACGTAAACAAAAACCCATTTACCATAGTGAACAGAGAGGTGGATCCAGTCTGAATAAGCTGCTCTCCAGCCCATGCGTGCATTTCAGTAAGGTTTAATTTAACATAATTAAAGGCTTTCTAGCTTCAGACAGTGGAACTGCAGCCAAACACAGATAAGCTTTTCACTGGCACATATGCTGTAGTTTCCTGTCCACAATGACATACACGCACAGGCAACCTTGCATCAAGCTACATTGTTGAGCTTTTATCGAGGAAGCCAAAATGCTGTAATAAGATAAGGCTGTTAGTCTGGCAGGTCATAATTGAGGTACAGTCAAATGAAAGACGAGTTTTATTTCAGTGCTTTAAAATTAGAGGCTTCTCAGGGTGCTTATTTCGAGGAACATGAATGAGGGTTCCTGGAGGAACGAAGGATGCTTTATTGGATCGTCTGAAGTTCTAATGTTGCTTGTTAATGTGAATGCAGGCTCTGCAGCGGTCAGTTGATGGGACGATCGAGGAAGTGATGAAGAAAATGTTCACTGTGATTTCTCCTCCGCCTGTGGAAGAACTGCATCAGCCAAGTCGCTGTCGGACATGTGCTGTGGTTGGAAACTCAGGAAATCTACTGCAGTTCAAGTATGGAGCTGCGATAGACTCCCATTCCATTGTCTTTCGGTATGTTCCACTCTGCTGGTTCGCAGTTCAACCATTCAGACTGTTTTAATTAACCTCATGCTCCATCATACATACTGACATTATGACAAAAACAGAAGAAGCAGCAGTATTTTGTTTTCAGTCTTATTAGTAAAGTTAGTCAGTGACGGCAACAGTGACTTATCTAATTGATAGGGTAACTAGCTGTTCATCCCTTACATAACCTTATAAAACATGTAGCAGAGCACTGATATGGAATGCCAGCAGGGAGAAGAGATTCAAGTTCATTTTCTACACTCTTCTCGCATAAATTGAATGAAATAATGCATTCAGTATTGCATATCATGCTTGGCATCCGTTTACTGCCTCTTCACAAATGGGCTGTTTTCGAGCTGAAAGATAGAAGCTGAAAAAGGCTAGGATGGTAACGTTTGTTGATGTAACTTACCATTAGCTGTTTACCTAAAAGACCGGCTGCTGGAGTCGCGAGCACTGCTGCACGTTGATATGAGTGTCGGCAAGTTTTTGGACACTGTCCAGTGTGTGGGTGCCTTAACTTCTCTCTCGCCATGGTCACGTTGGAGTTGAGGGATTATTTGTTTGCAGTTCCCCCTCTCTTCTCCCGCTCGGGTTTGCATACAGAGCACTGATAGGCTCCAGAGATGTTCTGTGGATCTGAATGTACAACATGCATGAAATCTGCAGTGCAATAAGCAATTTTGGAAATGATAGGAAAATAACAGCAATATTGTAGTAGTGTTTTTCACCTGTGCGTATTGAACCGTAGGGGGCATACTGAACGGTTTGACTGTATACCATGTACTATTACATCTCTAATAGTGTATGTATATGTGTATACAGTATTGCTTGAAAGTCTGTGAACCTTTTAGAATTTATCTGCATAAAATATCTGCCTAAATTTGGCCCTAATAGTAGACAAAGAGAACTCAATTAAACAAATGAGGCAAAAATATTAGACTTGGTCATTTATTTATTGAGGAAAATGATCCAATATTACATAGCTGTGAGTGGCAAAAAGTATGTGAACCTTTGCTTTCAGTATCTGGTGTAACCCCCTTGTTCACCAATAACTGCAGCTAAACATTTCAGTTAACTGTTGATTTTAGTCCTGCACATAGGCTTGGTGGAATTGTAGCCCATTACTTTGTACAAAACAGCTTCAGCTCTGTTATGTTGGTGGGTTTCCTGACATGAACTGCTTGCTTCAGGTCCTTCCACAAAATTTCTATAGGATTAGGACTTTGCTCAGGCCATTCCAAAACATTCTTCTTTAACCATTCTTTGGTAGAACGACTTGTGTGCTTAGGGTCGTTGTCTTGCTGCATGACCCACGTTCTCTTGAGTTTCAGCTCATGGACAGATGTCCTGACATTTTTCTTTAGGATTTGCTGGTATAATTCAGAGTTCATTCTTCCATCAGTGATGGTAAGCCGTCCTGACCCAGATGCAGAAAAACGGGCCCACACCATGATACTACCACCACCGTGTTTCACAGATGGGCTAAGGTTTTTATGCTTGAATGCAGTGTTTTCCTTTCTCCAAACATAACGCTCATTTAAACCAAAAAGATTTTGGTCTCATCTGCCCACAAAACAGTGTTCCAATAACCGTCTGGCTTGTCCATGTAATCTTTAGCAAACTGCTGACAGGCAACAATGTTCTTTTTGGAGAGCAGTGGCTTTCTCCTTGCAACCCTGCCATGCACACCATTGTTTAGTGTTCTCCTGAAGGTGGACTAATGAACATTTTAATAGGTCTTTAATTGCTTAGAAGTTTCTTTGTGACCTTGCAGACTATTACGTGCCTTGTGATCTTTGTTGGTCGACTATTCCTGGGGAGTGTAACAGTGGTCTTGAATTTCATCCATTTGTACACAGTCTGACTGTGGATTGGTGGAGTCCAAACTCCTTTTAGAGATGGTTTTGTAACCTTTTCTGTCCTGATCAACAACACACATCTTCTTCTGAGGTCCTCAGAAATGTCCTTTGTTCGTGCCATGATACAGTTCCACAAATGGGTTGTGAAGATCAGACTGTGATAGATCAGTTCTTTAAATAACACGGGGTGGTCATTCGCCTGATTGACATCCGACTGATTGAAAACACCTGACTCTAATTTAAATTCAAATTATCTGCTTATCCTAAAGGTTCACACACTGTTGCCACTATATATATATATATATAAGGGGTGGGAATCTCTAGGCACCTTTCGATTCGATTATGAGATATGTATGTGTGTGTGTATGTGTATATATATATATATATATATATATATATATATATATATATATATATATATATATATGAAATATTGAATCATTTTCCTCAAGAAGTAAATTAACAAATCTTATATTTTTGTCTCATTTGTTTAATTTGGTTCTCTTATGTGAACCTCTCTTATGTATTTCACTTATGTGAAAACCTAATGAAGAATATAGAAAATTCTAAAGGTTTACAAGCTTTTAAACTTTTTTTTTTATCTGCACTAACAGCTTTTAAAATAATGATGCACTTGGTTTGAAGGTGCCCTGCTGGGAAAGATTAACTTCAGACTTTGATCATACTCCATGTGTTTTGCTAGATTAGACACGACACAGTTAATGAAGTCTTCTTTGCTGCTGTAAGTGCAGAAGAAAGAATGGTGATGAGACAGAGCAATTTAAAAAGTCTCTCATAACTGCAGTTCAGCAATAAGAAGGCATCACTGTGCTTTATTTGATTTCAGGTGACAGATTAGGGTTGATATGATGGGGGTGTTTTTCATGGCATGGATATTCAGTTTATTGCTGGATTTGCATACACATGATGCAAAGTATGGCAAACAATAAGCACTTACAGCAGTTAACACATATCATTATGCAAATGCTCAGAGGGCAGTTCCAGAGGAGCGTTGCTCGAGCTCCAATGTTGCATGCAATGCTGCACCCACCAAATTACGTTGTTTTTATATATATATATATATATATATATATATATATATATATGTGTGTGTGTACACACACACACACACACACACACACAAAAAAATGTGAAAAGCAATTTATAAATAATAACTTGATCATTTTTGTGCATGTCTCCTTTCCTGCTGCAGAATTTTTTTTTATTTATTTTTTTTACTTTTGGTTTCACTAAAAGTAAACCAGAGGGATTAGAATAGGTCACTTAGAATTCACTTAAGAGTAAGGTGCTAAACCATGTATCGCTTTATGTCAGCAACAACAGAATTACGTACAGCAGCTGAAATATCTCTGTTGGATTTTCCTGCAGGATGAATAAAGCCACGACTGTAGGGTTCGAGCAACATGTGGGGAATAAAACCACTCACCACTTCATGTACCCAGAGAGCGCTGTGGATCTGAACCCTGGTGTCCATCTTGTCTTGCTGCCTTTTAAACTGAGGGACCTTCAGTGGGTGACGAGTGCACTTTCAACCGGAGAAATTAAAACGTGTGTCCCTCATTCAGCAGATAAACCCACAAACAAGTCTATATTTCATTTGCATCATAGTCAGCTAGAGAACTGAGGGCTGGGAGAGAAACAACCTCAAACAGTTACACCCTTCTAGCTAATTTCCCTGACCTATCCCTTCTGTGGCCTCTGACACACTTTCCACTCCCCAGCCATCTTCCTGTCTGCCTTCTTAGTCACAAGTTTGGACTCACTTGACTAAATGCATGTTTTTCATAATTGTAGACATTTTGATCTAAATGCTAATACAAAAATACATTATATTCATTTCTAAGAAGTTGATGCCTACATAGGAATTGATTTCTAAATCAAAAAATTTGCATTTAAAAATGTTTATACTCAATATTTTTGTGCTTAGCTCATGCATATTTTCAAGCCTGTTGAAAAAGCATCTCATGAGGTGGCTCCTCATAAAGCTGGTTGAATGAATGCCATTATTGTGCAAAGCTGCATCAGAGCAAATCGTGGCTAATTTAAGATTCTAAAATAGATAACGCATTACGTTGACTAAAAAAATGTGTTATAGTTTTGATGGCATCACTGTGGTGATCACTTCCTACAGTGTGGAAAATGGTAAGACTAAGAAACCCTTAATGAGAAGAGGTGTCCACACTTTTGACTGCTACTGTATTCTCTATTCCTGCCAGCAAGGCGGAATGTAGTCCTCTAATAAACTTCAGCTTCCCTCCACAATTAACACTATAACAATATATTAAAGGTGTGGTCTTCACTCTCAGACTGCATAGTTGTTTAACTGCACGGTTTAGCAAAGCCCAAATTTGCCGGATGTTCCGCAGCCACTCAGTGTGAAGCCGCCGTTCCCTGAAATCCACTCATGTTTGAGTGGCCCATCCTTATTTGTTTGTTATTAACAAGTTTGTTAAATTTATTGCTGTAATTGTTAACAGTTTTTGTCAAGACGTCTGGGATGTATAAACAGTGCTTTGTTATAAGATTTTCTTTTTCAACCTCAGGACATATGTGAGAGTGAAAGAACGTGTGCAAGCAGATAAAGACAAGGTGAGTGTGAACCATGAGGTACATCAGTGATGTATTCTGTGGTGCTTAATCATTTAGCCAAAGCCTGTGGTCAATTTACATGCATAGGGAAATGTTCAAGGCAGTTCCTTGGAACATTACGAGTGTAAACGTCTTTTATTCAAGAGTACATTGACTGTGAAAGGATTAAATCTTGAGATGCACTGAAATATTGGCCATGAACATTTGACTGAAAGTGGTCAAAGATAGCACTTTTGGTTATAGGCAGAAAGAGGGGAAAAAATTAAAAGATTAAATTGGACTTCAACACAGTGTCAAAATTGAACACTTAACACATCATTTGATTATGAAAACGAGAAACAGTGATTAAAAACTATTTATTTCGTTCACCCTCCTGTGCTGGTCAGTGCAGACACCATTCAAAAAGTTTAAGCTGCCACCTAAAACAATGGGAATAAAAAAATTGCCCATGTTGAATTATTTCACGGTTTCTGTGAGGGACATTAGACAAAGCATTTTTTTATAATCGCTATCCATGACGACTATCAGGAGAGGGCACAGTGCTCAAGAGCTTCTCCGCTACTGGTCTGATACCAGTTGAAAACACGACATCCTGCTTGATATACAGAATACAGCAACACAGAAGCAGAAAGAAAAGTCCCTGCTGGCACAGCAGTGTCATTCGGTAGTACCTAGTAGGTTTTGTCTATTTAAAGCAAATAAAAATAAAAATAATTAAATTGGGATTCGGTTTTTGGACAGGTGTGTCTCCAATTTCAGTTTCAACGAAGAAGTTTGTTTCTGTGCATCACTAATGAAATCTCAAATTTAAGCACAATTTGATGACTATTTGTAACATTTTTACACCCATACTGTTTTTTTTTCCCCTGTGGTGTGTTTTGGGTTGCAGGTGATTGTGGTGAATCCGAGTTTTTTTAAGTACACTCATGACCGCTGGACAGAGCACCATGGAAGGTACCCATCCACTGGCATGCTAGCCATAGTGTTTGCTCTGCATCTCTGTGATGAGGTAAAACCCCTTACTTTCTTTTAGTTTGGATAAATCTTCATAGATCTGTCTAAACTGCACAGGTGGTTAGAGATCTACAGTTTCAAGTCTTCATATCAAACCGTGTAGATTATAGTCATATGACCTTGCTAACAAGTAAAGGAGGTTTACCCTAGCAATTAGCATATTGCAAACTGCATGCCTCAATTATCACACTGACGCAAACTGCATTACGCTGTTAACCTTTTAAATACCACAGAACACAGTGCTAACTCCTTTTAATTTACAAATAACTGTTTTCTGTGTAATTAATAAACAATAATAATAATAATAATTTGGATGTTAAAAAAAGTTTGAGGTCATTTTGAACTTATGTGGTTTCTTACACTGTATGACACTCTTATCTGTAAAAATAGACAAAAAAGTACATACAGCATTCAGAGACTTTTTTTTTAGCTATAAACCTTTTTTTGTGTTTTTATAGATAACAGTATGTAAAGATATTGAATATGGTATATAATGACTTCAGAGCAAGGTTTCTTTTTTAAGTAAAATTCAAAGTTTTTAAACAATTTTTAGGACCTCAGCATAGCAAAAATACAATTTCCACTGACACTAAAATATTGCATGTATTTAATGTGTATTTTTCTGAAATCGAATAGTGTAAAAACTGATAAATTATTTGAAATTGGATGATCCTTACAATGTCTGTTTACTGTGTCCAACTTTATTAGTTCCACTGTCCTTAAGATTTTCATCATCAGTTATGATATAAAAGAGGCAATATTCCTGCACAATTCAGATAGAATTATTTCAGTGCCAGTTCATGTGGTGTGCACAATGTGTGACATTCTGGACTGATGTGTTTGTTTTTTTGCTTACCTTTTCAAAATGAGCATTTTCTGTTGTGTTTAGTGTAGGTTTCTGATCAAATTTGATTGACCTAGCTGATCTATTATATTGTGCATGAGTCCTTAAATTTAATACCTCTAATAGTAAAAAAGACATTTTCTTTAATTTTGTAACCTTACATTTTTTAAAATCTATTTTAAGACTTTACAACTTCTCAAGGAACTGTGAGAAGCCTGCAGAGGTCTGTTTATTTGACCTAATTTAAGCGTCTGCGTCATGCAGTTAAAGGCTTTCCTTCAAAAGTGCATCTAGAACTAGGCACACGCGTTGTTTTCTTTTACTGTGAAGTAGACTGAGTTGGAGCAATCCAAGTAATCCTCATGTTATTGTGGTTTTCCCTCCAGGTGTCTGTGTTCGGCTATGGTGCAGATTCACTGGGAAACTGGCACCACTACTGGGAGGACAACAAGTATGGGGGAGCTTTCAGGAAAACAGGTGTTCACAATGCTGACTATGAGAGTGAAATCATCCATAAATTGGACACAGAGGGCAAAATTAAACTTTACCCGAAGGTGGGACAGCAAGCCAGTCTGAAGCTGAAGGAATGACTCAAAGCCACGAGACCACACATGCTGGGTCAGAATAGAGGCCAAAGAGGAGAAAGACACACATGTGATTCACCCTGCTATTAACTGACCACTGTGAGAATTGCTGAACCAAACCCACTGACAACAAGCTGTATTCTCAAGACCAAACAAACCTTAACTGTTTTTTAATGAACGTTTTATTGATACTTGTCACACATTTGATGTAAAACCACAAGATGGACTAAATCCAATGAGAACAAAGCTCCTCTTGAAGATGCAGGAAGGCAATGGAGCAGAGAAGGAGTGGTAAGTGGAAGGAATAAGCTTAAAGTGATGGTTGGGTGAAAAGTCGCATTGACACGAATTTACTCCTTGAAGTCAAGACATGTTTGGTGTCTGAAGTTTGCTTCTTTTTTGCACTGGAGCTAACAGGCTAATGTAGCTAATGAGTAATGGATGCTTATACTCCCCCAATTAGCTTCATGCAAACCGCATTTCTATCGTCACACGCTTGCCTCAAACAGTGTTGTGTTATCTCAAATAGACTTGTGTGATGTAGGCATTCTGTAAGCACAGTGCTATTTGGCGAGGGGACTAGCTTTGTTAGATACATTAGTCTAATAGCTCTGGTGCAAAACATAAAGAAGATATGTAAATGTAATTTTTCACTGAACCTTTAAAGCTGTTTCATGTCCACACTGAGCTGCACCGCCAAGCCTTACACAGACTGACCCTTGGGACTTGTTAGTGTCGACTGCAAAGAGGGAAAAGGCTAAAAATAAAACTCAACATGTTTAGCAAAGTGGCACTCTTGGCCCACTTCTCAACTTCTCATTTTAGACAGAAAAGCACTTTTTACTGCAACTAAGTACAAAACTCTGAGATGTTATTTGCATTATAGTTACCAATGTGTTTTTAAGGAAAATGACCTTTTCCAAATTGGCTTTTGCTGTATGGATCACTAAAGCAAATGAAAACATTATTTAACATCTGGATCCAAATTGGTTATTTTGCTTGCACTGTTTTAGCAATACATGATAGGGACAAAAATACTGGGACACCTACGGGAGCTTTTATGACATGCCATTCTAAATCCATAGGCATTAATTTCTAGTTGGTATTTGCCCTCCTCCACCATTTGGCACAATTCAGTCAGGCAGGTAATGTTCTCCTGGCATTCACCAAACCCAGAATATGTTTCCACTGCTCCAGAGTCCAGTGGCGGTCTGCTTTTACACTACTCCCTCCGATGCTTGGTATTGTGCTGGGTGCTATACAGCTTACATGCAGCTGCTTGCCCAAGGAAGACCATGCTAGGAAACTCCGGGTGCACAGTTTTTGTGCTGATGTTTAGTGAAAGGGGAGGTTTGGAACTGTTGGATCAGTTATCGAGTCCGCAGAGCGTTGGCGACTTTAATGCACTATGGGCCTCAGCACTCGGCGACCCGCTCTGTAACTTTACGTCTAGCCCCTTTGTGGCTGAGTTGCTGTGGTTTCTAAACACTTGCGCTTTTGGAATATCTAGGAGGGAAGAAATTTTCATGAACTGACTTGTTACAATGGTGGCATCCTATTACAGTACCAAGCTCAAATTGAGTGAGCTCTTTAGAGCGACCCATTCTTTCACAAATGTTTGTAAAGGCAGACTGCTTGATTTTATACACCTGTGTCAACGGTACTGAATGAAACACCTAAATTCAATGACTAAGAAGTGTGTCCCAATACCTTTGTACATATAGTGTTTGCCTTTTTTTCCTTTTACAATTGAGCACATCATGATGAGTTGTGGATCTTTTTATTATTATATCAATTAATGGTGCATTACAAGCAAATATTTAGTTTCTCAGTTGTTTTGCATTAAGACCCCAACCGTCCTTAAACGTTTAGCATCTGTGCCTTTGAGTGGTTGCACTGATTACACACACATTTCAGTTTACTACCTTTGCCAGTAATACTTACCACAGTTTGGGATTTTTACCAGCTACTATTTTAGCAACATAGACTGAAACACATCTTAGACTTGACCTGAGATTTAGAGTAATAAATGGAATGTGTTTGGATAATTGTAATGACTGACTGCGGTTTTGGTCAAAGTTTTCTTTTTGTAGCCTTTCGACTGTTGCCAGACTGTGAAAATGCTGAAACTTGACTATTCATTTTGTTGCAGATTTTTCTTATTACCAAGTTTCTTATACATGTGTTTGTGATTTACTTTGTGATTTTATGCTTATGAATGTATTATGGTTTTCTTCTACATTGCCCTGTGTCAGATTATTATTATTATTATTATTATTATTATTATTATTATTATTATTTATTATCATTATTGTGGTCTACTGAGACTCAAGGTCATGTCTCAAGTACAGATTCACATTATCAAAACAATAAAACCAAGACGGAAGGAAAAATATTTTCATACACACTTTAATAAGTGTTATAACAAAACTCATTAATGAGTAATGAAAATAGTGCAGGGGACAAACATTTGTTTCCAATTTACCTCCTGTTCAAAACATAAAATCAAATTATAAACAATAAAAAATAGTCACGTTTTAAGAGATCAGGTATCATAAATAAAAAATTGGAATGCAGAAGTAAAAATAAGAAATACAACATTGCTATGGCAAGTTTTTTGAGATGCACTAAATATTTTCACTTTTTCAAATTTCCATTCCAATTCTACTTCATCACAGACTTCATGTAAAACAGTGAAGAGAAACAACATTAATACAACATATTCATGTTACAGGCATCAGTCACAGGCAACTATTCCCCTACCTATTATAAGGTACTTGAATGTGCAAGTTGGTAGAAAAATAAAGCAATAAGTCACTGGTTAGTCTTGGGGACTTGTTATTTACATTTATTGTGGGATATGAATTTATTTCAAGTATTACTTTTACAGTTGTGGCCCAGAGATTTCTACTAATTACACTGCATTCAACACACACAGAACATGTGACTACACACAGTATATTGTCCAGGCCCAGACTTGCCTTGGCCCTGACGGCCAAGTTACCATCTCCCAGTGTGCTTTAAAGAGAAAAACAGAAGTTACATGTGTTAAAAGATTCTTGACCTGAATGTGACAGTGTGCCCCCATTTTAATGGACAGAGTACCAAATCATGTGCAAGCACCTTTGTAAGCAACTTTGTGCCAAGTTTTTTGCGAAAAATCTTGATAAAGCTGTGGTCTGTCTTGAATAAAGCCTTGTGTACATATATAATCACTATTTCACCTGTATGGAGTCTTTTTAACCTTAGGAATCTATAAAGACTGAAATATGGAAATAATTATTTGCGTTTTTTGTGCATTCGCCATTTCATGGCCCTCATTTATACCCTGCAAAAACACTTACAGGCAACAAGCCCATATGTTACACTGATACATCCAGAATTATACTGATACATCATTAGCATTGCACTTCTCTATTTGTCTTAAAGGGTAACTTCACTGATGTTTAACTCTAAAATTCAATCATATATACATCCAGAACATCTTTATCTAAATGGTTAATTGTAGAGAAGCTTAATGAAGCTTACTTACAATGGTGGTGATAGGAACCTGGGGTCTTACTTGAGAAACATACTTGAATTTCATACCAAATGTGTTCTTAAGAAAAGTACTCAGCATTTGTGTACAACTCATGCGAGAGTATGTCAGCTTGATACACAAACGTGTGCAAGTAACGCACTGTCATTTCATCAGGCTGTTTACTTTCTTTTGCCTTACAGCGTTCTGCACATACTTTTCCACCCTGAATAGATTTTAAAAACTATAGTTTAGGCCAAAGCCTTACTTTTAAACTATATAAAACAGTGTCTCAGTTATCAGGCAGTGAATTCTTAACTATTTCATGTAATAGCTTTCTGAGGTAGTTTTATAGGTATTGAACACGTCAGACATCTGGTTCATATCACCACCACTGTAAACAACACAGTTTCACTAGAATGGAGCACTTCACATAAAACCTCTTTTTTTATCTTCTCTAACCCAAATGATCTAGAAATTTAGAAAAATCTGTGGCATTCCTGTTTAATAATGCAATTAAACCAACTTCACTTGGCAGTGTTAACATTTACTTGTCTTTCCTTTTTCCCTAGACTTGAACATTTTGATACCAACTAGACTTGGGATATGATATACGCATCTTATGTGTTGTCTTAACACTTCTATCTCAGACATTAGGGCTGCACAATTATATATATTGCTTGTTAATTATTACTGCGATATTAGTACATGATAACATCACAGAGGGTTGCTATATGCAAATGAGACTCAACCAATCATATTGTGTCTCATTCACCAATATCTTCCTAAGTTTCTTCTTAAATTTGTTCTTGAGAAAGGTCCTAAGAAAAAGTCTACATCAGATTTATAATGTGTTCCTAGTTAAGAACTGTTTGCACCTTTGTGCTCTTGAGTGTGTGTGGATTCTGTTCTTACCTAAGATCAAATCCCAAATAAGAAAACACTGGCGAATGTCAGAATCTTCCTGAAAACTGCAGAGGTGGTGTTTTAAGAAGAAATTTCTTGCTAACGGCTGGTAAATGAGGCCCATTGTTTTTTTACTGTGAGTATCTTGACCAATCACTGTTCCAGGTGAGTGATTCTGTGGGAGTTTTGAGGAATTAAGGTATTTATGTAATTTAACAAAAGTAAATTATTTAGACCAAAATAATGCAAACTAATCTTTCACCATAATTCCCTAATGTTTTTAATATATTGCAAGGTGTATCTGCAATATGTAGCAATATAATCATAACTCTGGTATTTTGTCCATATTGTGCTAGCCCTAATGTACACTCCTTAAATGGTTCTAATGGTTAATGTACAGTTCTATGAGAAACCTTTAATCGGTATAGAACCTTTGCACGGGACTCTTTAAAGAAGCATCCACTGAAAGGTTATTTAGGGAACCAAAAGTGGTTCCTCTACCAGTCTTATCTGCAAATGGCTGGTGTTAGCTGATCAGAAGCAACAACAGCTTGGGTGGAATGAAAGCCTGCAGCCACACGACCTCTTCGCAGTGAAGATCTGCCACCATTGTTCTATAGCGCTGCTCCAAAGGACTCTATTTAGAAACTTTATTTTTTAAGAGTGTACATGATGACAGATACTCAGCTCTCTTGTGTCTGAAGGGCCTGAACAACCACTGACTGTTACAGATGTTGTGAAGACTTGCTCTGTGTTGTAAAGCTCTCTGTGTCCACTGCATTGCTTTGTAACACTGATTATTCATAATGTGACCAGAAGAGCAGAAGACGTCTCACACTTCTTTCTCTGACTGCTTCCACCGTCTTCCACTTGGTCTCGAACTCCTTTGTCCGGCTTCACTGGGACAGTAATGAGACGAAAGAGGCTGGAAACAGGCCTTTCTTGTCTGGCTGTCCCTCAATGTAGCCGTGCTGGGAAGAAATATTGTTGGCAATGATAAACGGCCTCAGAGGAACATCATACAGTTCAATTTTGAAGAGGAAGCACATTATACAAACATGGCCTGAAGGGAAATAACCCTATAAAAACTCTTCACCCAAAACAAAGGATTCAGGAATGTCTTGGTATCTTAAGATTCTTAGCCATCATTTCACTTTATAATGTTTCTTCCACTCTGCTCTCCCTTTCGCTCCTTTTCCTCTCTTAACTCTCTCTCTGTCTCTCTCTCTCCTTCCTCTCAAGCCTCTTCCTCTCACTGTTCTCTCTCTTTGTCCTGAACTTACCTTCTCCTTCCTTCCTCTCCACTCACTCTTATTCTCTCTCCTTTCCTCTCAACTCTCTCATACTCACACTCTTTTCTTGCTGTCAGCTCTTTCTCTCACTTTCTTTCCCTCCTTCCTCTCTTCCTGTCGCTTTCTCTCTCTTCTTCTTTCTCTCCCCCTTACCTTTCTTTCTCATCTTTCTCTTCGTCCTCAACTCTCTCTCTGCTTCCTATCTCAACTTTCTTTCTCTCTCCTTTCCTCTCAACTGTGGCTCTTTCCTTGCTTCCTGCCAACTCTCTGTTACTTTGCCTCCTTCCCTCTCAATTCTGTCTTCTCTCACACTCCCACTCTTTCCTTACAGTTTCTCTCTCTCTCTCTCTCTCTCTGTCTCTCTCTCTCTCTCTCTCTCTCTCTCTCTCTCTCTCTCTCTCTCTCTGTGCAATGTATTCTTTTGATGGGCCATTCCTGGCCTGCTCTTCAGCGCAGCGGAGCTGCATTTGTGGGGTTTTATTTAAACCCTCTGGAGACGTGTGGATGGTTCTTTCTCTCCAATACGGAGACAGAATAAAACATAAAGAGGCACAAACGGAGTGACCCACGCCAATCATTTCCATCTGTTCCCCGGAGAGAGAAAGGAATACATCTGCACACACAGCATGGCTCTATCAAAGGCTAAACAAGGGCCTCACTGCTTCAACATAAAAACAGCTTCCACTATAATACAGAGGTTGATAAACTATTTGTGAGATACAAATTGAAGTTGGCAGGAAACACAAATCAAATTTGCCAGGAGGATAAATTATTAGAATTTCATTTGCAAGCAACAGAAATGTGCCTGGGCAGCAACTGCCAGGATAAATGTTCTTAAAAGCACACATGATATTCAGCATCATGACTCAGTTTTCATGCAAGACATAAAGTGGTCAAACTGCCCACCTGCATCACTGAATTCTCAACTTAACCCTTAGAAGTCTACAGATATTACTGCCATCTTTCTATACTGTTTAGTATACTATTTATAGTATTTATTTGCACAATTATTAATTTTATTACCAGGTATGTAACAAATTAACATGCCATAGGACTTATACATATCTTATGAACGCAAATAGAACACTTTATTTAAGGGCCAAAGAAAATATACATTACTTTTAACTGTCATTACAGTGTCATGGCATTGTCAAACTGATTCAATTGGCCAATTATAAGAATATACATGACACTTTATGTAAGGGCCAGAGAAAGTATACATAACACTGTCCTTGGATGCCTAAAAATCTTATACGCATAAAAATTATACTCACTTACAGAAACAGTTTACACGATTTTCCACTTACTCCAAATGCAGTTAGCTGCTAATAGTGCACTTCACAGAACTCTTCAGGTAAATAGTCACCAAAATAGTTTGCACAAATACATGCCAAAATCTTCATATACTTGGTTCAAACTACATTGATGAGCTATGTCCACTTGTTTAAAAAAGTTTTAGAAAAATGGCACAGATTTTTTTTGTTTACACATTTAAGTTAATTTTGGAACTACAATAACTAACAGTTCCATTCAACCTTCGAACTCTAGGAGGCTGGAGCACATGATGTAAAACATTGCTACACATATATGTAGCATAAGCACAATAGAACCTAAAGCTTGCTTACAGTAAGAGAGTTAGAAGTTGTATATCAAATAACCTACGGAATTGCAATAACAGAACAAAGAAATCAACAGGTGGTGTGTCACTGTGATGCAGACACATGCAAACTGTAGCTTTTGGGAAATGTTGCAATGGAAATATGTCAAGATTCTGCAGAAGATTCTGTTAAAGTGCTGACCAAATTATGCCAACAAATCTGGAAAACAACTCAATGGCCAGCAGATTAGAAGACGTCAGTTTATATCCCAAACACAAAGAAAGGAGACAACAGTGTGCAAACTATCACACGATTTTCCTAACATCATACACCAGTAAAATTATGCTCAGTATCATTCAGCGCAGACTAGAGCCTTAGATTGCCAGATGTGCAAGGAGGATTCAGGAAAATCAGAGGAACAAAAGACATCATTGTGGATGTTCATTGGATTATTGAAAAAGCCAAGGAGTTCAAGAAGGAAGTAAACATGTTTTTCATTGACTACAGCAAAGCCTTCCATAATGTCAAACACATCAATTATGGAATGTTTTCAGGAAAATGGGAATATTAGCACATCATTCTAAAGGAGTTAGACAAGGCTGCGTACTATCACCATATAAGGAAGGTTAAGGAAGGCCCTAATAAGGAAGGTCAAAGAACAGAGTGAAAAGATGGAACTGTAACTTTGTATGAAGAAAACTAAGGTTATAACAACAGGACATACCACTAACTTTACCACTGCTTGCGAAGACTTGGGAGAGTTCCTTGGACGGGAAACTCATGTGACACACAGATAAACTGAAGACATTTTCTCGAACCAATTCACTGAAAAAAGACTACTATGCTTGGAATAGTTGAAGGTAAAAGAGGAAGAAGACGACCAGCTACAGGATGGAATTATGAACCAGCCATTTAGAGACCTAAAGACCCAAACAGAATGCAGGGTATTCTGGAGAATTACTGTCCATATGGTTGCCAAGAGTCATCACTTAATAACAATAATCATTATATATAGTAAGTAAGCTGCAATACGCAACGTGTATTGCCATTTTTGGCATGTATTTGTGGAAATATTTTGGGAGACTCCATTTCTAAACTGAAGAAGCTGTATTTTTCGCTAAACTATCACTTTAAGGTGCAAAAAATACATAACTGTCAGAACATAGTATCAATATCAAAATCTTCCAGATGATACTGTTATACAATAGATTTCCTTTACAGGGTTGCCATAAACCAGCCTCTTTTGACAAGTTATATGAGAAAATCACCATCATGTGTTTGACATACCAAAAATACACTACAAAGTCACCTGTTGTGTCATTTCTCCCTAGAAAGTGTTATGGCAGCAAAATCAACCTGACATCAAAGTTGACAAAAGCAGCCTGCATGGCAGCTGAAATAAACCTTTACAGGTTTTTATTAGAGTCATGTCAGTTATATCAAAGGCTGATTTTAGTTGTCATGTAGCCTTATGAATGAAGGGCTTACTGCCTTTCAGTAATATGCTGCTCAACTGATTTACATTCTGTATTGACAGGTTTGAATCTGCACCTCTGATTTTTCTGTTTCTGATATGTAATCTCCCCAGACATATCTCCTAAAGTAATGACTTGTACTTAATGGCTGTTTTGACTGATAATTAAATAAAAGAATGGAGGTCTCCAGGGGTTACACTGGTTCATGTCAATGACAAACAGAGCTCCAGGTCCAGTACTATAATTTGATTGAAAAGTAATTTTTTTTCCAATACAGTCTTTGTAAAATCCACTTAATTACCAGATGTGATAAACTGCACTGACAGAAAAACCTTTAAACTGTTTTTGACGAACCCCCCAATACCCCATTCATCAACTGTCAGGGCCTCTGCAGGACCTTTGGATGGTGGATCATTCTCAGTACTGCAGTGACAGTGACATTGGGTTGACGTGTGTGTGTGCGCTACATGGTACAGCAGTGTTAGTGGAGTTTTTAAAAGCTCAGTGTTACCGCTGGGCTTGATAATAGTCCACCCAAAATATCCAGCCAACAGCAAGCTGTAGTACGAAAGTGACCAGTAATGAAGGACTAGAGCAGGGGTCTCAAATCACCTGGGGGCCAATAGCCAGGTAGTATTCTCTAAGGCAGGCTGGTTAAAAATGCAGGGGAAAAAGGGTGAATGTAAACTAAATAACATATATGCTCATTTATGTGCAAATTGTTCTATCCACACAAATCACAAACATTACTACTACTACCACTAATAATAATGATAATAATAATACTTACTATAATAATAAATGCAACACTCTATTTTTGCTCTTTTTGATGTTAATTATCAGTCTAATCTGATTTTATATAGCTTATGTTGGGTCACCAGCCACACTGTCTGGTGGGTGAAGCTGTCAGATAGCTGGTAGCTTGAGACCCCTGGACTAGAGGATGACTTTAGTGGTTGGTATAGTGTAGTGGGTAGCACCTTTGCTTTCTGCGCTGTAGACTGGGGTTCAATCCATGCCTGGGTGAACACCCTACACTATACCCATAAGACTCCTAACACCACCTTCACCTACCTGTGTAAAAATGATCACACTGTGAGCCACTTTACCTGAAACTATGAACATCATCTAGAAGATGAAAAATATTGAAATCCTTCATATCGTCAAGCATGTAGTTGGTTTCAGCGTCGCTCTAAATGTGTTTGGGTAATGTGTTAAACGCTGCTTGCTTATTTTCCGGTACCGTGGTCTGTTTTTTGCACATGTGCTGACTGAGAAATCCAAAAGAAATCTGAGTAATAGTATAGATGCACTGAGAAATCCGATTATAGAGCAAAAATCCAGCTCTCTTTATCAGATTTCTTATTTAGATTTCTAGACCTTACTCCGATCTAGGTCACATTAGTTTGTGAGAAACTCCTGCAAGGTTCTGAAGATCAGAACCACTGATCGGGACTCTTGTTCGTGTGTACAATCTGAAAGTGCATGGTGTTTCATTCAGGGCCAATCGTATAGTGTGTGGACTTTAATGACTAACAACAATCGAGGACAGAAAAACCTGTGAAAAATGTCAGTATGTGTGGGGTCTCTCATGTTTTAGGTTAGGATTTTTTTACTTTTGGTTGGTTTCTATGGGTTTTTTTTTTAGCAGGGCTCTGTTACTCTCACATTTGCCAACTTGAAAACAGAAAAACAGAAAACAGAGATGCTCATTATCTATGTGTTTCACAAAAAAAAAGATAAGAATAAACTTTCCCAGAGGTAAAGTTAGGTTACCAAATTGAATTTAACTGGTCACGTTGCTGGTGCTTGGCCAAAAATATGCTCCATGTAGTAATAAAAGTATCTCTTTGCTATTATTTTATTGCTTGTGTGCCGTTATTATCAGCAGCTCATGCTGCAAGAACGATCTGAGGTTTTATTAAATGTTAAAACAGAGAGATTATGTGGACAGTACAGCTCTGACGTGCACTAAAAGCATACTCTGATGTTGAATTCTCTCATTTGATTTGGATCAATCTAAAAAATGCATTCCCATTAGCAGCGAACTGAATCAGGCCTAGTTTCATGCAATAGGCACAGTTGTACATTTTATCATATATACATTTGAGAGACATATTTGGATCTTACACTATGATGGTGAAAGTTTAAATGAAAAGGATGTTTCAGGCACTAACAGAGAGCATGCCTTGTATCATCGTACACTGTGTGTGTACTTTGGTGAACTTTAGCCATTGCAGTGTCAAATCAACCTAACCAAATGGAAAAAATACAATGTCACAAAAAAAATCTAACTCTGGTGGGAAGCAAACAGGTCTGAAAACAGCCTTGGATGTGGACCATCCAACAATTTTTGCCAAACCACGGTACAGTTCTTTGACCTGAATACGGGTGGAGTGGTCACACGTCAAACACGTACTGAACTAAAGGAAAAGTTCTATAGGCCCAGATAGGCCAAAAACAGGGTCGGTGCAAAAAAGCCTTTAGCTAAGAAGTATTCAAACAGACATTTAGTAAATTCATACAGACTAGAAACTGTGATCCAGGGCATTAGGTCATTTATCACAAACATTTTACACCATATTAGTGAGCTACAGCTCCTTCCACTGAACTTGCCTTACTGTTTGAGAAATGCCCCACCACCCCCCAGCTGAAACTGAGATGATTGTGGTTCTGCTGATGAGTTTTTTGAGTCTAGTGTCTATAGGCCAGCTAGACCCGTGACTTCTAACGGTTAAAGTGAACTGAGACAGCGTATTTGACCGTTACTTACCCACCAATCAGCGTCTTCTTCTGCCAGAACCACCAGTACCTCTCCCTCATTGAATGTGAGCTCATCATGGTGATCAGCCACACAGTCATACATGGCCTTCACTCTCTTCAGCTTTGGCTTTATCTGTAAAACACATTCAAACACTTCAGGCCTGGGTTTAGCACACATCTTTGTTCCTCTTTTGTATTTAGCTGTAGGCAACTGCATGCTACAAGAAGCCTGTCCATACATGCACACTAAACTATGCAGTCTCATTGCTAAACACTTGCTACATTCTTGCATGGTCAGCTAAAGGTCCCCTCATTATTCATCATCCCTTATTCTTATACCTACCATCATACAGTACAGAGCAAAGTCAAAGACTACCTTTCATTTATTTAATTTCCAGTCAAAACAGCCATTAAGTACAAGGTTTTAATTTTTAGCGCCTGGAAACTTTTTAATTTTTTAATTTTTTCACCATCTGATGGTGACAGATTTGGTGGTTTATCAGGTCTTACACAGTTGATAGAAGTCTCATTTTGTTTTTTCACTTATTTTCCTTTGACTTTCATCTCCCTTATGCAAGTGGATAATCTTATATGTCTCTTATATCATATATAATCTTATATAATCTCATATCTCCTCAGATATATCTCCTGAAAAAAATACTTGACTGGTAATTAAATAAAAGAAAGGTGGTCTCCAGGGGTTAATGTCAATAAGAAACAGAGCTAAACTCCAATACTATAATTTGATTGAAATGTACATTGTTTCCAATACAGCCTTTGTAAAGCATTTAATTACCAGATGTGATAAACTGCACTGACAGAAAAACCTTAAAACTGTTTTTTGATGAACACACTATAAATGGTACTTTCTGAACAATGTTTACATGGTACATCCAACATTTTTATAAAAAAAAAAAAACCGAGGAGAATTCAGTTTTCCATGATTTCCATTTTGTCACTAAGTATTTTAAACTGAATCTCTCAGGCTTGTTACAGTTTAGACACTAGAATCAGACTGAAATCAGCACTGATGTGTTTAAATCTGATTTAGAAATAAGGTTATTTTCTTTTATTATAAAGGAAAAAAATAGATCTGCAAATCTTTACTTGGGCAACATTATAAAATGATGAACAATCTACTGAGGCTCTCTGTTGCCCCCACAGCGGCTGCTACACCCCTGTGTGTGAGTAAAATGCAGTGACATGGGACTCTCACCATAGTGCGTCTGGGTAGTGGGTGTGGGGCGCTGGGGCAGGAAGATGCAGAGCTTCCGTTGGAGTCCAGGCTAAAGGATCTAGGGGAAGTGGGGGACAGGGCCTGGGCATGACGGCCTGAACTGCTAGACTGTGGAGTCTGATACAGGAAGTGGCAACTGCTGCCCTCCCCATCTGCTCGAAAACCTGCAAAAAGACAGCAGAGCTGTTAGGCCACTTCCTTCCTTTTGTTTTCTTACACGTTCAACTCAGCTTCTTCGGAAGCTTGATATGAATAGGATAGTTTGGATTTGAAATAAAAGGAAGAGGCCTTACATGAAAAATTCCTCATTGTTCTGTCTGCACTTTCTTTTTCACATATAATGTAATGAGCCAAACTATTCACACTGCCCGTCACTACCATTTGAGCTGTTCTCCAGCTTGCTGGTGTTTGGCAAGTAAGTGTATGTGGGCCTTTGGTGACACTTAAATATGGCATTTTTCTGTAAATTTTAGTTCACAGTTTCTATTTACTTTTAAAATACTTTTTAGTTTAACATGCTGAAATGTTAAATTCAGCAAACAGTAACTGTGAATTAAAATGTGCAGAAGTGTGTTCTCCGCAGAGGATGTGTTAACTAATTTTTGCGTAGAAAATCAACAAAACGTAATTTGAACAAGGTCACCTAAACTTTTTTGCACATGACCATATACTTAGTAGCCTTAACCAACAGTTGATGGTGCTACTAAAGCTAACTAACAAAACCATCATGTCATAAGGACCACAACAAAGGAGACCTTTCTTTACATTATGAGATAAAAAATGTATGTTAAATAACGACGTTAACAATCCTTATAAAAATTAGGTGCGGGCGATATGGCAAAAATATAATCACGATATTTCAAGACATTTCATGATACACTATATGCATCACAATATTTAGTTTAATATACAAATACAAATGCAATCAACAACTGTGAGTACAATGATTTTTATTTAAGGTTTCACATGCCATGCTGCACTAAATTCAATTAAACAGGACTATTAGGCTCTCTTTGTAATAAAACATGCAGTTGGTCATTGTTAGGCGTTGCCTTCAGTGTGTCTTTGTTGTGTTAGACCCGTTTTATCATTTCAAGAGTTGAATTCCAGTGCATGGGTACGTCCTGGACAAGTGTCTCCTCCTCTTGACCATGAGAGGCTTGCTGAACTTTCGACTCTGCTGCGTTTGCAGGACCAGAGCCGGTCTGGCAGGACTGTGTTTTATATGTCTGACTATTTTACAGCACTTGGCTAAAGCATGGACAAAGCCACTGTCACAGAGAGCCACTGTGATCACCCTCTGTATAATGTGAGCTGCACAAGGAAAGGTAGATTCTTTGCTGCCTCGATCATATTGCACGTGCTATCTGTTCCTACAGTGGTGATCTTTAGTCATCCAGTTCCAGACAGAACTTTAATTTTATCCAAACTTCCACCTGGAAGCTTTTTAAAACGAAACTTGCCATTCAGCACACAAGGGGATGTTTCCTCAGTCATTGTGTTATCTATGTTTGCGCCTTTCAGCAAATCCACACAGAAATTACGGGAGGAAGTCAGGGTCAAACTTGATGGTGATATGATTAATCTTGAGCATAACGCATTAAAGTTGACAGCCCTACAGAAAACACCTGACAAATATTCATGGCAGACATTCAAAATGCAACGTTATATAAAACTATAGGTAATATATCATCCCGTAACCACCTAATGACTGTTTACAATTATTTTACATTTATTTTGCATAGTTTAACCATATCAACCATATTAAACACTCCATATCAAAAATGGTCATTTCAGCCACAGTCACAGTGTTACCACCAGGCTAATCTTCATCCAACGTTAAAGGACACAATGAACCTATTTAAACCTATTTAAACCACACACACACAATCCAAGCAACAGAGCATAGAAAAAAAATACACCACACACAAAAAAAAACAGCATGAAAACCCACCAGAAATGAATGAAGGCCTGGTGTGCTCACCTCGCTCAGGCAGCTCAGACAGAGAGTTTAGTGCTGTCATGGTGTACTTGGGTGACCCTGAGCTGAAACAAACTTATTATCAGCAATTACATTTTTAAGGTTTGATATACCAAAGTATATTGCTCGATTTAAGTAAAAAGAGATAGAAAGCATGTGATTTGTTCATATATTGAGATCTACATGATCCACAACTGTACAAGTGTAAAAATTTTAGTGTGTAACAAAATAATCATATAAAGCCTTTAAAATCCATGCACATTATGACGAGTATGTAACTCTAGAGTAAAGAGTGATGATTCACTATCTCACCACTAGAGGCCAGAATTGACTTAATCTATGAAGGTGCAGGCACTTACACACACTTTTGAACAGATGAATCGTGACTGCTGAAGCCTCGAGGACTCGCCGGGACTCCATAATCTACCCAAAAAAGGCAGAAACATTAAGACATTAGCTGTGTCAGGCAATCTAGAGTGGCGAAAACACAAAAAATGTGACACATCATCTGTCTCAGGACTGAGAGAAAGAACCACTTTTGATTGTGTAGTAACTGCAAAGCCTTAATGAAGTTATGTGTATTAAAATAAAAAAAACTATTCTAAATAATAAAATCTTTGAGATGTAAAACTTTAAGATGTAAAAGTCACTGAGACTATGATGTGAAATGGGAATTACAGAGAAACCTACTGAAACTTACTGTTCATTTGCTAAATCTGACATACTGGAAAAAAATAAAACACCAAAATGTGGCTTATGCAAAATGTATAGCACATTTAATATTTTAATATTAGTTAATATGTACTAAGTTAATTCGTACATATATTTTTATATAAAAACATGTATTCTAACTCTGCATACTATACTCTGCATTATATATACATTCTTTTTAAGTTTTCATATGTCGATAATGGTGGTAAAATGTTGGTAAATCTAAAAAAACATTCCGGTTTTTAATGAAGTGCTGTCTGAGGGGTCAAAGGTCACAGGCGTTCAGTTGTAGTTTTTAGGCTTGCTTTTAACACATAGTGATTTTTCTGTATTCTGTGAATCTCTTGATGATATTCTGCAACTTTAAGGGTGAAATACATGAAATCCTTGAAAACACTTATTTAGGAATGTTTTTATTAAACATTTGGACTATTTGCTAATACATTTTTTGCTTGAGACCTTTCCTGGATGCTTCTGTTATACCATTATAACATATTATCTCTTATCAAAAGTTTTCTGGACATTTAACAACATTCCAGGTCCCTGTCTCAACATGATGATGGCATTAATTTCAGAATTAACATACATTTACGAAAAAAAAACAATAAAGTATATAAGATAAATACCTTGTCTTTGTAAGATAAACATCTTGTCTTTGTCCTGTTTTTGTTTTTATACAATTAAAGATGGATTTACAAATCACTGCTTTCTGTTTTTATTTGCATTTTACCTACTTTTTTGGATTTGGTCTTGTACTACACCCCACATGTGCCTCATACATAAATGTATGAAAAATACATCAATGTATGACATGTATCTTATGTCAAACAAGCTATGTCAAAACTACTGTAAACCTATTTTGTGTAATAGTTTTCTGTGAGGAAGCTTTTAGAGGGCTTCAGATGGCTGGTTCCTGTCACCAACACTGTGAACAATTCTGACCCGTTATGTTTCTCTAGAATGAATGAAATTTCACATCAATCAACTAAGAATGACTTTGTTAACATCTTAACGGTTTAATTACGCAGACATTTTGAGAAACCTGTGGCATTTCCTTAAACTCCACTTTCTGAAGTGTGAACTTGCCAGCACAAAGTGATTTACCCAAAAAAGGCCAAAATGTTAAGTTAAATGTAGGCACTACATTCCCAAACTAGCATATCATTGTTGTGGTAATAAAACATTTCTGATATGCTAACTTTCTAGCAAAAAGAAAAAACTTTTCAATAGGAAAGTTTAGCTGTGTGTGCGCAGGGTGCGCATGCATTTACCAGCATGTCCTGGCCGTGAGCCTCCATGTGGACTGAGAGGAACCTGAGGAGACGGCTCAGAATACGTCCGCTTGTGTCGAATCACCAGCGGAGGAGGAGGAGTTCTCTTCTTACTGAAGCTGGCCTCTGTCCACCCATCCGGGGGACTGACCGGGGGAGGAGGGGGAGGAACATTCGGAGCTGAAGAGAAGAGAAGAGAGAAGAGCAGAGGAGAGGAGAGGAGCTTCACTTTGTTACTTTTTCATAAATTTAACAGACAAAATGATTGTGATAAGAACTGTTTCTCACCACGGGCTCTAGGTGGTAGTGGTGGTGCGGGAGATGATGGTGGGGGAGGTGGGGGACTGTCCAGGCTGCGTGTCTGAGGACTGGGGCTACAGTATGCTTCTCGTTTGTGTTCGCCTCGCCCCAGAGCAAGCCGGCGGCCCACGCTGAATATACCCCCCGCACCACGTTCCTGAGATCCGCTGTGGTAAAGGCTGAAAGGCCTACTTGACCGGTCCTTCTTCACTGGACCTGACTGCAGATAAAACCATGCAGCCACCAGAGAGATAAATCAGCTTACAACTGAAGCTCAGTCAAATGAGACACAGGAAAAATATGTATCTGGCATACTATATTCAAATGGCAACGCTTTATTCAAATAATGAAGAAACTCACTTACACTGAACATTCAAGAATTACTACAGTAGCTTGCAAACAAGGCAGGAAGTGACCTGAACTTTTATTTAATTGATAAAAGTACAAATAAATTACTTTTAATGTTTAGGCTGACCAGCCTTGTGCTGTATTTTGTAAATATAAACAAATTTTGAATTTGATGCTTGTAACACTTTCAAAAAAAAGTTGGAACGGGGCAAAATAAGAGTGAAAAGTTTGTAGTATATTCAAGTTACACCATTTTGAAACATTCCACAATAAGCAGGTGAATTCGTAACAGGTGAGGGTATCATGATTGAGTATAAAAGGAGCATCAACAAATGGCTCAGTCTTTGCAAACAAAAATGGATCATGGCTCAACACTTCGTCTCAAACTTCGTGAGAGAATTGTCCAATAGTCCAAAAAGATTTCTCAGTGCAATATTGCAAAATATTTAGGTCTTTCACCATCTACTGTACATAATATTGTGAAACGATTCAGGGAATCTGGAGAAATCTCAGTCTGTCAAGGGCAAGGCCGGAAACCACTATTTAAATGTATGTGACCTTCGAGCCCTCAGACGGCACTGCATGAGAAACCATCATGCTGCTGTGTTAAATATAGTCACATGGGCTAAAGAGTACTTTGGAAAACTGTTGTCACTTAACACAGTCTGTCAGTGCATCAAGAAATGCAACTCTATTACACAAACTTGTTTTTTGGGAAAAACAGACATTGAGTTCTCCATGCCAAAGACAAAACAGACCATCCAGACTTTTAACAGTGAAATATGCAAAAGCCAACATCTGTCATGGATTGGGTGACACAGCATAGGTGACTTGTATATGTGTGAAGGAACTATTGATGTGGAGGTGTATATTGGGATTTCAGAGAGACATCTGCCATTAAGACGATGTCTTTTCCCAGGAAGTCCATGGTTATTACAGCAAAACAATGCTAGGCCTGTGGTATGCGTGTGCTTGACTGGCCTTCCAGTCCAGATCTTTCTCCCATTGAAAATGTATGTCGAATCATAAAGTGGTGAATCAGATGACGACAACCATGGACTGTTGAGCAGCTTACGTCTTGTATCAAGAAAGCCTGGGCAAAAATTCCACTTGCTAAACTGCAACAATTAACATCCTCAGTTCCCAAATGAACAAAAAGTATAATCAAAAGGAAAGGTGATCTAACACAGTGCTAAAAATGCTTCTGTCCTAACTTTTTTTGAGTGTATTGCAGGCATCAAATTCTAAATTTGTTTATATTAACCAAATACAATTAATTTGGTCAATGAAAACATTTGAAATCTTAGTATGTTTGACAGTTAAATAAAGGTTTAAGAGAATTAACAAATTACAGATTCTTGTTTTTACTGCATTTTACAAAATTTCCCAACTTTTCAGGAAACGGGGTTTGTATTTTCACACCCACAAAAACAAAGTAACCTAGGATCATTTCAACACAGTTGCCCTCGAAAAACACTGCAAGCATTCATGAAAATGCATGATTATGAAAACTGAAAACACTGCAATGTTTTTACACCATCCCATCTCCATTCCTTTTTCTGACTACACTGAATATGCTAGGCTATTGGGTTCAGTGTTGTATGCTATTACAAAAGGACAAGAGGCAACACTGCAGAAATACAACATTATCTGTTTGAACCTCAGACTGCTTCTGTTTACCAAAACTAGTAAATTTTTGATGTTTCAAATTTAAGATAACCTTAACTTTTAACTTAGCTAGGTGGTTAACTGCTAGTATCTACCTTATTTTTCACCTGACCGCTGTATTTCGAGATTATTGTCAGAATATTTGGTCGGGGAACAGAAGTGTTCATTACTGTTTGAGCTAAGTCAAGGACCAAGTTATTTTATGTTCCATGAAATGTTTCTAAGGTGTTTCTGGGACAACATGCAGTTTGTAACTCTCACTCCAGCTGAGTGAAACTGAAAGGACAGCAAGGACAGCATAAACTTATCAAGAAAGCACACTGGTTTAAAAGACCTGAATGTGGCTTCATAATCATTGCTGGAAACAGCTGTTATTGTTGAAATCTGTGCCCATAAAATACAACCAAATTGAGAACTGCCAGTTGAACAATACTGGTTACTGCTAACTGGTTTACACATTATATTATCTGTAAATGGATCTTGCCTTTGCTAGACATGACTGAGCAGGTTAGCAGAAAGCTATCAGGCTAAAGGTCCAATAATAAAAGACTTTCAGTTTAAGCCCTCACAGAGGGAGTTACTTTAAAACTGAGACATACGAAGTAAAGAATACGCCGCTATTATGCCTTTTATGATCTTACAATGTCTTTATTTAAAATAGAGCTAATATCAAAATCCAACGTAATACTAAGCTAACCCACTAGCCTGGCAAGTTAAAAAAAATATAAGTGACTGAACAGATTTCTACATTTTACATAGTGTAATGGTACTACTTTATTGTTTTATGCCTGTACTTCAACTTGTGAACAAAATCAAAAAGTTGAAATGAAATGACTTTATTACCATAAAGTAATTTGCATAGGCTATGAATAGAATCCTCTGGCTAAAGCTTTTCTCTCATGCAGGCTCAGGTTTCTGTTGACAGATTGATTTTAAACAGCACAAAAGCATCCCAATAATAAAGATTATTTACATTTTTATTTACTCCCACATTTCTATCATGTTTGATATTCTTGGCTTTTAACATATTTAACACATGTAGTATGAAGTTCTGTGCATAAGCCACTTAAAGCATCATGGGACATATGAATAAGGTGGATACTAGCCTGCACAAGGTAGATACTAGCCCCCCCTAATTTAGCCAATTGCTAGGTCTCCCCCTTTCTCTCAACACTACCAAGCGCTGAGGTTGACTGGTGCCAATTCTTTTATCTTAGCTAACAGATGCCCGTGTTGGCTAGCATTACCTGGAGTGATGGGGGAGAGAGAGGCCCAACATACCCACCCTGAGAAAATGAGGTTAAATATGCGCTCTTTGTCTTCCAGTCACAGATGGCTGTGGCCAGGAGATCAAACTCACAAACACAAACACACAATAGGACCAGCACCTAGGTGGTTGCACCACCTCAGGAGCCCCATTTGCATTGTCCTTACTGTTAGACTACTAACTGCACTGCCCATTACTAACGTGATTGGCATTAGCTATGTTAGCAAAGATCATTATAGGTATAATCTTATTTTCGTGATATCCACAATCTCTTATGTACCACCCCACCAATCATTTTATACGACAGTTTTTTCAATGGTAAACACTGAATGGTAACAACTCTGACCAATATAATCTACTTAACCATAATAGGCCACCCAAAAGGAGCCAACCATCTAAAAAGCACATCTCTGAAGCACTTAACCAGCATAGTAGGGATGAGGGTGACTACCTGAGGCTTAAAATTATTAGTAAAATATAAAGTCTGACCTTGTCTTCCAGCTCATCGTCACTTTCATACAAATCGTCCTGCCGCAGTCTCCACTCATACTCCACATGGATGTGCATGTTAAACTGATTGTTCTGAGATTGCTGGATCTGAACAGTAAACACAACAATTAATCACACTTCAGAACAGCTAAATCATTGACCAGTTTGTTCTTCGGGGGAATGATTTACATTGATCTACTGTAGCAGTCAAAACCTGACAGAAAGGGTTTTTTTATTTTCTTTGACATTTAGGTCTAAAGGCTTATGCTTAAATGTTCCAAATTTTTAAGTAACTCAATTTCACATTTAAAAAATGCACCCCACTCCGAACAGGTAGTTACATTTTAAAATCTAGTGAAATTTACAGTGCTACTCATTATATTCATTGATAGAGCTGAAATCATTATCATAGTAATTACTATAAGTCTTGTTAAGAGTTTGTTAGTGGAAGGTGTGTCCTTGTGAGCCAATCAGCTGTGTTGTGCAGTATGATCTGAAGTCTGAATAGTCCTATTTGCTATTTCATTTGCAGCATTATTTGCAGTATTATTCTAAAATATGTACAAAGGTAAAATAAAAAAAACACTTTGAGCAGATGTGTTTTGAAAGGTACTGTAAGTTGTAATAGAAGAAATGAAACCCTGTGCAGCATACCAGTTCTTCACAGTGCGTATGCTTCAGTCTTCTAGCGATGTCCAGAGCAGTCTCTCCGTTTTCGTTTTCTATATGAACAGAACAATTACCATCAACTCCCTCTCAACATCATCTTTCACGCTCTATAATTAACTTCTCACAATCAGCCAACAGTCCAAGTCTGTTTACAAGGCAATGAGCCTCATTTCTGAAGAAGACGGCATTTGCTATTCAGCTATGAGAGACTTTACATTCAGATGAGGACATGGAAACTGCATTATATTCCCTTTCACATAAACATTCATTGTCACCATAAGCTTTTCTGAGTATATGGTTGACGTTCTAAGTACTTCCAAGACACTGACCATCGGATGTTTAATTAAAAACAGGTTTATACAATAAGTGCCATACTGTGAAAGGCTCTGCTCTATTGTCATCAGATTGTGAGTCTAAATCCTGAAAAAAATTGTACTAATACTTTGCTTTGCACTGAATTTGTGACATACACCATATACAACAAAACATAATATCTGAATTTTATGGAGTAAAAGATCTATGAAGTAAAATAACTAACAGATTAGCAGAATGAACAGCTAAAGAACGAGCAGCAATAGCATAAACAGCTCTAGAATGAACAGTAATAGAAAGAATAATAACAGAATGAACATCTATAGAAAGAGCAGTTATAGAAAAAACAGGTACAAAATGAACTGCAACAGAATGAATAGTTAAAGAATGAGCAGCTATAGAATGATCAGTCATAAAATAAACATTTACAGAATGAATAATTACAGAATAGTTCCAAAATGAACAGCTACAGAATAAGCAGCTATAAAATGAACAGCCACAGAAAGAATAGTTACAGAATGAACAGCTATTATATGAACAGTTATTAAGTAAAAACCTATAGAATGAACAGCTACAGAATAAGCAGCTATAGAAACAACAGTTGTGGAATGGACAGCTACAGAATATAGGTCACTTGTATCATGATGAAAAGCTATAGCTCACAACAGAAGAAACAACAGTTACAGAAGGAACAGCTATAGAATGAGCAGCTATAGAAACATAGGTTCCATGTGTATCATCAAAATGTCTTCAAGTAATATGATATTACACTTTTGCCATATTGCCCAGCTCTATTAGTGAAATGAAATGCAGTGTGAAATAACGGTGGAGATGAAGGTGTTTTTACTCACTGATATGTGTGTTGGCCTTGGCCCTCAGCAGGAGCTTAAGGCACTCAGTTTTATTGTGCAGGCAGCAGTAATGCAGTGTAGTGTTCCCCCGCACTGTCTGCGCATCCAGATTATTACTGAAACAAACATTGTAAACACCCCAGATTATTACTAAAAACACTGTGAACACACTGGATTATTAGTGAGACAAACAAGGTAAAGACACTTGATTATTACAAAAACAAACACAGTAAACACACCAGAGTATTACTTAAACAAACACAGTAAGCCTTAGGTTATTTCTGAAACAAACACAGTAAACAAACAGATCATTACCGAAACAAATAACTGTAAACACAGCAAATTATTACTAACACAAATACTGTAAACACACCTAATTATTACTAATACAGGCACAGTAAATACGATAATTTGCTGAGACAATGTAAACACACTAGAACATTACTGAAAAACACTGTAAGCACTTCAGATTATAACTGAAATACTGTAAACACACAAGATTATAACTAAAACAAATACTGTAAACACATCAGATGATTACTAAAACAAACACTGTAAGCACACCAGCACACAGGAGATTTTTTCCTCTCTCTTGCTGTCTGTGCTTTCTTTTTCTCATCTGCCCCTCTGTCTTGTACTCTCCTCTCTCAGTCTTTGTCTTTCTTTCTTTTTCTATCTCTTCCTCCCTCTCACTCTCTTCACTCTCTACCCTCTTTCCCTTCAAGCTACAATCAGGTTCAGACAGACGTTCACCCAAAATGGACAATGCCTTAGGAAATTTAGCCTCCAATGTTGTGTCTACTGGAGCTGCTGAGTGTCCAGATGGTCTTTCACGTCTTCTGTCAGGCATTATAAAGTTTGAAAATGGCTGACCTCACTCTCCTCACTTTCAGCAGAGGCCCTGAGTGGCCGTGCATGTGGCTTAGTGGTACATGAAACAATATATAAGACATGTAGAGAGATCTCTGATCAACATACAGTAGATCTGTAACTAGAGCCAACACACTGAGTCTCATTCACCAATATATTAAGTTTTTCTTTTAAATTTGTTCTTGAGAAAGGTCCTAAGGAAAAGTCTGAACCGCAGAACTGTTGGCACCTTTGTATTCTTGAATGCGTATATTCTGTTCTTACCTAAGAACAAATCCCAAACAGGAAAACACTGGCGAATGTCAGAATCTTTATGACAACTGCATAAGTGGGTTTTAAGGAGAAATTTCTTATTCAGAACAGTTGATGTATGAGACCCACTGTTAGTCAAGATTACAATATTGACCTTTGCAATACCAATATCATAGAGGGTTTATCAGTCACATCGTTTATTATTGTCTGAGCATCCTGAACAACCACATTTCCAGATGAGAGTGATTTGATTAATCAAGGTATTCATGTTATTCAACAAAAGTAGGCATGTGCGTAGAATAAGATGTGGGAAAGGCCAATGCTCTTTCATTGAACTGGCAGCAAGAGAGAACTGCTGCTCAGTGCTGCTGAAATGGCCAAGAGAGCAGTCTGGTCACTTCTACCCATACACTTTCTCCTGATGGTAGGCTCTAACGCTCCACCAACTACCCCACAGGCCAGCACAGAATCGCAAAAATAACACATAACAACTTATTCCCAAAGAACGTGCTTCCCAAGAGCCACCTCACATGGCTGCTCTGTATGGCCACACCTCCCGCGTTCCCACGGCAGAGTGAACCAGCAGCGGGAAGCTACATTAACTTGGACAAAATAATGCAGACGAGCTCTTGAAAGGCACAGATGTCTAAGTGTTGGACCTATCGTAGAGAGCTAGGAAGTTCGGCCCCCAATGGCTGGAAGTCCAAGACAGCATAGTTGGCCTCGCCCTCTATTAGCCTCCCTCTCCCCCCATGACTTGGCATGATGGTAGTAAATGTGGTCTGTAGGCCTGTTATCTACTGTAACAGAACTGGCAGTAAGTGTTCTTCTTCAAGTGCATTAAGCTGTCCGATGACAATGTGTTGGCTGGCATCACATGCTAGGAAACATGCAAAGCTTCACCAACCTAGCTTGGTAGCATTGAGTGAAGGGCAAACTGGAAGAAAAACTGGTTTGGTTAGCATACCCTGAAAGAAGCTAAAGACATATTCTTATTTCATACTAGACAAAGCTTACTTCTGCTTTGTCTACCTTGGATTGTTGAATAGCCAAGCTGTTTGACATGGCAAGTGTAGAGAGCAAGCTTTGGCTGGAACAAGTGAAGTTATCCTCACATTCATCGCCTGTTTAGGAACACTTCGGTTTTCAAGTACAATAATGATGGGCAAAGAAGGTAGACTGAATGATGAGAACATTGCATCAGTATCAAATACCTGTGCTAATACCTCAGCTATGCTAAAACATTTGTGAAGGCATTACCCAAATGTCTCTGTTACTGGAGCAAAGAAAAAACACGAGTCACAGCAGCTACTCCTCCACACAGGATTCAAGCAGCTGCCAAGTGCTGATTATGAGCAGGTGAAACAGGTAACTCCACAGGGACGCTTACAGCTTCTGATTTACACCAATATTGGGTAGAGAGTCGTTGATTTTGCAGTTTGTTGGGAGTAACTGAGGCATGTTAGAAATCTCTCACTTATTTCAGCCAAAAGGTAGGAGCCACACTTTATGTAGAAACTCAGACTGTAAATAAACTTAAAACTTATAATGCTCAAAGCCATAATCTGTGTCACATGTAAAACAATTAGCATATTTTTGTATACTATTTTTATTTATTTTATGTATTCTAAGAAAATGACTTCTGCCAGTTATTCCTTTAACAAATTTTTCCATCCATCATCTAAACCACTTATCCTTCTGGGTCGCGGTGGGGTGCTGGAGCCTATCCCAGCTGTCATTGGGCGGGAGGCAGGATACACCCTAGACAGGTCGCCAGTCCATCGCAGGGCAGACAGACAGACATACACTTTCACACCTAGGGGCAATTCAGCATGTCCAATTGGCCTGACGGCATGTCTTTGGACTGTGGGAGGAAACCCACGCAGACACGGGGAGAACATGCAAACTCCACACAGAAATGACCCCAGTCACCCGGCCGGGAATCGAACCCAGGCCATTCTTGCTGTGAGGCGACAGCGCTACCCACTGCGCCACCGTGCATTATATACGTTAGATGTAATTATATCTAATTACATCTAACGTAAATACTTATAACTAAGTTTTTTAACTAATTGTAGCTCTAATGGATAGTGTTAAATATACTAATATGACAGGTGATTAATAACATGGCCTCACCAGTTGTGTACCAGGAAGTCCACCATGTGTAGGGAGGTCCGGTCAGCCAATAAAACAGCAAGGTGTAGTGCTGTCTCCCGCTTTTCCTTAAAGAAGGAAAAAAGACAAATAACTGACCATTTGCAAAATTCTGACAAATCCTGCTACCTGTGTTCATTGCTGCTACATCATTAAGTTTTCAGTTCAGTCTACCTTGTAGGATCCACAGCATGTGACCATGTGGCAGTTGGTCTTTTACACTCTTATGTAAATGTGTCAATTCATATGGTTTACCCATATAACATACAGTTTTCTTTTGCAATTTTGGAAGTATACGGCTGTATAAGGCTGGAATACAGAACATTTATACAAGTTCCCCATGAGCTCAAGTCACTAAAAAGTAATCTGATCAGACTGTGGGTGGTTGTTTATGTACAATTTATCTTTAGAGACTGTTGTTTTGTCAGTATATCACAGAACACAGGTTGACTCTGCTCTAGGGTTCAGGTGTATAGCAGTAGTAAAGTGTCCCGCTGCATTAAGAAATGATGACGGTGTTTCAAATTTATGACTTGTCAAACTCTATTCCACATCAGAATAGTTAAATAAACACTGACTGCTAGTGTGAGCACTGATAGAAAGAGAGAAAAAAATCAGAGCCAGGAAAACCTAAGCACGAGAGTGGCTCAGACATATTTTCTTTTCATCTACAATTGTTTCAGTAGAGCACCAAACCTGTACAGTGATGTGTGGCACTGTGTGGGTCTCTAGCTTGTTTGCTAAGCTAATGTTAATTAGCCAATCAGGCTACAGATCCAACATCACAGAACAGGTTTAATGAAAACGTCAATTGTTTGACTTCACTCCCTCAGACTTTAATCATTAACTACACTTGTTTTAGTGCTTTAGTTAGCCAAAATCTAACTTTTTCTATGGTTAGCAAACACAAATGTGTTATCATGCTTGCTAAGCTAATGCTAACCATGCAGTTCCTCTCTCCTGGTTGGCAGGACTGTTTAACATTTGTCAGCACTGTTCAGAATATCAACTGATAGACAGATTGATAGATAGACATTTACTGAATGATGTCTTAAAAATTGTTCACCTAGTTTGTGACCATGTAAGTGAACTACTCTTTTTGTTTTTTTTGTTTTATTTGTTTTATTTTTTATTTAGGACGAGAAAAGGATCATCAGTATGATCACAGTAAACAAAATAAAAACAGGATAAATTGCTGTTGTTGCTGATAATATTACTGGTAAAAAGGTTCTGTAAAGGTATCAGTGAATGTATGAGGTTTAGAGGCTGTGAACATAAGGGTTGCTGTCTCTAGAGGTTGACACCTATGGATACAGTGAGATACCGTGTCTCTCACAAAGGAAACCCAACATTACACCTGCAAAGAAGAGCTGTGAGTGTTTGCTGCATGACAAACATGTTATAGCTCACTGAAAATGAGTCATGATTTAAAAGTGACAAAAACAGGTAATAATACACAACGATTTTGGAAACAGTCCTCTTATTTGGAGAAAGGGAAGCATAGCATGCTGTTGTATGAAAAAGTAATATCTCTAAACAGTAACTTTACAGGAGGAAGAATGGAATGCTCTTAACATCTACTAACATAACATAAAATTCTATTGGTCCTATTTGTCATTTCATTTTTAAATTTTTTTAATCTTTTTAAATATATATATATTCATATAAGAGTAAAGAAATGCCCATACAAACCAGTCATAGGATGTGTGTGTGTGTGTGTATATGTGTGTGTGTGTGCGCGTACCTGAAGCAGGCCAGGCAGTGGCAGGCTCAGTTCCAGTTTTTCAGCGTAAAGCTGTAGCAGGCTGAAAATGTCCCGGCTGTGCACGGCCTCCTGCAGCCGGCGTCGCAGTGTGTCTGGAGAACTGCCGCTACGCTGAGCAAACTGAAACTCCAGATACTTCGCTAAGATAAAATCTTTACGTTCCGTCCTGCACAAAAACACACACAGGAGTGTAAATCTCCGATGTAACGGATTCAGTTGGATTACGATTCTTTAGCACACAATTCAATGCATCAAGAAACCTCTCAATAAATTGATTCAATAATTTTGGTATAATTATAGATATGTGTAATACACTCAGTACACAATTGTGACTGGAGGAACTATGTACACAGTAGTGGAATACAGACAAAAAAAACAACACAACATTTGAAAAATCCAACCAATTCATATCAGTATAAAATAAAACTGCCCACAGCTTTGTCACAGGGCCAGAACCATTGCTTAGTCACTGCACAACCGCATCCCACCCCACACCTGCAAACAAAGAAAACTTTTAATTTACCTAAAACATTTTTAAATAATTTTTTAATAAAGAAACCATATATAGTTGGTTTTTCGCTGTTCTAAAGTGTGTGCATGAAGGTAAGTATCTGCTGAACACACCTCAAGCTCAACCTATAGCCCATTCGTCCTATGGAAAGTCACAGTCCGCCCACCCAGTGTCCATGGTAACAACAGTCAATATGTCATGTGTTTTGAACGTGAAGGGAGCCAAGTTTTGCATTCCAATTTTCTTCAAACCTTGGTGACATTCGTTTGGATGTGTAGCCTACTCAATGTATTTAATATTACTTGATGATACATATGTTTATTGCCAAAAATTTCTGTCAGTGGGTTCAGTTTAAAATGTCCACTATAATTTATACTTAATTTAATTATAATTGAATGTGACTCAAATGCGTTTGTGGATATATGTGTCTGTCTGTCTGTCTGCCCTGCGATGGACTGGCTACCCGTCCAGGGTGTATCCTGCCTTCCGCCCAACGACCGCTGGGGTAGGCTCCAGCACTCCCCGCGATCCAGAAGGATAAGTAGCTTAGAAAATGTGTGAGTGTGTGTGTGTGTGAATGTGAGATATAAAGCACTTTAATTATTAGACAACTAGCCTGCTAGTTCAGCCATTCATTGTGAGCTAAATATAAATGTACCTAAAGTAAAAGTAACTGGACACTAAACATAATATATAAATATAAATGTACCTAATATAAATGTACCTAAAGTAAAAGTAACTGGACACTGTAAAGACAAGGGTACATAAAGAAAAAGGTAGTATTTATGATGCAATAGTGGTTGTTTTACTAAGAGTTTGACAATTTGCTTTGTAGTTGGTCTGGATTCCTGTGTGTGGCTAATTAACAGTTTCAAAAAAAGACTGTAGGGTCTCTGTGGTCAGAGATTTTACCGCAGGGCTAAATTCCAGGCCCTAAAGTCATTCTAGAGCGCAGATGGTCAGATGCAGTTTAACTGTCCAGCTCATTATCCAACCATTCCCCAGCGTTTCTGGAAGTTATTTTAGGACAGGCACAGATGGGAGACACACAGACACTTTACTTTTAGCAAAACATCCTGAACTGAACCTGCATCCTCACAGGTCATATGGAATCGAAGGAGGTTTCTCAACAGGTGAAGCCAGGCTTCATTTTTAGCTGCTGGTCATGCAGTGGAGGAAAGCGAATATGGGTTAGTTTTATGTTCCAGTACTTTGCCACTTCACTAATATTTTAAACGTTTCTATTGTCTTCCTTGTCTATTCTTCCCATGGATATGTGACTGCAGTAGTGATGTTACCCTTGATACTGAAGCTTTGGAGCATATGTCAAAAAACCCAACGCACTTTACTTTAAAGCACTGCATCGATGCTTGGTTTAGTTTCCAAAAACACGCGCGATCAATGATGTCCAAAACTGAATTCGGCACTTGACCATGTGACTGCTTCAGAAACAGATTCAACAGAAACAAACCATCATGGGTTTTCATGGTTTCAAGCCAATACCAAACACGTATATCTTGATTTGATTTCATATACGAAGCCCCCATCTTGACTATAAATGAATATGCAGGGCACAGTCATATGTAATTAAGGTTATGCATGAGTTTATCAGATTTGCTGTGAATACTAGCTGTAAGCATTGCCTCTAAGGTGATGCAATGTTTTTTTGATCATGTAACACACCCCAGCATCATGTTACCAATTACCTTTAGTGCTTTAGAAACAAATTACATACCTTTAAATCACTAAAAGACATTTTATCCTTTGGACTTTTATCCTAAAACATCTTCTAGAACAGAGTAGATTCATAGCTGTCGCTCATGCTTTTAATTCTGGGGAATGTAGGAACTTGATATTTGGTGACTTTATAAAGGGTGAATCCAAGTTTTATAGAGAACTACACTCTTAAAAAAATGTCTCTTCAATGGTTCTTTAGTAAAGAAAATGGTTCTATGTAGAACCATGAACAATCAAAGAACCCTTTGCATGATTAAAGGGTTCTTTGCATTGTTACAGCATTCTTCAGATGATGGAGAATGTGCTGTAGATGGTTCTATATAGAACCTTTTTGAAAAGGGTTCTGTATAGCACCAAAAAGGGTTCTTCTGTTGTTATGATGTCAGGCTTATAACAACAGAAAAACCCTATTTGGTTCTACATAGAATCATCTTTAAAAAGGTGTTATATAGAACCATATAAAATGCGTTCTCCATCAATCTGAAGAAACTTTTCACTGTGAAAAGAATCCTTTAATCATGTAAAGGGTTCTTTGAGTGTTCAGGGTTCTATATAGAACCATTTTATTTACTAAAGGACCTTTGAAGAACCATCTTTAGAGCGTATACCACTATGTTCATTAAATGTACTGGATCTATGTCCGTTGGCATATGTATGGAATTTTACTTATTTCCTGACATATGGAGCAATTACATGTGTTTACAGCATGTGATTGCTCCATATGCTCCATTAAGTGAAAAGAGTTTGAGACTGGTATCTGGAGGACCTCTGTGTAATCTTTTTAATTGTGAAAGTATCATGTTTTTAACACAATTACATGTTTTTATTGTGACCTTTTGGGTTTCACTGAGGAAATAGTAATTGTGCCATAGACACTACTACTCGTCATACTTCACACTTGCCAATTGTGCAAAACAGCACCACCCTCAGGTTATTAAACAAAACATCAGTGAGACAGAGACTTTTCTTCATCTGACTAATCTAACTGTATCTCTGTCAGTGGTTTATTGGCTTGTTCTGGATAATGATGGCTAGGTTGGCTTGTAGCTCACAAACTGACTGCACTGCTAATCATGTGTGTTGTTTATGTACGCTGCTGCAAGTGATGGGGCAAAATTTGCAAGAGATGGATTTGAGTATTTACGAATGTTTACCATGAGCCTGGTAATTAATATAGCGTTTATGTAGACCCAACCAATTCAACTGTATTCCACAAGAAAATATGTGAGGAGGAGAAAGGTAAGGTGAGGTCACCAGCAGCCAATGTATGAAATATATTATTGACTTATGCATTATATTTCATATGACCTAAACAGAATATTTTACATGCCCACCCTCTGCTCTATATTTTCTCCTGAAAAATATCTCTTGAAAAATATAATTTGTAATTAGCAGCCATTTTCATACAATAATATATATTTATATATATTTCAATGTTTCAGCAATACATTTCATATGAGGGAATTTCACTGTGTTGTTGTGGCCTGAGAATATGTAATGGAGAGACACTCCCACCACAAAAAGGAGGCGTCTACTGAGGGTCACATTGTGGTTTATTAATGTGAACTGTCAGAGGCAGCAGAAACTCTGCCAGCAAAAACTAATAACTGGTACCATGCAGTAGTACCAGAGTTTAAATAAGTTTGTTTTAGAGCATTAACAGCTCATTATTGAGTAAAGTGGGTGTGTTAAAGCAGGAAAAGTATTAAAATGTGCAGGACAGTGGGCCTTCAGGACACTGTTTTAGAGACCTTCCAAAACAGAGCCAGTCAAATATACAACAGTATATAATGTAGCATCTCCACTACACCAGACCTCCACTGGTGCATCTTTCACATATTTAAAATGGACATATTTGGAAAACTAACCACTTAAACTAACCCCTTAAATTTCCAGGCCCCACTGGCAGGCCCAAAGTTTTATTACACACTTCAGTAACCTAAGAATAGCTCAGCCAGTTTGCACTGAAGTCCCTGTTACTGAATAATAAGCCTTAGTATGTAATAAGCCTGAGGGATTTTAAGGGGATTCCAATTCAACTCAATCTTTTTAACTACAGTCTGATTCTGATTTTACTCTGATTCCTATTCGGTTCTGATTCTACTTTTTATTCTGATTCTGTTTTTTTTTTAGTGTACAGTGAGAATATTGGACTGCAATGCCTTGTTGTGGATGCTGTTTGAGTGATGGAAGCAAAGACTCAAACAGCTGAATGAGATTTTTCTCTGCAGTTGGAGAGGCAAATCCAGTCTGCCAATCACTCACATGTCACTTTCTGCAGATGGTTTCAGAGACGGACTGGGGAGGCTGGCCTCAACAATTTCATTAAACCCTGAGTTCCCCACATTCCTCGCCAACTGGACAGAGAGAGAGAGAGACACAGAGAGAGAGATGGAAGAAGGAATAAACAGAGTATCTATATGTGTGAGACAGAACACATCAAGTGAAAATTAGAAACAATTAAATATCAAATTTAGATAATTTATCTCTTATCACAAATGTAATCAATTAGCCATGTAGTGCTAATGTAGTCTCTAACCAAGTGAAGTCGTTATGTTATTTTAAACAGACTTGCTTGTGTGGTTTCTGACAGTATGTGGCATACTGTTAACTATACAAATAAACAAAAGTATAACCCTAGCCCTAGCTAATACAGTAGCAGTAGGCATCTTGAAGCCTAATTTTGTCTATATTAACTAAAAAAGCAAACTTCAGACACCAAACATGGCTTGATATTTGAGGCAATTATGATTTCTGGCCAGACCATCAATTTGAGAAGAGCTGACATACTTTCAAATCTCTGCACTGTTTACTTTGTTGTTCTATTTTTTATTGATTACTATGGAGAAGCAACTCACCAGCAATTCAGAAGTGCCCAGTTTGTCCAGTGAAAGGGACTGAATGCGTGAGTGATGGACGCCCATCTCCCGATGGATCCCTGAACACTCAATACATGTCAGAATGCCCAGATTGGTGGAAATCCATGTAGGATCTGAAAACAACACAGCAACATGAACAGTCAGTATGTGGATTAATAAAACACAAAATAAATAAAAAAGATTTTATTGTTTATTGTGTTACTCAGACTGTGTAAAGAGTTTGTTGGTGTGCCTGTGTCAAGGCCTTGCTATAGTTTTTCTACAGTAAAGTTTCTTGGAGAAGCAGCAATGCAATTAAAAATGTTGACATGAATTTCTAAGCTGTGCCATCAGCTTTTCTCAGAGACAAAGCCGCTGCTGTCTTGTCTGCCTTAATGAAGTTTTCAGTTAATCAAATGTCCTTTAAGGACAGGCAATGTCTAAATGCTGATAAAGAAGCCTGCAGTTGAGTTAACTGATGACTACTTACAATTTCTTGCTGAATTATGCTATATTGGAGGTCAAATGAAACAGCAAGCACACTGTAATGTAGCAGTGCAGCTGCTAGTCAACAGGTTATTGAAGGCCTGCACCAAATTAATCACTTTCCATTGTGTTTTCAAGTTTCTTTCATTATGCTCCGAACCGTATGTCGTCAAAGTCCAAAGACATTCTTGCTATGACAAAGCAAAATACATCTCTAAATGAAACAAAAAACAATAATATTTAATCCAGTATTGCTTTAAACACTTCAGTGTTAAATTCCTAATTGCTAAGCACACATTAAGAAGTGCGAGCATTTAATTAAACCTTCTAGGTGCCCCATGGCGTTTCTGCCTTAAAACACCTCTCCTTGCATTATGCATTGCATTTATATTTCTCACTTGAAGATTTTCAGCGAAATTTTGGTGTATTATGATTTTAATTTGACAAATGTTTACGTTGTGTATATAGTTTTGTTTTGCTTAAAAAAAGCAGACTCATACTGGTGATACAGAATGTACATCATATTCGAGTGTTCTTGGCTCTATATAGAACCATTTTCTTTACTCTTGAATTTTTGAAGAACCACTTATTCACTTTTTTATATCAATATAGTGAATATATAATGCATGTATTTGTGTGGAGAGGAGGTGAGTTTCAACTTGTGTCCCTTCCTCTTCTGAAAAAAAAAAATCTTTGGGTTCATCTCTTACCTGGAGCTCTGCAGTCACAGCACACGTTATTCCCCGGCATTCGGAGGATATCCTCGGTGATGGAGCGGGTTAAATCCTCCACACTGCTCTCACCACCCGTCTTGCGCTCATCCAGAGCCACATTCAGAGCCTCCTGCTTACTGTTAGTCAGCACAGAGATCCACCTGGAACACAATAATTTTAGGAAACAATTCAATGGATCATGAAATCTCAAATTTCACCATGAATCCATTTTATTTGATTATTTTCACAATTATTTAAAAATACACTGAACACATAAATGTGACTAGAGGAATTATTAACATGGTACTGTTAGAAATATAAAACATTGCGGCAGCTTTACAACAAGGCTCTGTAGAAAACACTGTAAACCTGCTACAAAGTGTATATATATATATATATATGTGTGTGTGTGTGTGTGTGTGTGTTGATACTTTTGATACAGGCTTTTAAGCAAATAAAACATGGAATGTCTTGTACAAGCTTCAAATGTGTGCCTTATGTAGACCGGACAAAAAATGTTCATATGAATCATCATTAGCTTAATTCCATAAGGTTGTTAGTTGCTAGCAGAAATTAACATTATTGCAGATGTGCTTCTTCCTAGTTTTTGACCAATTTTTGACATTAATGGCCCGAACTGAAGGCCTAATGCCACTGATATTCACAATGAAGTAAGAAGATGGCAATCACCATTTTGAGAAAGAGAACTGACAGACAACTACAGAAAACTAATTCTAAACAGCTTGCTAAATAATTATAAACATATAAGTAATGTTTTACATCTTTTAACTGTTAAAACAATGAATAATGACAGAGCATTAATAAGCTGTAAGGCTACAGTAAAGTAAATTCTCAGTCGTCTCTGCTGAAGTTTCCAGAGTGCGACACATCGTCTGAAGAAAATTCTCAGCATTTTTGTGCAGTTGAAGTGTCTCACTTGGTTTCCTACTGGCATCTATAGCTGAATTCTAGAGTTACAACAAGGAAAACACTTTTCGTTTTTTAATATGTAAGGGATGTGGAAATGACCTTGGAACTCGTTTAGAGCATGTGTAGCAGCATGATGTTTAACTAGCAGGGGGCGCTATTAGCATGCAAGTCATTTAAAGAGAAAAAAACAGGAGCAGGACACAAATGCATGTGTTTGCAGTATCAACTTTTAAAATGAGAGGTGAAATAGTTTTTCAAAAACGTTGAGTTTTTGTATTATTATTTATTCATTAAACATTTTCATGAATTGTTAATTTAGCATGCTCTGGGTGGTGAGGGGGTGGATAACATAATCAATAGTTCCCATGTTTAAAAAGAAAACACTGTGCTAATTATTTTAGATATTTTATATATTGCCCAGGCTTATTATTGATAACAATCTATTCTGACATTACAAAATTGATGCAGTTGAATCGCCATCTTCAGACTTTTGGATCAATGCTTCATGATCCCCTGATGCATTTTGACACCTCACACACACATATACAAACACTCACACACACACACAGTAAATCAATAAATCCAGAGAGCATGATGCATTTAAAATAGCTAGTGCTGCATACCATATAAAGCTATAATACCACTAGGGGGCTTCAATATGATCCTGACCCAAGAACGCTAATACTACACATGGTTACTTTGTTTCACTTTTCACTTCCTTCCACATGATGCAGTGTGTTGTGGTCACCAGTATTTATTAAGGTTGAAGGAATGGTTCACTACAAAATGTTAATGTTGCTAACAGTGAATGAAATCATACACACAGTAATTAGCACTATGCCAATGACATCATGCCAATTGCTGCTTCCATTCATAAACAGCTAACATGTTTGGTGCTAAAGGGAGACCAGGACCCATCAGCATTCTGCAATAATACCACTACTATTACTACTACTACTACTAACAATAATAATAATCATAATAATAATAAAAACATCATCACCGCTAGGGGTGCGGGAAAAAATTGATTCATTCAAGGTCAAAAATCGATTTTCTAAATATTTAATTTATATTGTAATGTTGACGGAACGCAAAGGGCGGAATTTGGAAGTTCGGAAGTGCAGCGCCCGGACAGTCTGTGGCGGCACATAACAAAAACACAACGGAATGAGCGAGAAATCCGACTGGCTCCCTCTGCATTAAAAGCCAGGTTAGGTCAGGAGTCACAACACAAATGATAAGAAGAGCCATTTTGTCCTTTCAAAAAAATCAAACCACCTTGGGAGCCACAACATGTAATGTCCAGTATGTCTCAGTGTGTGATAATGTCCTAGTATAGACTAAACAATATAAACGAAAACGCGGACTTACTCTGCTCTGCTTTAAGATTTAGCTATAGACGCTTTTCTTCCATCTCCGCCAGGAAACTTTTCCTCAAAAGTTGAATAGTTTCTTGTAAAATGTCTTTCAGCTTTCGACTGTTTTACGAGGCTGAAGTCGCTTCTCATTCGCCAGCTTCTTGCTGAACTTCCCCGTTCCACCTTAAATTCTGACTGAGGCGCCGAAGGTAAATGCAGCACCATTTAAGGTGGAACGGGAAAATTAGAAAGAGAAGCGACTTCATCTTCGCAACTTTTTAGTGTTTGACAGTCTCTTGTTGCAGATTTAACGTATCAGGAAACCAACTACGTTGCTTATAAATGCAAATAAGTCCATTCGTCTCCAAATGTTCTTCTGTCTTTCTCTTTTCCTTTTTCGTTCGCTACTAGACAGGCGAAACCTCGTTGCTAGGTGACCTGCAGTCTGCACGCCAATTTTCAGTCGTAGTGCTTTCGCGCTATGTTGCACATACCCCGTCTCGAAGATATTTTACTGACACAGCGACCGCAGCGTCTCCAAACAAGAGCAGTGAATGAGAGCCTTCCAGTTCACTTGGCACATCATTTCGATTTGTTTTATTAATAAAAGATATTGGACATAAATGTGTTATGGATCATTACAAATACTTAGCTTTAAAACTACCAAGTCCTCAGACAGTAAGAAAATAGAAATGATGTATAGAAAAAAAGATGCATCGATAATCGTTTTATAATCGCATCGTAGCCCTCGGAATCATAATCAAATCGAATCGTGAGGTGCCTAGAGATTCCCACCCCTAATCACCACTATATGATTTATTGCAGGAATTAATTCATTCCCAGCTACATGCGCTTTGTGTGCATTATTACTGTCCAACGCGTTTGGAGCGTCAGTATTCCTGCACTAAAAATAGTGATGCATTGAATTTACAAATGTGAACATCATTTCAACATGAATTAACACATCATAACACATCAATACAATTTTATCTTTCAGTTTATTATTTTTTGTCAATAGTTGTGTTGATGTAATACATATTATTACTGTGGAAATTATGTATTTTTGAATCAAATCAATTCATGTTTGTAGTGTTTTCAATTGCTTTTCTCAAAAGCATTCAGCAGCTGTTTTCCTATTAGTTTTGAAAGATGCAGCGTGGCTATCATAAGCCCTTTCATTTGCAGCTCTTGGCCTCTGGCATTTAGTCACAGATAAACAGGCAGAAGCACTTCAATCACAACACAGAGAAAATCATCCGAGGAAGGGATATCACATATTTCAAAGCCTTTCTTTGCTGTAATGGAAAGAGACACTCTTGGAAAGGGTGCATTGTGAATTAACCAAAAAAGCTCTCTTCTATATGACTCAGTCCACACTTCAGCTGACTGTCACATGAGTGTGGGTTGAGCATAGAGGCCAAATGCACACAGCACTCTGCTCTGTTTAGAATACTTCACAGATTAAATTATTAAATTAAATTCCAAATTAAAGTGATAGTTTGGTGAAAAAATCCCCAAATCCCCATTTTGTTATCTCGAAAAATAGACAAAAATACATCATACAGTTAAAAACAGAGCTATAAACAGTAGCAGGTCTGAATTTTTAGCCCAATTTTCTCATGTTCAATTGCCATGGATGGCAGTGGCATCATGGTAGACTGAAGTCACCATCTCTTGATGATATGGCCAGTGCTTACATGGTTACACCACTCAGCAGCCCCTGCTGAACTATTACTTTAATGTTAAGCTTTAATGCTTAACATATCCTTAAACCTAGTTCTTCTCTTAAATTTAAGCTGCACTATGTAATATTTTTTGTTAGCACTGAAAGAAGTAGCAGATAAAGTTGTGTGCCCTTTCTTAACATGTGTGTGTGTGTGTGTGTGTGTGTGTGTGTGTATAAAATGTTTTGACCTGGATACAACAGATCCAAAAGTTCACTTTTGCATTGAGCTTTATGGAGTCCAAAAAAATGATACAGGATTTTCATTGCCAGCAGTGGAAAGAAAAGATCAAATAGAAATACTCACGCCACACAGTCAGGCTCATCTTCAGCCAGAAAGTGATACGTACGGTTATCTGCAAAGAAAACACAGGTGAGCAAAGTTACACATACTTAACAAACATTAGGTGCTGAAACAGGATCCAACACTAACGGTAAAATGCAGTATGTAAACATCTCACACCCAGAAAGCCCCTAGCCTGGTTTTTCCAGCTCTACTGAGAGACATTATCATACCTGAGATCACACTGACTAAAATACGCGTCTATGAAGGCAGAAGTTCACAAAATAGCACAACGTCAGACTCCAGCAAATGTCCTGATACTCTGTGAAACAAAGACTAAAGTACACTGAAAAATATCCAATACAGATACCTGCTCATCCAACGTTTATTCTGAAATCAAGGGTATTGCTATGGAGTGTTTTTACTTTTTGCTGAAGCAGACTCTACTCTTTCCTTTACACTAAATATTGGAACATTACTGTGAGGATTTTATGGCATTTAGCCACAAGAGCATTAGTGAGGTCAACTACTGATGATGGATGATTAGTTCTCATCCCAAAGGTATTAGATGGAGCTCAATCTCTTTAGAGAATTAAGTTTCACTGCTCAGCAGTCCAGTGCTAGGGGTCTTTATACCCCTCCAGCCGATGCTTGGCATTGAACATGGTGACCTTAGGCTAATGTGCAGCTACTCTAGAGCATCCCATTCTTTTGGCAATGCTTTTCTATGGAGATTATACAATTTAGCAGAGGCTAAATAGGCAATTCAATACAGGGCTGCCTATTAAGTCCTAAGCTAGATAAAAAAATAGAACAATATGGACCGCAAACACATACTGCCATCGCATCAAGACACATTTTGCACTGCACCTGCGCTCGTATATACTTCTGATCCTGAGAGCTGAAATGTCATTGTGTACTTTATATTCTTGTGTGTGAATATTCTTTCAGCATGTGTTTGAAGCTCATGCCTCTGTATAGCTTTTATGTCTGCACCCATTATTAAAGGAAGTTTCCCAACAACATGGCTTTAAGACATTAGCCCTAATTGACACCTAGTTATAAAAGGCAGAATAAACCATGTAACACCAGCCTCCGCTAGTTGGCCAAATGCTATTAAATTGATCAGTATATGTAACAAATGCACTTCCACTGTGTCCATCCATTTTTTGCACGATGCTGCCTCATATGCGTATCTGTTACGGGAGAGGTTCCCAAACATTTTAGATTCCCATTACACCTCAGACCTTAACCCTTGTGTGGTGTTCGGGTCTGGGGGGCCCATTTTCAATGTTTACCAAAATTAAAAATATGCGATTTATTATTATTTCAGCCTCAGATTCCTTGGCCTTTGCTCATTTTCTGTGAAGAACATATAAAATAACACATTTTCAGTGACTTCACACTGTACACCCCCTACATATTTATATTACACATGTGGTGTTGGGGTGAATCTGGTATGTTTACATAAATTGTTATGGTTATTATTTAAAAAACACAATAAAGCAGTGGGTCCACCAGACCACTGAGTAACAAAAACATCGACACCACACAAGGGTTAAACTCCCTGTAGCTTACTCCTTCTTGCATTTTACACACATGCTCATATTGCTGTGATGCGTTTGTAACACAACCATCCTTGTACTGTAAGATCAATACTTTTTAAAATATCAGACATGTTTATGATGTGATGACACAGCACACCAGATGTATAGAATAATAATGAATTAATAAATAATGTTATTGATGCTTCTAAGGCTTATATTGCAGGTATTTTTGCTCTGGAGTGCTGGTCAGAGCACAGGGACGAGGAAGCAAATTGAAATCATTTGTAATCACAAATTTAGCACTACAAATAATGAAAACAAGTAAATAAAATGCTAATCGCTAAGCACTGATCCCAGCAGACTTAAGGACAGTTACTAAAAGATACCCACTCAAGGGCACATGACAAACTAATGAATGAACTCTACTGTCATTATTTCTCCTGAACATGCAATACACAGAAGGAGTAAAACACCCTTCTCCAAAACAGCCTTTTAAACAAATAATAATAAATAAAGAGCAAAAGAATTAGCGCACAGGCTTATCATGCGCTGGATGTTATAAACATCCCACTCACTGATCGCTCATGTATACATGTTGTGTAAAAGTTTGCAATGTTATCCAGAAATCTGGCATTGCCTTTTGATTAAACTCAGAATTCAAAAATCCACTCATAGCAGTTTCAGTGAGGCTTTCTTGCTCAGGAGTTGGAGATGGTAGACTCGTTTGTATCGTCCATAGCAGGGAAGTAACATTACCCATCTAACTGCATGGCCTAACGGAATGAAAAGAAGATCAAATCAAGTGTAAAGGTTATCACTTGTAAAAGTACTCCCAAGGATATTGGGTGTACTCCTGGAGTAATCCCTGGTGTCTGGAAACCCTTGCATTATAGAAAGCAGCACATTCTGCATCTTTCCATGTACATGGCCCATAAACTGTGTATTTAAGCTTGTGCTGTATATAAAGCATCTGATTTGCACCTGAAACTGCCGCAAAAGTGTTACTAAATTCGGCCAATGTCTCGCTTCTGTTTACCATATTGTTTATTGTTTATTGTAGACATCCACACCCAGAGAGCTGGCTGTAACTGAGTCCAAATAAACCCACGCTGTTATGTCGCAATAAAGAATCACATAACTATTAATAGCAGCAGTTATCAGAACCAGTCTGACTGTTATATAACTACAGCAGAACGGTAAAAGCCAATGCAAGTATCATTACCCAGTTAACGTCAGTAAAGCAGCTTTTATGTATAACTTCGTCTTACTCATATTGAATTAGAACGAATTTTCATAAGTGGTATGCTTTTCTATGTCCTTTAACGCTATGCCAAACAGCTTCTTTCTGCCTTTTACTGTACTCTTCTCCTTTAATCATGTGTTTACTCAATGTATTTTAATACATAAACAACATAAGCTTACAAAGCCAAAATAGACTTTTATTTAGTGTCAAAAAGGACCACTTTGAAAAAGCAAATGTTTAAGAAAGGAATATACTGCACACTTCAGTTGCCTTTTATTATTACTTTGATGTAAGAAATCAATAAAAAGTGTTTTAGTGATGTGAAATCTGTTCTGAATGTGCTCGCTTACAAACTATCACAGTGCATCCAACAATAAAGGCAGCATTGTGTTTCCTTTATATAGTATTAGAAAACACAATACCACATAGAAAGCTCCAGTTCCACATGCTGATTCATTTTACTATATCCAATGTGAGTCCACAATATACACTGTCCTGTACTTTCTTGTGACTTCATTGCATGTGTAAAAAGAACCGGATTTAATAGGCTCGTCAAAGATGTAACCAAGAAGAAACTACGACTGTCAAAGGTAATGTATTACTAACACATTAATGCAATAAATTATTAATAGTACTTTTTTAGTGCTGATAACACATTTCCCAAGCCATTCGCAGTAATGCAGTAACGCTCTATGTTACTACACTAGAATCTGTGATTGCCCTATTGTTCAAATACTTTAAAATGGCTTTTAAAGCGATGTCTTCTGCACCTTCAGTAGACTATGCTGGACAGTGCTTGCAGGACACCCATGCTTAAATCAACGAGCAGCAACTAACAAAATCAATACCAAAGTGGAAAGCTCCAGTTACCCTTCACAGGCTCCACTTTAACAAGAATACACAAGCTGTATGAACGAGCTGTATGACTGAGAGTGATCACAGAGGAGCTGGAACCATGGACTGTACATATGATAGAAATGATATAAAGTCGTATGGAGAAGTTTGAATATCCCTGTTTTTATCCCATCCTTCACAAGGAACAAATCTAAAATGGCACTTTTCTACAAATTTTAGTGCACAATTTCTATTTCTTTGCGAGTTTAACATAAGAATATATATAATAATATGTAATATATGCCAGAACTTATAAAGTTAATTAGCAAATAAATAGAAATTGTGCAGAAGTGTGTTCTCTTTAGAGGATGTGTACTTGTTTTCACATAGAAAGTCAAGTGACTTGACCGGGGTGCCCACACTTTGGCACACGGCTGTACACACTCTTTGGCTGGAACATGCAGCCACTGGTGCTCTCACTGGATGCTGGTGATGACAGCCATAATAAAAAAATATTGTACTGCTTCAGCATGTCGAACATATACAGCATCAGTGACAGAGTAAGTTACTCAGTGAAATAATGACTTGGAATAAGTTGTCAGTTAGTTCACACTTTCTAAAGCAATGAAATGAAAACTCTTCCATGCATTCTTACACCCAAAATTTCTTGCCATAACTTTTAAAATAGGGTACTGTGTTAGACGTTTGCAATTTTTGGCATATCTTTATACTATGTTAAATCAATTTGTGGCAGATTGTGCAGGTTGGAACATATTGTGGCCTAGATTAGAGGGCCACAAGTGCAGTCGTAACTTACGTGAGATGAGGTCGAAGCATTTTTTGTCCTCAAGACTGGGTTTGACCTGGCAGGTGAGGAGGTTCAGTTTGGCTGGAGGTTTATTAGGCTGACAAGAAAGAGAGGGCACATAATCACACTCTTAACCCTCAGAAGTCACAGTTATCGCTTGTAGCTGATTGAAGCAAGCAGAGAAATTCTAAACTTTCAACTCATATTATATTTGTGTTTCCAGGTAAAAGAGAAGATATTTTATTACAATTAGAATTTGCATACAGTCTTGTTTTGCAGAAAGAAGAAACATCCTTTGCAGTACAGTTCTCCTTTTTTTATTTGGAAACAAATAGTAAAAAGTCAGAAACGCAAACTGGAATTTCTTGATACAGAATGTAAATTCAATGTATGTAATTGTACTGTAATTATGTAATGAAATAATAATGTAATGTAATTAAATTTAATAGTAGCACATGGATTTCTATAATAACTCTGCATCTGAAAGTGAACATAACATCGTCGCAATCTCCATTTGCGTAATCTTTAATTTGCTAAACGTCTCTTCTGTGTAAATTCCATGCAGAAGGGAGCATTTTAGAGATAAGTTTTCTTCTGAAAAGGACAATATGATATGAGTTGCAAATGATCAGTTTATTGTGGTTTGATAAAGTACACAAAAGTAACATAAGGGAAAGCAGAGTAATACATCAATAAAGCCACAACTGGGCCGTAAATGTAATATCATGGTATTTCTTACAGTTCCATGAGCGATTGTGAGATAGCAGTTGTGCACGCTGCACTTCCTCTTCTGCCACATCTTCCTCAGCCTGCCATACAGAGAAATGTCATGACATCTCGCACATTCATTCCAACATGCTAACTAGGGCAATAAGGCTGCACAATATGTTGTTTGTAAACTGTAACTGCAACATTGGCCTTTGTAATGCTTTGCAAAGCTTTTTGGTGTGTGCTGTGAACATCCTGATCACAATTCCAGAGGAGTTTCTGCAGGTGTTTTGATGAAGCAAGGCATTTTCATACAAACCCAGTTCAAAAAAGCTGGGACAGTGTGTGAAATGCTAATAAAAACAGAAAGCAATGATTAATTCTGTTTGATCTGTTGTAAATTAAAAACACATCAAAAACACAATATTTTATGTTTTACCTTATGAACTTTATTGCTTTTTTTTGTAAATAATATAGCTCATTGCAATTTTAATACCTGCAACATGTTCCAAGAAAATTGGGCAGGAGCATGTTGACCACTGCGCTACATCAGCTTTTCTTTTAATTCCACTTGTCAATTTGGGAACTGAGGACCCCAAGTGATCCAATGTTGAGAGCAGAATGTTTTGCCATTTTCTGTTATACTAGACTTCAGCTGTACAACTGCACAGTCAAGTCAAGTCAAGGGCCTTTGCTGTCATATTTTAGCTTAATAAGACACGTCTTTACTGTGAGACATGTCTGGACTGTGGGCAGGCCAGTCTAGCACTGCACTCTCTGACTAGGCAGCCATGCTGTTGTAACGTGCAGAGCGTGGCTTGGTGTTGTCATGTTGAAATAAGCATGGGTGTCCCTACAAAAGCCGGCATCTAAAAGGCAGCATATGCTGCTCCAAAATGTGTTCAGCTTCATACCCTAAAACACCCTGGCTTTTGAACTTTATGCCAGTAACAATCTCGATGGTCCTTTTCTTCTTTGGCTTTGAGAACACGAGGGCATTATTTCCATAAACAATCTGAAAGGTGGACTCGGTCAGGATGAGGGTGTAGAGGATGAAATACCTAAAATCCTTGCAATCCCTGGCTGAGGAATGTTATTTTTGATGGATTTTTTGCTGATGCAAGTGGCGAGCCTCGAAACCCATCCTTGCTCATAAAGGACTAGGCCTTTCCTGGATGCTTCTTTTATAACCATGGATGATTGCATCACCTGTTTAGGATAAGGTTTCATAATGTTCCTACTTTCACAACGCCCCTGCCCCACCTTTTCTGAAATGTGCTGCATGCATTAATTTTAGAATGAGCAAAAAAAAAAAACTATGATGTTGAGGTAAAACATTACAAATTCTGTTTTTATTTGCGTTTTACCAACTGTCCCAATGTTTTTGGAACTGGGTTTGTGATTTAAGAAAAGTAAATTATTTTTGTCAAAATAGTATAGGCCAACCTTTAATAATGTGCCATTACTGATTCACCTGTGCACTTAGAATATATTGCAAGTCATATCACAATCATAAGTATGCAGCAATATAATCTTAATACAGGTTTTCTATCCATCCTGTGCAATCCAAGTTGGCAGTATGGAAAGAATATTACTCAGACTTGGCATATTCACATAAAATAATACATGATACACATTTACTTCTTGTAACTGTTTTTAATCACAGTTATGTGCATTATTTTAATCACTCTCTTGGTGGCTGTAATGCAGTGCTTTATTGCAAATAACCACCTTACAGTGAAAGCTAGCCAGACTAAAACACAGACTCCTCAGAGTGAGGTTAGTTTTAACATAGTGTAACAACTAAGACCCCCAAAGTAAACAATGATAGAAGCTCATGCCACCCATATAAATGCAAAAGAGCTCATTTACCAAAAACATACTACAGATGCCATGTAAATGAAATAGTTTCAATTTCATCATGCTGTTGCTTGCTCTTCTACTCTGTGGTCAAAAACAAATTTTGCAACATTTAACACATGGTTTTTTTCAGTAATCATATTTTTGTTGATGCAGACATTTCTAGGTTGGAAAACTTGTCTGGTTCGAATAACATGAACTGCACTCAATTCACTGTGTTTGCACTGATTGACTGACCCTTTTAGCAACTGTAACAACTACCCCCTCCATTTACACCTATGGGGTCAGTTGTAATATTTGCTTTCGGACTGCTTTCGGCTAAACTGGAGACTCTGGAAACAAAGTTTTCATTAGAAGCAAAAACGTGTGGATTGCTCATATAAAAATATTAATCTTGCTCAAAAAACTTCTAAATATATTTAGCAAAAGCAGGTTAGTTTGTACTCTCACTTACATTTGTGCTGCACTATACGCAATTAACTAGGGCCAATTAAAAAAGTACATAAAAAAAATTCATAATATACTCAGTAAAGCTTACTGTGCCATAACTTAACATGATGCGATAATATGCCATCTTATCACTCCACCCCTACCACTATACATACAGCAGAACTCGTAAGGGGCCAAGCTGACATTCTGCTTTTTAAAGCAACTTCCTAATACAGTCAGAAAAGCCACATTAGTTCTGTAGGAAAATCCCTTTAAAATGGCAACTGCAGCATAATAAACCAGAAGTGGAAAACAAGTTTACCCTGCACAGACTGTGCTCAGAAACAGTGATTCAATCATATCACGCTGATCTGCATCACTGTGGTGGGAAAAACACACACACAAATGACTTTACCCGTCACTCTTCTTGTAGAGGTAGCCTGATTTCTCTGTGCCGTATTGCTTGTTTCCTTGAAGCTGGTGCATGCTGTACACGGTCTGTCTGCTTAAAGAATCCTGCAGCAAACACACACACACATAGACACACACAATAAGATCACACTGGCTCTCTGTTTGTATTTTCTGACACTGTATAACATGCTGTCTTCTATTAAAATGTTATTATGAGAATGGTAAGATAGCTGCTATTTGATCTTTTGTTTTTGGCTATTCTATGCACTTTTATCCATGTCTTACAGTGTCAAAAACCACTTAAGAAAGTCTATTTGAGATTACTCAAATGAGAGTTCTGTTCATTTTTCAACATTTCTGCTTAGTTTGATCATTGAAATGTAAAGAAATGTATTTCAGAAAGCTCTAATGTGAAATGGTACACTGCAGAGAAACTTGCTTCTTTCTTTACAATGGTGATAGCAATCAAGGGTCATGATGACCACAACACAAATATAGCTTTTTCTCTACAATCCAAAATGACCAGTGCACCTACATGTCTTCTGACTTTTATATGTAATGCTGATACTGGTAAATGAGCACTACACTCAAACTAAATATGTCTTTCTTTGGGTACTATTTCCCCTTGCAACGTCCTCTATGTACCCCTCAACCATGTTTTTAAAAAAATGTTTTAGGCCAAAACCTTATCTCAAAACTATCATAATGCAATATCACAGGCATCCAGCAGCATATTTTATAATCATTTTGTGAACTAACTTTCTGTCATGTACCATTTAGAGGCACTGAATGCTTCAGACGTCTGGTTCCTATCACCACCACTCTGAACAATTCTGACTTTGTAAGTCTCTCTAGAAAAGAGCATTTTACATTAAACCACTCAAAATTACTTTGTTTACATCTTAATGATGGAAGTATGCCTTAACAATGTAGGCATGCAAACTGATATAAGCTTCCACTACATACTAACTAGGTTAGCCTCACAGATCTTGTACAAACCTAAAAAAGCAATCTCTGGACATCAAACATGTCTTGGCCGATCAACTATATTTGGGGTAAGGGGGGAAACTGTGTCAATTGATTTGTTTGCTGAACCAGCATTTTAACATCATTTGTATTTATTGTTTGTGTGTTTAAAAGAACAGAAAAAGCTGCTCCAGATTAGAGCATCAAATAGAAAAGGAAACACAGAAACACATACAGTATTGTGCAAAGGTCTTAGGCCAGCCAAAACAATTAATCTAGGCAGAAAGTGTGTTTTTGCTTGTAAAACATTACAATAAATGCAAATAAACATCAATACAATAAAAAGGAGGCAGAACTGTAGTAAAAGAAGAGTTTTCAGTAACATTATTGCTATGTAGTGAGCTGGTTCAGTTATTCTTCTCGTTGCAGCTCTAGCCACTGTGATAGTAATTTACTGCCATAGTGATTTAAGTTAATGCTATAATGATTAGATAAGCTAGGTATTGGATGGTATACTGGACTCTCTAATTGTTTTGTATTTATTCTAATTATGGTGTAAAATGCATCTTCTGAAGGTAAAATATTTAGTAACATTGCTTTTCGTAAAAAATGTATGAGCTTGTAGCTATAAAGGTTGCAAGTGTTGCAGTATATTTTAGCACAGAGATTAAAACTAAATAATATGCTTATAAATCTGATTAAGTGGAAAAAATAGAAGCAGTATGTAAAAGTTTTTTTAATTCATTTTCACTTTCATTTCACATTCATTCAGATTTCTCACAGGAGAGCGCTAAAAACACTCAAGTAGTGTTTTTTCACCATCTTTGAATGTGAGGAACTCCACGTCAGAAGTAAAGCATTTATGATTGAAGAGACAAATAGTTTATTACAAAAAATAAAGCTCACTGTTATTTAATATGTGATTTTAAAGTTAATCAATATATTATCATTAAAAACAAGCTAAAGATAATTTATAGGCTGAAGAACATAAAAGCAACAAGAACAGCCAAACTGTAAAATCCCAGATCATTGTTGGCTTTATGTATGACATTACAGCCCCAACTAACTGACAACTTTTAAGCATTTAACACAAACATCTGGATGTGGTCCTCACTGTTCTTTATGACCTGATGGACTACAATTAATATAAACACTAGATTTTAACCTATATCACAGCTCACATGATTATGCTTAAGCAGATGGCTTGGGCAGTGGAGAAATGTTTGATATTGCACACAGCACATAGTTCCAGCCCTGATAAATACATTTTTTGGTGGCCTAAGATGTTTGCACAGTAATACAAAGGCATTCCACTGACGGTGGTTAAAGCAGCCACAGCATGCACTATATCAGAAATGGAAAGCAGAAGTGTTGCTTCACACATGCTGCAGATGAACATATGTTCACAGTTAGGGGAGCTGACACATAACTGTCAAAACATTTCACACCAAGGTTCCATACATTTAGGCCATGCACTAGATTCAAACATGACTGTATGAGCAGGCAAAGAAGCACTAATATATCATGTTATATTACAAATGATTAACATAGCCTACCATTAATAATGATGATGATAATAATAATAATAACAATAATAAGTTCATATACACCGACCAGACCCTTTATTAGGCGCACCTCCTTGTATCTACACTCACTGCACTTACCAGGTGCACTTTGTAGTTCTACAAATCCAGACTGTCCATCTGTTTCTGTGCATAATTTGTTACATCTCTTGACTCTGTTCTGCAATGGTCAGAGCAGGTATTACTTGGGTGGTGGATCATTCTCAGCACTGACTCTGACGTAGTGGTGACACGTTAGTGTGTGTTGTGCTGGGACGAATGGATCAGACACAGCAGTGCTTCTGGACTTTTTATACACCTCAGTGTCACTGCTGGACCGAGAACAGTCCACCAACCAAAAATATCCAGCCAGCAGAGGACTAGAGGATGACCAACACAAACTGTGCAGCAACAGATGTTGTATCTGACTTCACACCTACAAGGTGGACCAACAAGGTAGGAGCATGTGGACAGTTAGTGGACACAGTGTTTAAAAACACTGCTGTGTCTGCTCCACTCATACCAGCACAACACACGCCAACATGCCATTTTCACAGTGCTGGGAATGATCCACCACCCAAATAATACCTGCTCTGTGGTGGTCCAGTGGGGGTCCTGGCCATTGAAGAACAGGGTGAAAGGGATCTAACATGTTAGACCTAAGTATGCAGAGAAACAGATGGACTGTAGTCAGTAAGTGTACAACTACAAAATGCATGATAAGTGGAGCTGATAAAATGGATAATGAGTGTAGATACAAGGAGGTGCACTCAGTGAAGTGGCCAGTCGGTATATACATCATATAAAAAATTAGGAAAAAGTGCTCCACACTGCTTTCTACATAAAACTGTAAAAACAGAAGTGTATAGTAGAGCTGGCCCGAACAGCCTTTTTACAGGCTTTAATTACTCATTGGTAAACCTGAACAAATATTTTAATACTCATTTTCAAAATAACCTTTTTTTAACTAAAAACAACAAAATTTTATGTTTCATTATTAGCAGCAATTTTAAGTATATCTGCTACTGCAGTTCAAAATATATTCAGTAAGCAGCAACGGTGTAATAACAGTAGGCTGAGGCCTGCAATCCACGACTGTAACCTTCTCATTCATATACAGCTCTTGTAAGTCATCTGTATCACTTTCACTGCGTTCATGAGTCACTTTATCTAGACGCTAAAGGTGTAATGAATTACAATTATTGTCACTATCACAGAGCTTTATTTTACTTCATTGTAGTTTGTTGTGTTTGTGTATTTTATTAAGTCATTTAATTTGGCTAGTTTGCCCTTTTTATCATGAAAAGCAGCTGTGAGGGCCACACACTGCACAAGCTACACCAGAGCCTGGTGGTACTTGGATAAGTATCATTATATTTACAAATCTAAGATAAGTAATCGTGATTGTCAGGCCTCCATGGTATACCAACCTCTTATTGCATCTTATAGTCGCATAGTTTAAAGTACTTAAGTGGAAAGCGGTGCGTTCTAGTGACAAGAAGGTCTGGCATGAATTTATGATGCAATAGACTAAATTACCTATTATTTTAATTATTTTTAACATTTTCCATATGTTAATAATAACTATTATATCTGAAGGTCCTTGCTAATAATATGTATTGCAGTTTAGGCTACAATTACTTACAAATACTAAATAAGAACTGAAAACTAATATAACGAACGAGTACTTAAGTATTCAAATTATTCGGACCAGTCCTAGTGTATGGCAAAAAAGGAAAACAACATGTGTGTTTAATAAAAGTCGAAAATCATGAGCACACTAAACAATCAGACTGGTAACAATGATATACATACGTCTAAGGACATAAGTAGCACAAACACAGCACTGCATGCAAATCCATAAATGTAAACTTACTCTTCTAGACTGATTGCATTGAGAAAAAAACATCATGTTAGTACCGCATTAAATACTAATTCTGAACACTGTATGTCCAAAAGTATCCAGACACTATTTCAAAATAGTGAATTCAGCTGCTTTAAGTTGCACCCATGCTGACACAGGCATTCAGTTTCATGCATACAGCTTGCATAATTTCCATAGAAAAGCTTTGCCAATTGAATAGGAGGCTATGCAGCCGCACATGAGCCTAAGGTCACCATTTCCAATGTCAAATGTCAGCTAGTGTGGTATAAAGTGCCCCCAGCACTGGGCTGTGGCAAAGTGAAACAGCATTCCCTGGAGTGCTGGAGCTCTAACCGATATCTTTGGGATGAGTTTGAGTGCTGTTTGTGATCAAAAACTAACCATCCAACATCTATACCTGGTCTCACTAATGCTCTTGTGGCTCAATACAATTAAATCCTCACAGCAATGTTCCAACATCTAGTGGTGATATATTAGTCTTAAACGCACAGTAACATAAACAGCCTGTTTAATTTTAAGGGATAAAGAGATGTTGGAAAATGTGCCAATATTAGCCTTTAGCCATTTCAGATGCTTTATAACCTGTCGGATACAATGTTTTGTAAGTATATTTATACACACTAATAATGAAGCTCTACCAAAGACCTATGATTAACACGTTGGTGACTTACAAACGTGTAGTAACACAAATGTCACTATTAATTATAAAGTCTTTTAATGGATAATGACCTGAGCATAATTATAAAGCAGTTATAAAACACATGAACAATTATAAAACATTACAAACATTTGAAATGCCATCACTGAGTGCTTCAAGTAAAGTGACTGGTATTCTTGGTTATTCACATTTGAATATTAAATGCACTATTTGTCTGTCAGTGTGTGCCCTATAATATACTGTATTTCTTTTATTATTCCAGGATCACCTGGGAGAGCTTCCCTGGCTTGCAAGGCTAGTTAGGTGCCACTTATGAATTACAGTAAAATTTGGACACACATAAAATTTGGTTTTATAAAATCCTATAGCTAATCTGTAAAGCTAGATTTCAAGAATTACTGTATAAAATCAAGACAACAACTGAAAATCCAGAATGGGGATAGTTTTTTACGTTTGTGTCTGTGGTGAAGGGAGAGGGTGGGCTCCAACTTCAGAAACCAAAATGACATCATTGTCGGTATTGTGCATATGAGTGTGAGAGATTACCTCTTTAAGCTCAGGTTGTAGGGCAGGTTTCAGCTGGTCCCGCAGAGAACAGAGTTGCCTCTTCTCTTCATCCTGCCTGTGCTTAATCTACACAAACACAAACACAGAGTGTACACACACATTCTTGTAAATGCATGTTAGACATTAGAGATTTTCACAGGCTTAAAACCGAAGACCAACCTCTATCTGCAGAGCCTGCTCTATCTAAGAAGCGACTTAAGCAGCTTAGGGCCCCATGGCTACAGGGGGCCCTGTAACAGCAACTTCTGGGTTGTTACACTATTATGTTGTGTAAGACGCTCAAATAAGGATAAAAAATAAAAATAAAAACAAACATACGCATGTGGAACCTTAAAATGGAACACAAGATGAGGTGAAAAAGCCAAAAATTAAGGTTCTACACCATTTTTATGAAGCTTTTATTCAGACAAACAAGAAATAGTCGATCTGGAGAACCTGCAATGAGAATTTAATCACCAGTACTACTCAAACTAGCCAGATCACCAGTTCGCTAATGTTATGTAAACAAAGTTAAGATTATTAAATTTATTTATTTAAGACTATATGTAAGATGTAGATGTATAAATCCACAGTAATAGTAGTCCTGTTTGGATCGACATCACAGTAATGTAATAACAAAACCAGGTAATAGATAAGGCGTCCCCATTTTAAATTGTTCTTAAATTTTTTGACAACCTGGAGACAAGGCTAACAGCTAAAATGGGCCTTGATTTTACCCAATTTCTTAATCCTCAAGTTCACGACTACTGAAATGCCATTGTTCGGAAGTGTGGTGCCCATGGAATAATGCTGCCGCAAATGTCCGCACAATACTTTTCAATCTGGGCTATTTGGGGTAATTTGGGGAACTTACACAGATCCTTTATCCTGTAAGAATCGTCCAGTCAAATCACGCACAAATTACATTACTGGACCTCCACTAGTACGACTAATCCATCTTGAATAGAACTTGAAGTCCATGAAGGAGCATAATCAAAAATGTTACTAAACATAGTAAATCAAAACAATAGCTTAAAGCCTCTGAAGAAAATTATTTGAATCATTTAAAGTGTAGCTCTGGAGGGAGCATGAACATGTGGGGCCCCTAAAAAATCCTGCTTAGGGCCCCCAAAATGCTAGAGCCAGCACTACGTATCTGTGGCTTTGAGACTCGACTCAAACTCGACCTCACTGATACTGCTAAACTTGAAACCAGAACCTGCTCGCACACACTAACAGAAATGCATTATTGCAGACACCATTTCAGGTGACACCTTTTTCCAACTTTCTCAAACATGTTTCTTTTCACTGTTGTTGATGGAGAAACTTCCTCACTGAAAAGCACTTCTCTAGCCTGTGCAGTGCACTCCATTGTTTTTAAATCGCAAGTTTAAGTTGAAAAACTATCAACCATTGCTCTGAGCCTCACCGTCATATTTTCATCACATCTGACCAATAAATATGAAGATGTCTTTTCTCTAGCTACCAACATGAAGAAAAAGCTGAAAGTTTTTGTTGTTTTCGACCACCTGGAACTCAACATTCTATTCATCCAAAATCTATTTATTATCAAATTTATGTAACAAATTGTGGTAACACTTTATTCTAAGGTCTGCTTTTTAATCATTACTAATCTATGAGCAGATGATTACCCTGACAATAGAAACATACCATTTGTAAGCAAGCATTATAAATGTGGTATAAATATATTTAAAAGGTGTTCTGTGAGGTAGTTATTAACTGTTTGTTCAATAGTGAGTTAATGTTAATTAATTGTAATCTTAATTTAATGTTGTGTTGTTGTGTTTGTATGTCTTGTTAATAAGAACTCATAAACAACTGACTAATTACATTGATCTACAATAACATTGTTATTGTAAATTGAATTGTAATTTGCTGTAACATGACTGTGTTCAACTGTCTGCAATTTATGAAACGTGGCCATTTTCTAGCATGTTCTGTCAGACTGCTGTTACATGTTTACCTATTTGTCAGTCAAATGCCTCCTAAGCCTTCCTTCTCCTTTTTAAGTAAGAGAAGTAGCATGTCTCGTATTGAAAAGGTATCGCCTAAACGATCCCTTACAGAGCTTTGCTTTGTTACTAAGCACTTTTATTGTCAGAAAATGTTATGCTGAGATAAACTGGTTCATATACACTAGACCAACAGTAATTAATATCAGCATATTTTATGAAACTGCTGATCATAACAGGCTGAGAATAGCATTCACCCTCCTCTGATCAGTTAACTGCTAAGCTATAATTCCTCTTGTTACTGCTGCTACTGCAAAAACACTCAACACACTTTGGATGAGCTCAATAAGCAAGCGTATAAAGATTCACTGTGGCCTTTTCATCAATCCAATAAATCCTTCTCATCATCCATGGTGGTACGGTGACTGATGAACTATTGAACTTCATTACCATTTTTGTTCATGGGCATGTTCCACCCGGCTTGACAGTTTTCTATTCCAATCTATTGTTTTCGGCTCATATTGAAAGTCTTTTATTCCACCTGAAAGGTTTAAGTGCTGATGAGTGCTTACATCACAACAAGGGATTAAAATATGTAGGCTTTAGCGTAATTCCCAAGGTAGGACTTTTAGATGTTGATGGGGAGTCAATTCCAAAAGAGTCAATTCTTCGAATCATATTTTTTGTTCAGGGGCATGTTCACCCTCTCCTAAAACTCCAGCTATCACAAACACAGCTACAGACTAGGGATGAGTCAGAATGTTTAAATATTCAAATAATCAAAATAAAAAAAATTGTACTGCTGCTGTTAGAGCAAAACCTTGTATCTCCATTTTTGCCTTTTTCAGGTTTTGGGATGATTTGTAAATGCATGTTGCCCTTTACATTGTGTGTAAATTTCATGATGAATGGACTAAAAGAAATGGCCCATAAATACTTGGAAAAAAGTGTGCTAACAGTGACTTAGATTAAAACAGAAGTATGAATTTTCCATCTTCTGTTATCTTTCTGGAGATGCAAGGTTTTGTTCAAGAAAATAATGAATCAGGATTTTCAAAACGCAAGTAAGCCTCTGTCGACTCTGTGTTTTTTTGTTGCAATTGGCTCAAGGTACATTTTGACGGAAGCATGTTGACCTTGAGTGGTGTGAGTTTGTTTACCAGCTTTATGACATGCCAAAGCTGCTCACTAGTCACTGTCAAAAAACTGCACTGCTCTGTACCCTAACTCATGCACAGAGAACCAAACTTTTCATTTTCGTCATGATTACAGTTAAAATAAACAAGGATTCAAAATGGTACAAGGAACAAAAAAACACAAGTAAACCATATTTTTTCACAGAACACTGGTAAACAGCATGAAGCAGAAGTTGGCTTCTTTTTTGCCAGCTTTTTATTCCAGTTTTCAGTTCTACCTTAAATGGTGCTGGAGTTACATTCTTGTGGCGGGACAACATTTAAGGTAAAACTTTAAATCTGGTTAACTGGCTAATTATGGTAGAATTATGAATACAGTAAGGATTTTCTCAGTACATCACTCCTAGTTTCCCACTGAAGTTCAAGCTACCTTTAGCAGCCTCATTATGCTGAGTATGTAAAATTATGTGAATTGTGAATGTGTTAAAACATATATTAATCAAATAATCGGTAACAATACACAAAAAATGGGTAAACTATGTTTAGGACAGTTTAATCTCATCTATACATTAAGTGGAATCAAGGAGTCTAGAAAACCTGGAGTCATGCATCACTACTTTTAGCAAGTGTTCCTTTTCAGTTTTTTCAAAGAATAACATCAAACATAGTTCTGTTCAATATACTCAAACCTACTCTATGTTTTTGCTATGATTGAAAGAAGTAGCATTACTCAGGAAAAAAATGCTAAAATATGGCCATTCACTGCTGCTAGTCACCAAGCAACATTTAACTGATGAAGATATGATGACAGTAATGGATAATTTACTTTCGTCCTCGGAAGACGTCTTATACTAAGTTCTTTTTGAAGGTGTTTGGAGCACAACCGACATTACAAAATATTCTTCCATATGCTGTGGGCACATAACACGTTTCCACCAGAGAGGTCTCCAAATCCCCAAATCTTACATAGTGCAGCTTTAAGTTACTGTATATCGACAAAGAAAACACGCTCATTTGTTTTATAAACATACTGTAAAGTTAGTTGTTCCCAAACATGTACCGAATGTGCTCTTCTGTACATCTGACATTAAGGACATTAAGTAACTATTCTTGATATTCAACATTAACGCTGCCTAAAACGAACACTCTATTCATCTCAGGTCAAATGCGCAAAGACTCATTCAGCCTGATTTGTGGCCTGCTGTGAAAAGCAGAGTGCTGATTCTTTTTTCTGATAGTGGGAGTGGAAGCCTCTAACCTTGATGCTTCGTGATCAGAACAATTTCAGCTAAGTCACATTTGCCTTCCACATGCACAGTAAACTAGCTTAAAAGTACAGCATGAATCAGACTGACTTGGTCACCTTGATCACTGACTCTTACCACCAGCTTTCTATCGTGCTCTTGTCTTGCATATAACATAATGACATAACATTTTTTATGCTCTTTTTAGATTATTTTCTGCATCATGTATTTTACAAACCCAATTTCAAAAACAGTGGGATAGGAGGAAAAATGTAAATAAAATGGCAGCAATGATTTGCAAATCATTTTTGACATGTATTCAACTGAAAACAGTATAAAAACTTTTGTTTTTTGTATATATACCTTTTTTCCAAATTTGATACCTGCAATACATTCCAAAAAGTTGAGAAAGGGGCATGTTTACCACTGCGTTACATCACCTTTATGTTCAGCAATCTTTTGGGAACTGAGGACACCAATTGTAGTAGTTGTGAAAGTGGATTTGTTCTCATTCTTGCTTGCAAGGGATGTCTTTGAAAAAACCCCTCAGCATTAATGGTGCCTTCACAAATGTAGTGGTTACCCACCAACACACCCCCACACCAAGACAGACACTGGTTTTTGAACGCTGCAAAGGTAAGCACTGAAATGGTCCTTTCCTCTTTGGCCTGGGCAACAAGACATTCAATATTTTCAAAAACAATTTGATAGGCGAACCAACCACAGCACAGGTTTCCACTCTGTACCAGTACATCTCAGGTAAGCTTTAGCCCAGATAAGTTAGCGGTGTTTCTGGGTGTTGTTGCTTTGCATAGTAGAGTCTTAACTTGCATTTGTAGATGTAATAAAATGTGTTTACTGACATGGATTTTCCAAAGTATTCCTGAGCCCTTGTGGTTATATTCATTATAGAAGCATATTTGTTTTTAATGCAGTGCCGTCTGAGGGATCGACGGTCACAGGCATTTAGCATTGTTTTTTGGCCTTGTCCTTTATGCACATTTCTACAAATTCTCTATAACATTTAATAATGTTATGGACTGTAGATTGTGAAATCTCTAATTCCTTACAATACTGCATTGAAAAACATTGCTCTTAAAATGCTGTCAATCATTACAGCATCACCTGTTACCTATTCATCTGTTTACCTGTGGAAAGTCCCAAAACAGGTGTTTGATCATTCAATAAACTTACTAGTCTCGCACTGGCCCTGTTGTGCCCACAACAAATTTGGAATTAGTTTATATTAACAAACATTGATAAAGTTGATAAAAGTAAAAAATTTAATATCTATTCTTTGTGTTGTTTTCAATTAAATACCTGTAAAACAGAAATCACTACTTTCTGTTTTATTTGTATTTTACCTATTATTCCAACTGTTTTAGAATTTGTATACATCCTCATAGTCATAATAAAACACTTAATATCTCCAAAATGGTAGTCATGTGATTTTTTTTTTATTTATTTTGCACCATGAAACATTCCTTGTACATCTTGTACTTGGCCAATATATACAGTCACGTCCAAAAATATTTGAACGTTGACAAAGTTGTTATTATTTTAGCTGTCTACCACAGTATACTGGAGTATTTACATGCAAATCAGGTAAACAGTGTAGGAATTACAACCATTTTCATACACAGCCCTTAATTTTTAGAGGCCCAAAAGTAACTGAACAAACTAACAATCATAAATTAAATTGTCATTTTTCATACTTTGTAGCAACTCCTGAACCCATTCACATCATCAAACACTGGGTTTCTTCCCTTGTGATGCTCTGCCAGGCCTTTACTGCATCTGTCTTTAATTCCTGTTTGTTATTGGGTTGTTTTACCTTCAGTTTCGCCTTAGTAAGTGAAACGCATGATCAACGGAACTGAGGTCAGGTGATCGGCATTGCAGAACGTTCCACTTCTTTGCCTAAAACCTCTTTGGGCTGCTTTTGGAGTATGCTTCAGGTTGTTGCCCATCTGCTCTGTGAAGAGCAGTCAAATGAGTTGTAAAGCATTTGGCTAAATCTGAGCACATAATGTAGCCCTATTCACTTCAGAAGTCATCCTACTGCTTTTGTCAATAAATATAAGGGAAACAGTTCTATAGGCAGCCACACATGCCCAATCCATAACACAATCTCCACCATGCTTGATAGATGAGGTGGCATGCCATGGATCATGAGCAGTTCTTTCCCTTCTCCATATTCTTCTCATCTTGTCATTCAGTTCATTTTTGGCTCATCTGTCCATAACATGCTGTTCCAGAATTGTTCAGGCTTTTTACGATGTTTGTTAACTCTAATCTGGTCTTCCTGTTTTTAAGGCTTACCGATGGTTTACATCTTGTGCTAAACTCTCTGTATTTACTATGGTGAAATTCTCTTGATTGTTTACTTGGACACATATAAGCCTACCTCCTGGAGGGTGTTCTTGATCTGTGATAAAATCCAATCTGTCATATAAAGTTGGGGGTTCACTATGATCTAAAAACTGCATGACATTGTATTAAGCCTATATAATAGCTCGATGACCATGAACAAATGAATGGCCTGGAGCCATTCTTCCATTAATGTGCATGGATGAATGCGGACATTTCCACCAAAATGAGCTCACACATGAAGACGCATAACTTATTAGCGTTAGCATTATCATCGCCTTTCTGTGTACATCATTGTAAAAATGAAAAAAAAAATCCTCCTTTTTTCAAACTTGACATAGTTGTGCATGCAAGTAACAAATTTTAACATATGTAATTCAGCTAACGTTAGCCTAATGCCTTCTAAGTTAGCTAGATAATCAAAAGCATTTGTGTAGGTTTGTCCCTGCATTGCTAACTAGCTTGCTGAGTTGCTTGCCTAAACATAAACAGAATACCAAACTGACAAAAAACGCTCAATTTGTGATAAACCAACTGAAACTATTACCAATGTCATATATAATACCAATAAAAATATAAAATAACAATAATACTAATAATTTGTGCATTTGGCAATCCAGTACAAAAGTTATTTTTATTATAGCCTATTATGAGAATCTTCTTGTTCTACATGTCAAGTTAAAACAATGTTCTCTGGTTGGTTATTTTGCATGTAGTCAAACAGCCCCTTCCTATCAAAGAAGGTGGTTCTTGGCCACATTAGGGGCAAAACGCACCAGAATCTGATGATTTGCAGAAGTTTAGTTTGCAAGACTAAATCAGAAATAGTCCAAAAATACACACGCACACACATTTCCTAAGCCGCTTATCCAAAAATAGTCAGATTAAATCACACCTTTTAAGTAATCTAAAATATTACATTATTAATTACAATTTCAGTCATGTAATTTGTAATCAGTACCAGATCACATTTTTAAGTAATCTACCCAACTGGTAAATGACTATCCTTGGAGAAAATCTATGAAACTTGAGAAGATCTAGATGCACCTGGCAAAGGTGACGTGAACTATGCACTGAGGGCAATGAATCAATGCTTTAAATACTGTTCCCTTTACGTAACAGTTTGCCTTTTTTGTTTTTGTTTTTTTTCCCTAATTCCCTCTCCCTTGTGCCTTGTCTTGTACCCTCATGCGGATTCTATCCATTTTCAACCTATTTAAGAGTGATTTTGATTTAGCCCAGTGAAATATAAACTCAATTTTAAAAATGAAGATGGAACATGGATGGGTTTAAATGACTGAACCTACTGGCTCAATTTGAGCTTCATTGCTAGTGGCAGCTGCAGGACAAGACGTGCTCAGAATACTGATTACTGTCACACACGAGCACACACACACACACACACACACACACGCACACACACACACACGCACACACACACACACACACACACACACCTGATGCTGTTTATCTGAATGAAAGTAGCATGTTCATCCTTTGAATTGTATGACAGATGAGGTACATTATCACTCTGAATTATTTATGGCATGGTGTCTATATGAAATGAACAGGCTTTTTTCAACATTTTTAGCGGTGCTTCGTTCAGCCATTTAATCGCATTAAACCCAGTTGGTAAGAAAGCAGATCATGCTACACCTCAGCATAAATGATCATCATAACTAGCCTTTAACTAGACTTAATGCAGACCAGCACACTTACATAATTTGATATCTCACACAGATTCAAAGTCCGATTTCCAGAAAAGCTTAAAAAAGCAAAAACAAGCTACCGCTTGCTACCATGGGGTTGTTTAAATTGCCATAGCTACACCACATCTACACGGTCCTGATCAGTCAAAGAAATGGAGGTTTTGAATTGTGGTTAAGAAATTATTAATTTGAAATTTTGGTTCATGAACACCATAACATATCTTTAGAATCACTGAGGTATTTTTCAATATTTGCAATCAAGTTTTCACACCCGTGAAATAACTGAATCCAGAAGATTCTGCACCTATGCACCATGTATTAAAAAAACATAGCTAAATTCAGTTCAGATTTCAAGCTTCAAATCAACTCTGTTGTCACAGAATCAATCCAATCATCGGGTGTATTTCAGACAGAGCAGTTAATGACATTTTAAAAAAGCTGAGTTTGCCCATGAAAAAAACAGCGTTTCCAAAAATCTCATTACTAGAGAGCGTTTTCAAAAAGCACCATTTGCAATTATCTATAATGTAATATTCATGTGGACAGAAGACCAAATGCAAAGAAAAAACTATTTTCAAAAATCTCCAGATATGCATAGATGAGGTTTAAGTATTTTGCTATGAGCACTGTTTGGAAGCTGGCAGTGCTTGAGCTTGATGGTATCTTTAGACTCCAATCTACTTACATTAGAATAAGCATAAGTTTTAAAGCAGAGTAGACAAGAATGCTCTTCTGTAAAATGCTCTGGATACCGTTTAAGACACAGAGCATCTGATGTTATAAATGTAAAAGTAAATGTAAATGTTCCATCGTACTTTCTCCTGCTGCTTTTGCTGCTGATTGCTTGGCCTGTTAACGGCAGGCCTGCAGCTGATTGTGATTTGAGCCCCTGCTGCATGGGCACTTGCAGAGAGATTTTCATCAGTGTAAAAAACACTCACAGCACTGAGTCCTCCAGTTAGAACATCAATGTACTGCTTCAGCTTCTCAGTGGCAGCCAGACACTCCTGAAAGAAACTGACAAATAAAAACTATTTAAAACCATAGTTTGACAAAAAAACACTCTGCAAACTTCATGCCTAAATCATCAATGGATAAAGTATGTTGCATAGCCAAAAACAGTACTAGAGCCATTGTGAAGCCTAATTTTTCCTTTAGTGTTGGGACTAACATGGTAAGAATGTGTTGCAGTTATTTAATTATATTCTCCTGTAATGAAGTAGTGTAACATATTACAGTTTAAATTCTTTTAATCACATTACAGATACTAACTTGATAAGAATTATGCTATAATTATGCAAAATTATTTACACGCAATGCATTTATATCATATAGTTCCTCTTTATATATTATCCATGCACGACTAATGAGAGGAAATATATGATACAAATGCACTGTGTAATTTAATTATGCTAATATGAAACAGAGGGATGAAGATGCCAATCTTTGAAGAAGAGAGAGCCCCATCTACAGCTAAACATGCCAGATTCGATTTTCATTTAGGAACAGCTCTCTAAGCTTTACATTTTATTTATAAATAAAACAGCATCAGCCATTCATCATTTTTATCTATTTACACAATAAGCCACTTATGTAATTCTAGATACTTGTTTATAAATATAAAGCATAAGGTATCATGTAAATATGGTAACTATGTCTACCTAGTTTTATGAATGAAATTTGCAAATTTTATGTAGTGCTAGTAGAGGTGGCACAATGGTATTGATATGCAAACAAAAACAGGTTTTGTAAGTGGTTTGTAAACTGTTGATTCAAATGTTGATTCGTTGGACCATCAGACACTTCTCCATTTCCCTTCTTCAGTCCATTTTAAATGAGCTCAGGCCCAGAGAAGGTGGCAGCATTTCTGGGTCCTGTTTATATATGGTTTCTTCTATGCGTTTTAGAGTTTTAACTTGCGTTTGTGGATGCAGCGATGAAGTGTTTTCATAGACAGTGTTTTTCAGAAGTGTTTCCCATGCAGTGATTTCTACAACAGAATCATGTCTGTTTTAAATGCAGTGCTGTCTGTGGGACCAAAGATCATGGTTAGCAAATACTGTTTTTTGGCCTTGTCCCTTGCATACCCATATCCCAGTTTTTTGCTATTTATGTTGAGAAATGTTGTTCTTGAACTGTTGCATTATTTGCTGACGCAGTCTTTCACAGAGTGGTGAAACCCTCCTCATCTGTACTTCTGAAAGACTCAGCCTCTCTGTGATGCTCTTTTTATACCCAATGATGTTACTGACCTGTTGCCAATTAACCACCAGGTGTTTTTTTAGCATCACACAACTTTATGAGCCTTTTGTTGCCCCCGTCCCAACTTTTTTGAAACGTGTTGTTGTCATCAAATTCAAAATGGGCATATATTTTTCAAAGAACAATAACATTTCTCAGTTTCAACATTTGATATGTTGTCTTTGTGCTATTTTCAATTAAATGTAGGGTTTAAATGACTCATTACATTTTGTTTTATTTACATTTTGCACAGCATCCCAACTTTTTTGGAAATTGTACATGAAAACAGCACAAAGAAGAGATATTTAAAATTTTCATTTTACCTTATCAACTTTACTAATTTATGTAAATACACTAATTCCAAATGCAACATGTCAGTCATGATATGGTGGTGGTATGCACACCTTTAACACTGAGGGACACATATGCATTTTGGACCAACATCTGCTGCTATCTTAGCATCTTAATGTTGGTCCCCGGCAACCTGTCGGACCAAATTTGCATCCCCGCAGGAAGTAATGAGTAAAGTAATCCATTTACATTTTGAGAGAAGTAATTAGTTACTTGTAATGGATTACTCTTTTTGAACAACTTCATCACAGTCAGCACCACTGATTTACTGTTTATGCTGTAGCCTCTCTCTTTATCTCCCCCTTTCCTTCTCTCTCTTCTCTCGTTCCAAATGAAATACAATGCAGCACAATGGCCTCGAACGAGTATGGGAGAATCTAGAGAACCACATGCATACACAACGCTCGAAGCATCAATCACATGCCCACACACAAGGCACTCTAAAACTATCCAGCAGCGCAGCCACCAAACACAACACGGGTGTCATTACTGTTATAATATTGCTGTTCATGCAAAACTTGGACTGCAGTACATGCTACTATTTACTATTTCAATACACATACAGGCCTACACTCCCCAGCCACTTTATTAGAACTCCCTTGTGGCTCCACCCTGTTGATGTACTGTTAGAGACTGTAGCCCCTCTGTTGAGGCACAATTTGCATCTCTAGTGGTCAGTTTCTAAGCACAGAGCCACTCTTGGCTGGATATTTGTGGTTGGTGGATATTTTGGACAGATAGGCTATAGACTGTGATTGTACATCTATATAGTAAATCTATAAGATAAAACTTATTCAGTGGCCAGAAAGGGGTCTCTAATGAAGTGGACAATGGGGGGAGCACATGACAGGGATTTCCTCCCCACTTTCACAGGAGTTACAAAATGAAATGTCTCTCATGTTTTAGAGGAGGTTCCTTGGTTATACTATGCATTGTTTTTCTTCAATAACTTTTGATAGAAATGTGTATGGTCTATAAAACCAAAAGCATACTGGATTTTTGGTTTTGTTGGGGCATTCACAGGAGTGGGTTCACCTCCTCTTTCACCTCTCATTGCTCACTAGAAGCTCTGATCTGATAACAGTTATGAACTACAATATTTGTATTTGGTTATATTAATGAAAAATAGCCAAGTCGATTTCCATTCTCTTGGCTACTAGTAGGGCCTGCAGAAAGAGGCTAATAAAGTGGCCAGTGTGGGAAGCACAAGGTAGGGGTTTCTAAGAGTATGGATAAGGAATGAATGGTAATATCATAAATGATCATTTAAAAAAATTCATCACTATAGTAGTATTCTTATGATGTTTTCCTTTAACGTGACACAGATCTAACGTTTTCAGAGCTGTGTGGACATGCAAATCTCATCTTTGCAAATTCGAACTGAGTCACTTTCATGTGTGGTCCTGAATCAGATACCCAGTTTGTGGCCATTCGACCTCAATGAGAATGATCAGATCAGAATTCATGTGTTTTTTTCCACTGTACATGTGTCATCATTCAGAGTTAACCTGAAGTTAGACCCAGTTAACAGTGGAACAGCAACACATCTGACCCTTTTTTGACTGTAGCCTTAAAGAGGAATTCCTCAGATTTTTTGAAATGTCTGCGTAATTCAATCATATAAACAAAGTCATTCAGAGTGGTTTGATGTGAAATGGTTCACTGTAGAGAAATTTACCAACTCTTTCTTTACAGTGGTGGTGAAACAAACCAGAGATAACAATGTAAATAAAATATAGCCCCTTTATATACTATCCCAAACTATTGGTTAACCTACTTTTTCTAAGTTTCTATATGTAATGTTGATGGTGTTAAAATAGTGGTAAAATATTTGCCTTTGCCTTATAGCCATGAATATATTTAAAAAAATACATTTTAGGCCAAAATCTTATCTCGAAACTATCATAAAACAATGTCTCAAGCACCAGGCAGCATATCCATAACTAATTCATGTAATAACTTTCTGTGAGGGAGCTTTTGGAGAAATTCAATGCTTCTGACATCTGGTTCATATCGCCATCATTGTGAACAGTTCTGACTCTATAAGTTGCTCTAGAATGACATAAAGCCACATGACATAAGACATAAAATATTTAAATGTGCCATTTGCACAGGCCATATTTTATGTTTTTCCCCCCAAAATGTTAAATTCAGCAGTAATTATGCATCAAAATGTGCAGATGTGTGTTCTCTGTAGAGAATGTGCATTTATTTTCAATCAATAAAACATTAATTTGACAAGGTTTGCCCAAACTTTTGTATACAACTGTAAATTTGATTTTTTCTGTAATACTAATCCAGATAAATCTAATCCCAGTCTTTATATTTTAAAAATATATTATATCGGAATGAATCCTGAATGTGTGGATCCCTAATCTCTACAAAAGAATAAAAATTGGAGGTGTTATGCATCTTACTTGCACTGAGAGTGGTAGTGCTTGATGAGATTCTGCAGCAGGTCCACACCTTTCTTGGTTTTTATTTCATTCACTTTGATGAGGTACTGTTTGAGAAGGAAAAATAGGTGGAAACATCCATCTCAAGTTAAATACTGAGCCACTCCAGTTAAAAAGCATTACCATTAGAATTTAAAATACAAGACCATTCTCTATTTTCCCTGCATACTGACATTCTCCATCAACTGAATTAATGAACATACAATTTGCATATACAGAGAAATGACAAATACAACACACACAGATTAGATGAATGAAACAAATCCTAATCCTAATTCACTCAGCATGTGTGTGATGCAGTGAATATAATGAGAGGCTTTAAAAGATTTTACTCCTGCAGGACACACAGAAATAATAAGGCTCTGTTACAGACACTAGGCATTGGCGGTAACTGTAAATACTGAGCTTCCTCAAGGAGAGCTCTGGAAATGGTTAATCTACCATATAAAATCACAATGTATTGCTCATTTTTATTTATTCTACTGTTAGTGTTTTTTCAAACAAAGGAATGCATGCTGTCCAGATAAATAGCTTTACACATCACTTAGAGAGAAGCCTTAACCCTTTGTAAAGTAATATAATACATACAGGTACCTACATATCGTCGCTGTCCAAAGAAAAATAAGTATCTCCATTTTTGTCATTTTTGTCAACACAAGCGACGTAACTATTTTGTAGATACATGTTTTTCCTTAGACTGTGACAATATATATAATGTGCCCCCCCCCTCCACATTTTTTCTCTCTTGAACAAATGATGGAGCCAAATGTAGTCTTGACACATTTACTAACATCTATGGTCTAATTTATTCTGAAATTTCATCCTGATGGCTGCATTCCTGGGATTTATTTTTGGGGTCAGTTTACATAATTTATTGTCATTGGAAAATAGTGATCTGTGTTTTTTTAAGTCGTATGAGAAAAATTGTTTCAAATGTATGAATACGAAGGGGCTGAGGACAGAGCAATATACTTGGTTTTAAAATTATTTTTTTTCTTTGATAATGAAACTTTGAGATCCCCACAGACACAGTATAGTATACTGCCCCAAAAATATTATTTAGTTAGACTTTCATCATAAAGACACAGCTCTGTTCACTGGAGATATCAGCTTTACCTTTACCTTTGCTGGAGGTGTGAGTTTGTATGTGAGTTTTGCAGTTCAGCAGAGTTATCTGATCTGTTCTGTCATGTCTAATAATAATATTAAGCACAAAAAACATACACACAATGTTGAATGCTATGGCTTTGTTTATATTATTCTTCTTGTTATTGTTTTTGAATAATACCGTACAAAGATTATAAATACATTAAAAAAGATTCTACATTCTGTAAACCCATATGACAAATTCACACATGATTCACAAGGGGGCCTACTTTTCCTAGGTAGGGGGGCTTCTTGTTCCAGTAGTGGAATTTCTTTTTTTGTGCTATAAAAAAGTGTCGCTTAACAGTAAATGCACATTCTTAAGGGGGGCATTTCCTCCATTAGCAAAAGTTTTAGGTAGCTGAAAAAATTAGATTGAAAAAATAATTTATTTTCTTAGAAATTCACTAATGTTACAATAAATACAAATAATACTAATACAATAAGTAGTGATTTTATGTCTGCCAATCTCTTCCATTGAAGCTTAGGTTTAGACCACTATCAGGTGGACTTGATCTACTCAAAGGTCTTTGCACAAATCTATGTATAGATACACATTATTTAATAGAACAAACAACAATGGAAGTTTGACTTTGCAATCATTTATTTAAAAAAATGAACTCAGATGTAATTTTTGTCATCAAAGTACACCCCAGCCTCAGTAACTGGTAACTGATTTAAATCTTTTCAACTTGTAGATAATCTTCCAAACACTGAAATGATTGATTTCCAATAATTTAGATATCTTTTTACACCCCTTCCCATACTCATAGGCATCTGCAATCTTATTTCTGAAGGCTTCAGAGCTCTTTTGTTCTAGGCATGAAAAAACCACACACTCCAATAATAAGGAGGAAACCAGACCAGATATCTGAGGTTTAAAAAAGACAAGTTCCTTCAAGATATTCTCTAACAGTGTTCTAATCATTAGCACTTGATTTCATTTTCTCATGTTTGAAGAGGTGATATATGTAGGAGTGTACTTTCCTTTTCCATATAAGATAAAACTGCATTACTGTTTATTTCAGTTGTATAAATGATGACAAAAATGTCACAAAAAAGTGTCACTAAATTATATTACCTTTTTTTTTTTTACATACACTACAACATAAGGGACATATGTATGAGCCCATGTTCTGACATTCTGTTTAAAAACATGTAGCTGGGTGTGCGTCTATACTGTATATGTGTGTATTAGTGTGTTATGAAGCTGATTTCTCACCTCACACATCTGTAGTTGGAACATCCTGCGTTCTTTCTCCAGCTCTTCTGCGATCTCTCCTCCACTCACTTCCGTTCTCACCATCCCATACTGCTTCGCCAGCTCACGCTTCTCTTTCTCTATCTTAGTGCTTTCGAGAGAGACAACACAACAACACATCTGACACCACAGTGGATTTAAAGGAGTAAAAGTGTACATCTATCGCTCTGTTGGAGCTGGATTAGTTTTATGTGGGCTTGTTCTGCAGTTTAAGTGATTACTGACCGGATCTGCCTGTGTAATTAGCTGTATATTGTGTATATTAGCAGTGTATTGCTTTTATTACTGCGTATCATAGTACAATGCTGAGGTGAACATCTGGGCTATGACCTCTCAACTAGGCCAAAACAACTATTTTAGCTGGCTAATAATATCGGCTGATACTGCGGTCTCTGGTTACTGTTACCAGAACCGTTATTTACTGCCTTGTTCTATATTGATGCAAGGAAAACTGTTCACTTCTGGAGGATTTAATGACTACATGCTTGTACTCCAGGCTAACAGTAACCAACTGCTCACTTCTGCTATAGCAGTGTAAGAAAAAAGTCATTTTTAGCTGTTATCTAAAACTGCTGAAGTCAGTCTAAATTCTCACCATATAAAGAGATGTCTATATTATCATTTTTCTGAGTTTGTAACTTTTAACATTGGTCACGACATTTTCAAATTGTAGGGTCTGCGAGAATTTGTGGAAATCACACAGATACATTAACCCACTAGCCAAGCAAATCCCATTCTTTACATTTGATAGTTTCCTTTTGAAAAACAAATCCAGCTCCAATCGTGTAATAGACTGTATGTTTGGTATTGTCTAATTTAACATCTATTTTTTTTACTGATAACAGTATAAATATTTTAAATATGATGGGAGGGATATTAATCTCAAACTTAATCAAACTGTTTTGTTCAAAACTGGTAAACACAAACTGCAATGTAAGCTGTAATGTACGTTTTGAAAGGAAGTTCAGTCTTTTAGTTTCAATTTGAAATATTTCCTCATCTTTTCAAATTACATGGGAAGTAAGTGTGCTGATCATAAGACTAGATATCACAGACAAATCAGCTAAAGAGGGAAGTCAAGGCACACAGGGCTTACAAGAACCTCACATGCTTTCTTCTGAAATCAAGGGTATTAATAGGGAGTTTGTCCCCCTTTGCTGAAGTAACAGCCTGTACTTTTCTGGAAAGGCTTTACAGTGGATGTTGACGTGAGTTGCATTCAGCTACATGAGCTTTAGGTCATGGACTGCTGTTGAAAAACTAGTTCTGGATAAAAACAGCACTCAAACTCATCCCAATAGTCTTGAATGGACCTTAATCACTCTAGTTTCAGACAGTGGCACTGGATATGGAGATCTTAGGCTCATTTGTGGTTGCTTCAGGGTGTTCAATTGATTTGGCAATTCTTTTCTATGGAGTGCCAAGCTGAGCGTGTGCACCTGAATGCCTGTGTCAGCAATGGGTACACCTTAAAGTAGCCAAATTCACTAATTAGAAGAGGTGTCTAGATATTGTGTCAGTGCATTTCAAAGGTTTCCACTTACTGACTGTAACTCATTTGTTTCTGGACAATTAATCAGCCTCGGCTACAGCCCATTCATCAATGCAAAAAGACCACTACACAAGGTCACTGCCCACAAGAAACCCCTCCAGTATTTTTAAGCAGTGGACAACTCTCAACAAAGACTGATATGAAAATTTTGCGGTCGATATTGATTTTAGAGGGCTAAACATTCCAAATACTTTTTATATCACCCAATATAATTTTCTATTTCTCGTTAATAGTTTTAGTTAAACAATGCTTTACTGACTGATGTGAATCATTTATCAATTATCACATTTCGTCAACTGAATTAAACAACATAAAGCCACAGTTTAAAATAATATAATTGTAGCCTTGCACTTATATAATTGCAGCCTTGCACTTATGCTCTGTTTATCGCCACTTATTTTTCATTTGTTCTCCTCATGAAAAAGTATTTTGTGTAATAATATTTTGGATTTTATATGTTTTTTGTAGCACTTTTGTAATTCATACCATGACACTGTGTTTTGTGTTCAGATTTACCAGTTCAGCCTGTATTGCTGTCATTTCGTTAAACAGAAAATACTTCAAACTGAGCTGGCCAGTGGCACAACTTTATGTGATTTTGCATTATCATCAGGAGTTTGTGAGTTTAAATCCTGACAATGCCACACCTAAAAAAGCTCTAATTGTCGGTGTGCTACAAGCAGCATCATCAGCTGATATGCATAAAATCCACGGGTCGTTAATATCAAACGATGTTATCAGCCAATATAGCCATCAGCTGATATAGCAGTCAGGCTCTACTTTCAACCTAGCAGTGACATTTACATGTGTAAAAACATCAACACCATCACCTGATATACTCATATCATCACCACAAACACAGTGTTTGAGTAGTTTGTGCATGACAGACTACTAAGTGAAATGTTTCAATTTGATACTAGTAATGGCCGATACTCAAAGCTTCAACATCAGTATTGGTAGTGATTCAACAGCTACAGAAACACTCATCTGGAATTGTGACTGGTCAGGATGCTCACAGCTCACAGTAAAAAATTGTTGTTTATATATTGCAGCCTTCTTTGATGTTGACATTGCCATAGCCAACATCGCAATAATGATTAACAAGCAATACACTGTGCAACCTGGCATCCAGAGGTTATATGGTCCTTCAATGGATTTCAGTGCTGTGCGACAGTTCAACAGAAGTCACAAGTCACAGCGCCTGACACACTCGTACCAGTACCACACAAACTACCATGCTGCTGCCATGTCAGTGTGACTGCTGTGCTGAGAATGATCCACCCCTCAAGTTATACCTGGCCTGCAGTGGTCCTATGGTGGTCCCTTTCCATTGAAGATTGGGGTAGAGAGTGATGATAAACTGTGCAGCAACAGTTGAACTACAGTCTTTAACTATAACCCTACAAGGTATATGGTTGGTGTTTCTGATGAAATTGCCAGTGAGTGTAGTTACAAGGTAGGTCCCATGTGTTAAAGGCCAGATCAGGCCTGCGACACAATCCTATCTGGCCCGCAATACTATTTTAATTTTCGATTATTATTAGCCCATTTCACAATGTGCTGCACTACAGTCCCCAGCATGCACTGCAACGCAATGTGTGCACTGACTCTCCTTCCCCAACAACAATCTATGAGACAGCGGATACACGTCAGTTCTACACAATTCTACACAATTTCACACCAGTCACATCACCAAATGCATTTCAGCTGCAGTTTAACCAATATAAACACTTAACATTTGCTCAGCAGCTCAGAAATTGAGCCCAAGTCTTAATGAACTTGCAGCAAAGAAAGGATGCTAGGTGTCTAGTTCAAGCAAATAGGTAGGCTTAAAAGACCGAACACCTGAGCACATTTAAATTTTGAAAATTTAACTGTCTATGTAATATTTCGACAGCTAATAGTCAAGTGTCTGTATTTTACTGCTAAAGTTTTTTGCATATTTTGAATTATCAATGGCTAGTTTCTTTCACCCACAGATTTGTTGAGTTTTTTTAATATGGTCCATTTACTGGTTGAGCTTAACACCCCTGAGGTAGGTGGACATAACAAACTAGACCCTCAGTGTACAGCTTGCACATTGTAGAAGGAGGCACAGTGTACAGCTCAGTAGCTCAGTTGCTGTAATGGACACAAGAAAAACTCTTTTTTTCCTTTAACAGCCTCTTTTTCTGCTCCTTAGGGACAGGCAAATGTTTCCTTTTCCTTTGCCTTGTTTGGCCAACTTGTGTAATGATATTCTTGTCTAATAAATCAAAGTAAAAAAAAAATCCCTGGGCTCACAGTCATCTTTTAGTTTATTAACATCCAGGGAACAGTTTTGTAGGACCATGACACAGTCAGCAGTTTTATACAGAAATAACACAATAAAATTCAAATAAACCATCAGAAGAACAAGCACTCACAATTTATTCTCATAATCCCTCCAAGCTTTATCAAACGGCTTCTTCAGGTCCTGTGGGAAAAAAAGGAGCAAGAAAGTGAGATTTTAGTCATCTAATGACAAAGAAACAAGTTACAGTAACATTACTCAAAACTGCACTGTGGATTGACAGTACATTGGATTGACAGTGGACTGAAAGTACTGTGATGATACTGCCATTGCGATATGCCTTGCAATATATCAAATACATGTCGCTGCTGCTAAAATGACCTTTTGTATATTTGTATATATAACACTGTTGTCGGAAGAAAACCTCACATTAAAAATAAAGTATGCTTTTTCCTTCTCCTGTAAAGTTATCATTTTGGAGATACAAGGTTTTCGTCCTACAACAGCTAAATAAATAAATAAATAAACATATGATTGGGGAAAAAGACCAGCTCTAACACGACTGACCCACTGGAAAAATTCCCAATTCGGTAGTACGTATCTGGGCATAATGTTTAAGCTTGTCGGGGTATATATAAGTAAAATTTGTCTTTTAAATTAGGAAAAACATACATTCAATCACGTGGATCCAAGCAAACTGGTGCTGTCTTTCTGTTAGACACAATGACCTTTACACACAACCGTAAAACCACACACAATAACAGACATGTGACATTTTGGAAAGACACCAAAGACATTCACTGCATGTGACTTCAATTCATAAACTTACACCTTTAACCTCTTTCAAATCCCCTTTTACCAGTGAGTCCAGGAAGAAGTTGATGTTGTGCAGCATGCTCTTTAACTGCAGGAAGGAAGATGGTGAAATGTAAGGCATCGTTATAACAGCCAATGTCTCAAAAAAAAGGAACATTTACTTAATATTTAGAAGTCCCTGTTATCACCAGGAATAGCAAAAAAAAAATGTAGTTTGTATCTGTAGGTAACTAACATTAGTTACTAACATAACTAACAAGGAACAATTAGTAAAAAAAAATTATCCCAAAAGTAGTACATCAGCCAAGACACGTTTGGTGTCTGAAGTTTGCTTTGCTGAAGTTTTACACTGGAGCTACCAGAAGTAATAAGTAACTGAAACTCATGCACTGTACTTCTATAAGCTGACATTACTTGTAAGTCTTGTACTTACAAGACCAGCTGGAGTCTTGTAGTTCCAATGCAAAGCTAACAAAGCAAACCTCAGCCACCAAAAATGTCTTGGCAGATCTACTGTATTTGGTAAAGTAGAAAACTGTGTACACTGGATTTATCTGTAAAGTAGTCCTCTAAACTGCTCTCCATCCCCAGCGACTCACCAAGTTCTTCACCGGTGTCAACAGCTCTTTGGAGAACTCAGCAAACTTATTAAAGGCAGAGGCCACTTCCTGCTCTCCATTATTCCGGAAATTTACAGCCAGCTTCTCCATGGAGTTGATGTACAGCTCCAGATGTGTTATGTGGTCTACAGGGATGTGTACAACAGTGCATATTTTTACTTAATAAACATGAGATGCTGACAAATCACATTCATTCTGACATGACACGAGTCAAAACATTTGTTAAAGGAATAGTCCAGATTTTCCAACCTAATCTCTATCTGCTGCATCTCTGTCACATGAACAGTTATCACAGACAATAATTTCAGCATGTTTTCCTGTGTTTGGCAAAGAAAAGAAAACCTGTTGAATTCAAACTTGGGCAGCTACTGAAGCAATGATGTGGCAGTTAGTGATTAGCAGGGGTGGAGAATACTTGAGTAATGGTACTTTATTACTATACACTAGGTTAATTTTGCAAGATTTGTAAAATTATTGCGTATTAATGAAAAATGTATATTTCCATCATGTATTAATAAAATTGAATATGAACATTTTAGTCAACTAGATTTCCAAAAGAAAAAAAAGTACTTTGCAAAGGCCAGGAGATTCTTTCTGCTTTTTGTCTGTCAATCATAATTTATTGTTTTCATAAAAACATTCAACCAAATTCATATTTGTGTAAAATAAAACTGCTCACATCTGTGCTAATTTTTCTTTGTGTGAGAACACCACACCACCATGTATCATGCCAGCAAACAGTTTTTCATTTATTTGTTAAAACATTTACTTTTTTACTTTTACATACTTGAATATGTTTAAATGTACAGTACCATGCAAAAGTCAGAGGCCACCCCTTCATATATTAGATTTCCAGTCAAAATGGCCCTGAAGTACAAGTTATTTATTTTTTATTGTCAGAAAAAAGCAGAAAACATATTTAACAGATATTTCAGTATTTTGTGTGCCTTTGTCACAGACTTGCTTTCAGTTTTTAAAAGGATTCTACAGGGATATTTATTCTAAGCTTCTTGCAAGCAACTCCTAAGTTCAGTCTTTTATATATAACGAAAAGTTTTTATAAGAAGCTGGAGAATAGGAAGCTGTTTGAGAAAACACAATTCTCAGCAGCTACTTCTCCCATCAGGACTCAAGCAGCAGCTACGTGCAGATTCTGAACGAGCAAAACAAATAACTCGCTCTGTAGGGATGTTAATAGCTACTAATCTGCACCTCTATTTGGTTGTACAGTCCACCTCTATTCAGTTGTGGATTTTGCAGTTTGCTTGAAGTGAATGAGCTACATTGGAAGATCTTTCACTCATTTTAGTTGGAAAGTAAGAGGCACATTTTATATTCAAACACATAATCAGACTGTAGATGAACGTGTAAATCCCAGGTCACTTAATACTGAGATGGAGCCATATAGTTTACATTTTTCTTTACTTTCAATAGAACTATTGCACTTTTGTTTATATTCTTCTAAGAAAATTACACGTGCTAGTTATTCCTTCAGAAAAAAGCAAAAATGCCCAGTTGTCTTTTAGAGACAACAGTGGAAATTACTATATTGCTGTTGTCAGAACAACCTGTAAAGTTATCATTTTGGAGACATGAGGTTTTGTTCCAATCTGCCTCAAAGTTTGTGAACCCTTTAGCATTATGTCAATTTCTGCACAAGCTTGATCTAGCCTAACCTAAATACAAGACGAGAACCCAATAAAACAAATAACAAACAAATATATAATTTTCATTCAATTATTCAACAAAGGAATCCAACTTTGTATATTTTGGTTGGCAAAAGTATGTGAACCTTTAGAATAATCAGTTGGGTATAGGTGATAATTAGGTTCAGGAGCTTCCATTAATCAAATAACAATCATCTGTAAGTGATTTTTGAAAAATATCAACCCGAGTCTCCACTATCAAAGTCTGGTCTTTACTACACACATTTGTTAGTGCATGCCAAGGACCTCAAAAAAAAACAATGCTCATTAGTGGAACAGATTCCAAAACAACTTCTGACGATTGTGGACTTCACTGATCCACTGTCAGGTAGAAATTTATTACCATTGTTACCCTTCCCAGGAGTGGTCATCCAACAAAACTGACTCCAAAAGAAAAGCATCCAATTTCATTAAAAAATGCTGTATATCTATTTGGAACAAGTTTGGATATAGCAAAATTCTGAAAAGAATAACAGCTGATATATAATGGAAAACATTTTATCACACTAATAAAGGTGGAATTATTCATAGTATAGCACTGATATTTCCTGTGTGTGTAAAGTCCACTCCCAACAACACGTAATCATGAAAGAAAAGAAAATTCTTGAAAGTGGTCTATAATACATTTTGGAACAAATCCCTTTAAAAAAAACTGGCTGGTTCCTGTAAAGGGTGGAAGTAGTTGCCTGGTCCTGTTTTGACAATAGCTGCCGTTTCCTTGATGCTGTTTCATGTTGTCTGAGGAGCTATTTGAAACCAGGCACAATTCAATCCATTAGAAGTCATTATTCTGAAGGGGTGAATTTACCTTGACCTGAGGCATGCTTGGCTTTGGCAGCCTTCTTCATTTTCTGCAACACCATCCGGTCACAATCCAGAGCCTACAAAAAAAAGCAGTTTCAACAGATTATTTAAAGGTATGGCAATTATTAGCATATTTGTTCCCGAACATCCTGGAGGTGGATAATGATATTGATGTATACATGTACATTTTAAATACACAATATCTTCAGTAGAGAATTCAGCTACTTTAAGGTGCACCCATTACTGACACAGGTGTATAATGTTTATAGAAAAGCCTTATAGTATGGAAATAGAAATAGTATGGCTTGCTCTGGAGAAGCTGTACATATGTGTAAAGATCACCACACCTAATGCTAAGCGTAGGATAGAGGGGTATAAAGCTCCCCAGAATTGGGCTGTGAGCAGTGGAACTATGTTCTCTGGAGTGATGGAGGTCCATCCAATACCTTTGGGATCAGGTGGCGTGGCTTTTGTTAACCAGAACTAATCATTGAACAGCAGTACCTGACCCAACAAATGCTCTTGTGGCTGCCATGTTACAACAAAATTTGTATTTACAGATCTGATTCCACTGTCAGTTCCTAATACTGTTAGTGGTTAATCTGACATGTTAGGTCTTCAGTTCAGCTCCTGAAGACCTAACCAATTGAAGGGGTCACTTGGCTCTATCTACTTAATCTAGGCCTACACAACAAGATTTTTAACCTGATTTGCCAATTTCAACATATTTTCACACGCTGCAGAGAATTACCACGTAAGGGGCTTAATCAGTTCACAAAATGAATGATCTGGTAAAGTGAGAGGAGAAACAAACCAATTATTCAGCCTTCCGAGTGAGTTATTTTTAGAAATGTTTGTCAAATGTTTGCGACTCAAAATGTTGAAAAGCCTTGCAATGTAAGATGGTCAGTGATGCAACTCAACGAACACTTCAGGCAACAGTCAACGAAAGAGCTAAAAGAGTGGAGAAAAAAGGAGAAGAGGCACTTATGCAGTGGACTGCAGAGACAGAGGAGCTGCTTGTTGAACACAGGCAAATAAGAGCCAATATCATATTTATAATGTCAAGGCGTTCTCTTCGCAATTTAAAGTCAGCTTCCAGTATGCAGTGACATATTCTCCAGCTCTTACTGTGATATAGTCTCATACTCATATTCATCTTCAGTTTGCGTTTTTGCTATGCATAAAAAGACTAACAGGTCCGGTCCAGTTTAGCTTTGTTTGTACCATGTCATAACAGGGTTTTTAAAGATCTGTTTGGCTTTTAAAAGTAGTGTAAAGTAAAAATCCTGATTGGACAATCTTCCATTGGACTGTTCAAAAACTCTTTGTTTCTAACAAAAACATTAACAATGCAAATAAGAGTATTACTACAAAACATGCAGAGTTTAAACCCAGCAAGCATGATACTACCAAACAAAAGTTAACTTAAAAAATTACAGACGTATTTTTTTTTTGTTTCACAGGAATCATTAGAGGGCACTGAGGGTTCCCCACTGCTTGATAAAGGACACTGTGAATTATGAAAAAGCCTAGTCTCCAGCAAGTACACTCAACCTTTCAGCCTTTTGAGTGGTACTGAATGTGTTGCTCTACTATTCAGCCATTAAAGGAACTTCTGCTTTAAAAACATCACATATTACATCAAACAGTCAAACTGGGAACATCCCTTTACACAGACATTTCCTGTTTCAGCAATTAAAACATGTTGCAAAACACTCTTTCCAAGTGTCATTCTATGTGTTAATTTCCTTTTTGTAACTACTTTACTAAACGTGCAGTTACAATATAACATTTGAGGCCTCTGAACAATGTGAATGTTTTGTATAAATGCATTGTAGATACCATACAGTAAAACAGTAACAGATGTTTTAACAAGTACACAATGTAATTGGAGCATAAGCACAGGGAAAATGGTTGCAGTCTTCTATAAAAAACTGTCATCTCTGTACTAGTCTTAAAATTGAGGCTCCTTTCAGGGATTGAGTTCAGCTGGCTCTTTCAGCTCTCAAACAGTTCTTCCTTCAATAGCACTGACTGCTTTGCCAAAATCATCCAAAACTAGCAATGTTACAACCCATGATTGAATGTTTTTGCTTGCTACTAGTATGAAATGTATCGATTTAAGGGCTAAATATTACAATAAAGTGTTTATATCAGCTGATGTGATGTTATATTTATATTTTAATTTAATACTTCAACGGCCATTTTCCCAGACATGGATTAAGCCTAGCCTCAGAGTAAACTGCAGTCTAAATGGTGAACCATCACTGAAAAATTCTTTTTAGTGACTTAAGCTTAATCTGGGTCAGGGAAACTGTCCCACATTTACTGATAGAAATAACTGTCGGTTCATTATGGTCACATTTTAAAACAGAAACTTATAACACAAACCTTGGCTGCACTGGGGCTCGGGGTTACCCATAATTCTTTGTGGTTTGGTTTTCAGTTAATTACCTCTTAATTTTCTTATTTTTCATCAGTTCTCTTTGTTTGGTTTACATTTTACAAACTTTTGTAACATGTATCATGGTTCTGTTTTCAAATTAAGCCCTTCAGTCTGTACTGCTGTGATACAGCTAAACTGGTAAGAACTCCAATTGTAATGACTTATTAGTACTGATATTATCTGCCTTTATTGTCTCTAAAAATCACTTATGTTGTTCAAACTACTTTCTAATAAACTAAATACATTTTAGAAGCAAACAAACACCCATGTTATGCTATGTACAACACAGCCACAACTAACTGGCAGTCTGGCAACACTGAGCATTCAAGCTTAAGCACAGAAAAAGTGAAAACATAGATAAAATGGTCTATTAAAAACAGGCCTAGATCACACAGTCACAATAATGGTCAAAAATTGTGACTGTGTGATCTAGGTTCTGTTTTAAATCTAAATCTAATTAAACAGGACTAATTATGCTCTCTTTGTAATGAAATATTTTGAATTTTCTATATAACTAGACGGTTAAGATGCAAACAAAATAATTCTGAGTGGTCTGATGAGTTTTTTGCTCAATTCCAGAGAAACGTATTGAGTCTGAACTGTTCACTGTGGTGGCGTTAGGAACCATAGATCTGAAGATTTTAATATCTTTAAAAGTTCACTCACAGGAAGTTTTTACATAAAATAGTTATGATGCCTGATTTTTAAAATGAAGTTTAAAATAAGGTTTTAGTCTAAAATGTATTTTAAAAAGCTACTGTTGGTGGAGAGGTACATACAGTTTTCCAGTCTTTCCAAATTTTTTTTTTTCAGATTTCTCCTTTTATTACCATTTACAACAATACATATAAAACTCAGGTGACGTGTAGGTTCATTGGTGGTTTGGGATAGTAAAATGGCTATGTTTGTGTTGTAGTCATCGCAACCCCTGGTTCCGATCACCACCACTGTAAACAAATGGTGTAATTTCCCTTTAGGTAACGACTACAGATGGCACAACACCCCTTTTTCTTCATGTACCAATTAGATGTTTCTTCTTTACAAACTGCTAAGCTTAAAATGAACTATTTTTAATTGAGGGAATTCTCTTAGATAAGCATCTAAAAGTATGCCGTCATGCTTAAACTACTCAAAAACTCCACTAACTCAAAGGAGGAAATACACAGTCATTCATTCTTTTTTCCCCTGTAAGAACTGATCCAGCATTTTGTGCTGATATTGGCCTGACACTGAAGGCTGGTTTTAGATCGGTGATCTCTAGTACTGATGATTTAAGTGCATCCCACCAACTGAGAATGGAAAACACCGTTCTCTTGAAATAACACCTCATGACTCACAGCCACCAAAGTCCGGCCCTAATCCGACCTTATCTTTAACCTTAATGGGAAGTAGAATTTCCTCTGGATTTCCGTTTCAGTTATCTACCCCCCGCCAACCATGAGCTCAGTATAAACAGTTTAGTCTTGAGAGTATCAGACGGAGCCGAGCTGAGCAAACACTGACCCTGCATTTTTGCATAATATTAACCCTTACAAGTTTAGAGCTGTTATTAATACATAGTCTAGAGTTATTAATACCTAGCTGCATAATGGATTACATTTACATTTGATTTACACTGTATCATCAGGTTCAAGTCTGCACTTCTGCACTTCTTCTGTTTATTTCTATATCAAGACATTAGCAAAATGTGGCAAAAAATGTAAACACAATTTTGTTTTACATGAAACACAAACTTTTCATCAACTTTAAATCATAATAAAATATATCCTTTTACACTTAGACACATAATTGATTAGAAGTTTAGAATCCACACTTTCCACAGAATTTCTCCATTTGCTTCAATAAGTAATAATGAAATGAAATATCAAATGAGGTGATTTAAGTGTTGACCGATAATAAGCAATATTTTATAATTTTACATTGTCATGTTATTGAAACCTTAAATATACAGCAGAAACAGTTTTGATTAATACAAATACAACCTTAAACCTTAAAATGTAACCTTAAAACAGGTATTATAAATTTTCACAATGCTGAATTCTCAAACAAAAATTTCATTAACACTCAACAGTATGAGCTGCTGTTGCTTTCTTATATTTCATTCAAAAACATATTGTCAGTGCTTTATATCAAGATTTCTGCTGATGATCTTGTTGATATATCGACCAAACAATACATCAGTTGTTTCCTAATCCAAAGGTAACTGCTTCACTTATGCTGTGGTAGGCCATGCAACAATCCAAAACAAACCAGCCTTTCAGAGTTACCGACCATCTCAGTGAAACTTAAGGTTCATCTGAATGGCTGAACACTATATAGAAATACTGGAGAAGATTGACAGGGAAGAGAATTATAGTAATATCCACTAAAGGAGGGCATTATGACGATATTCTATTGTTATCATTATAAAGTGCCACACAAAATTTGCTCTGTTTAATTAGTAAACACTGAATAAAGATCAGTCCCAAATTACCAAACCTCACAAAAACTAAATACCATGACATCTACAAGGGCTCTGAACCAGTCCAAAGAAACAAAAATGAAAACCAAAAACAAACAGTATTTTTCTCAGAACAAAAATGCAACCGGAAACAGTCATCTCTAATAAGGGTGTGTACTCAGTTAAGT